TTCCGGATCCATGTTGCCTCGCGGACCGCCTCACTAAGAGCCACATATTCGGCCTCATTGGAACTTAGAGATACACAAGGTTGCTTCGCCGAACGCCATGAAATCGGGCCGCCTGCGAGCTTAAAAACGTAGCCGGATGTTGATTTCCTATCACCATTCAAGGGGCCGGCCCAATCGGAATCCGAGTAGCCGAAGGGTAGGTAGGAATCATCGGGGAAATCAGGGGTAATGGAAAGATCGGTAGGAACGGACCCCTCATACGGGCCGCGTCCGTAGAAAATGCCCAGATCCATGGTCCCTTTCAAATAACGTATGACGTGTAATAGGGCCTTCCAACATTGAGGTGTTGGATCAACGTTCCGTTGAGCGAGTAGTGAGGCAGCGCGAGCGATATCAGGACGTGTTTTGACTGCGAGATATTGCAAGCAACCCACACCATGTTGGTATCGCTGAATTGTGAAACCAGCCTCTTTCTCAGGTATAGGGGAATCGTCAATGCGAAATCCATCCTCCATAGGTGTCCTGGCGACAGCTGCATCATCAAGGTAGAAATCTTCAACAAGGCACTTGATATATTGACAATGTGTCAAACCAATTCCCTTGTCTGAACAATTGACCTCCATACCCAAATACTTGGTTGGCTGGCGTAGATCCTTGACTTCCAATTTCTCACTGAGCATACTCACTAGCCAATCAGCATTCTCAGGAGCTTCGGATATGATGTTGAGATCGTCAACGTAGATCGTCATATAGAGGTGACGTCTGGATGTATGATACCAGAGTGCCGGATCATGGGCGCTGACTGTAAATCCAAGATCGCTCAACAGAGCTGTCAAGTAATCATACCAGATCTTCGCCGCAGGGTCCAGGCCGTATAAACTACCCTCAACCGCGCAGACAAGCGTTTTCGGCGAACCTGCCTCAAATCCGGTGGGTTGCCTCATATAGACCTTCTTAGTGAGGCGCCCATGAAGATATGCCATCACTATATCCACTTGACGGAGTGTCCAACCGCGTAGTGCTGCTATTGCAAAAAGAATACGATTAGCAGTATCAGTGATGACAGGAGCGTAGGTCTCTTCTCTAGAACCCTTCTTAAGCCAGTTACCACAAATCACCCAACGCGATTTTCTAAGAATACCATCAGGATCGGCATTCGGGTCCGCGGGCCTATCTTTCTCAAGGAACACCCAACGGCCCGGAGCAATCGGTTCACCCCTCGGGACGTCAGATCTAGGGATCAAACTCCATGTATTGCGTCTCTCCAGGTCGGTAATCTCGCGTTGCATGGACTTCTTCCAATAATCTCCTACCCCCCCTGGCCGAGATGTGGCATCCTTGTAGGACTTCGGGAGGTTGCCTGTAATGGGGCTTGGAGTGTAAGTAGCCAGCGATTTCGCGGGCCGCAACCATGTAGAATTCGGATCATCAATGTCGGGAGCATCTTCATCATCAACCAGATGAATATCAGGTTCCGGTTCGCCGGCATTATTAATGGGTGCCACAGATGTGACAACCGGTTTTTCGGCGATCGGGAACCTCACATCACTACTGGCAATAATCTTGTCAGATTCGGGATGCCATAGGCGATATATCGATGTGCCACTGAATCCAATGATACGATAGGAATCGGCACGTGGAGAAAGCTTATCCGCGGGCCGCTGGGATCCATGCAAGTGAACAAAAACCTCTGCACCCAATCGGCGAAAATGCCTTACATTCGGCGGGGTATTCGTAAGTGCACACCAAGGAATCTTATGTGGACTTGGAACCACAGGGATCTCTGCAGTAGAGGGCCAAAATTTCGAGTTGTAAAGGACTGTAGATGTGGGAGTATTATTGGTTATTGCAACCACTGTCTCTAGAACATCTGCCCAGAACTTCTTAGGAAGATTACCTTTCAAAAGAGCAGCTCTAACCCGTCCCATGATAGTGCGGATTCCACGTTCGGAAACACCATCCTGATGTGGCGAATGTGGTGCCGTTGGTTCCCATTTGATACCATATGAATCCATAACTGTGTGCATACGTGTGGATCGGAAAACACCATCAATATCGGTCCGTAGAAAAGCAGGGGCTGTATACCCGAGATTACCCATGAATCTGAGCCACAACTCAAAGTATTGAACAGCTTCATCCTTGGACTTCAAAAAATATACCCAACGGTAGCGAGTTGCATCACAGGTGATGAGCATCCAGTATTTGGTCCCCTGGCGGGACTCTAAGGGGTGGTCAGAGAGGTCTTCCAATGTACGTCCGCCACCTGCAAGGTCAATATGGACCTTCTCAATGGGTCGGATAGATCTAGGCATCGGTGTTTTCGAATAATCTCGCGTCATACCAGCCTTGACACATTCCTCGCAAAAGAACTTAGTCTTAGGACCCTTAATTGTGACTCCAGTATGGGGATCCTTGGCCATAGCAATTATAGCACCAGCGTGGATGTGACCGAGGTCGTAATGCCAATCCAAAAGAGTCTTTGATATCTTTGATGTCTGTGTCTTGAGACCTGTATTCGTGTCCGCAGAATCGACATTATTAACAGTAGTGGCAGCAGCCACAGGAAAATCAACTTTTCGATCAAAATCGTACTCGTGGGGCATCATCGCAATATACTTGACTGCCCTGTTCGGATGATTGGGATCCTCATTGGACTCCCGTTCGTCGACCTTATATATGTTGTTCTGAGCGGTCCGGACTGCATGGAAAATAACACCGTTCGGGGCTCTGCAAATGAAAAAAGAGGGAATAGTGGAAGACAATGTAAATCGGAATCCCTGATCTTCAAGCTTCGCAAATGAGAGCAGGTTAACTGTAATATTAGGAATATAGTGAACATCCTGCAAGTTAACATCACCACCCTCAACCTCCAAGGTGACAGTCCCAATCTTCTTAACAAACCCAGTTCCCCCAGTGGCAGAATCGACAGAGATGTTACCATTAAAAGGTTTGATGTTTGAGAAAGAATGAAGCTCACCCGTCATATTCAGGCTTGCACATGTGTCCAAATACCAAGATCTAGAGGATGGTTTTCCAGTGACTGTGGAAGAGGAATAGGACTCAACCTTCGTAATTGCTGCATTTGCTGCTGGTTGAGAACTCATCAAGTCATCCTTCTTCTCTTCCTTCTTGTCATCCTTCTTGTCATCCTTCTTTCTCTTTTTATCAGGGTGTAAGATGAAACACCTGTCAACAGTATGTCCATATCTTCTGCAGTGGGTGCACTTCCATACAGGTGTGCTTTTGTCCTCATCTTTGTCCTTATCTTTGTCCTTGTCCTTTTTCGCAGTCACAGAATCAGCCTGAGGCTGCTTTTTCCGCTCGGTGGTGATCTTCTTGGATGTACGATTGGTCAGTTGCTTCATCAAATCATCAATATCAATGTTGATAATGGGTCCCTGGCCAGTGGAGAAAAACTCATCCAAACGTGTCTTGACAAACGGTCTTTGATAATCTTGTAGATTGTTGAGGAAGAGATCATGGTATATATCCTCAGTGCTCTGACAGAGCTCCTTGTGACGGGCAACAAGATAGCGGAAACGTCTCTGGAAAGTAAGATAATCATTCTCCTTGACTTGTAATTTTGTCAATTCCTTGAAGACATTAACTCGTTCCTCTGCCAGTGATATCGCATATTCCACATTGATCTTGTCCCACAGGGCCGCAGCATTGTCAGCTTCCAAGGTTCCAATAGTAGTTCGAACGTTTCCAACAAGACTCGATAGCATACGCCTATATAGAGACTTGGAACGGATCCTCCACTTCTCGGAGTCGATATGACGTGTAAAAGGGGATTCTCGTTGGGTCCTCAATAGGATGTCGGTTCCGCCAATAACTTCCGCATCAGCCAACATACCGACACGCCAGGCTTCATAATTAGAGCCATCAAATGTGGTCACTGATTTGGTGTCTAGTGCATATTTGACTTCCTTCTGGTATTCCCGCAACTCATCCCTCGTGGTGTCTCTTTGTGCAGGTGTAGTGAGATGTTGAGTGGTTTCAGCCGCAGCCATCTGGTTCCGTAGCATCATCTGCATAAGATCCATAAGATTGCCTGCGGTGCAATAGATAGGTTGATTCGGATCACCATTAAAAGTCGGCATTCCGGGGGTGGGGGACGGTGGAGGATTCGATGGGTTGGAATGAACAGATTCTGCAGATGGATGTTGGGGTTGACTCTGCTTTCCTTTGTCCTGAAGTTCCTCCGTTGTCTCATCATCAAATTCCATACTCTGGCGAAAACTGACCTCAGCCTCATCTTGCAAGTCAGGAGCTTCCTCATAATGAGTGGTCATCCTATCAATGAGTCGTCTAGTGGAGCGTGTGGTCCTGGGCCTTGAGCTGGACTCTGGAGTAACAGGCGTATCACTCATATCGAGGTGACTCTGCTTCTCCTAGGTGTGTAAAAAAAAAAGATAAAAAGTGATATCCTCCACAATGGAGAACGCGCTTTCTCAAAAAAAATAAAGTATATGAATCCGCTGACTGGCAGATTCAGGGAAAATGGAATATCTCTAATAAAGAGTAAGAGTCTTTCCAAAAAAGGTGAACTATCCGTGTCAAAAATGTGTTGGTACAACGTTCTAAAAAGAAAAACGTGCCATCCGGGCTATATCCTGTAGGATAGTTGAAGGTTGTATTGATAGATCTATCTACAGGAACATATTATAGTGGTGGGTCACGTGATCTAGTGGGATCGCTAACCGCAACGGCCGTAAGGGCCAACAATATCATCATCATTAAGTTATATCATCGATATAACCTTCCCCCTCGTCACAAAAATAACTTTGGTGCCTTGAAGTAAATTTTGGAGGCAGGAGAGACAGACCCATTTTGATTTGATATCCAAAGAGTTTTCAATGTTTTCATGATGTCAGTCAGTAACTAAGTTACTCCTCCGTAGTTATTCGATGCTCGGACTATTTTGAAATCTACAGGGCGTTCATTCCAACGCAGCAAATTTCAATAATAACTATAAGCGATTGAGAATAATATTCTCGAAATAAATGGTCTCTCTCCGTCATGTTTCCGCGGGTGAATCAATGGATCACGGAGGGATTTCTCAATTCAAATTCAGGGCTTATCATCTTGTTTTGATTGGAGTAATAATGATAATAATAATAATAATAAAAGAAAAATACCGTTGACTCGGGTAGGTAAAATCATGCATTCAATACAGTACATATCCCAAATATGTCCAATGAACCGTTCGTTTCCTGATGAGCTGGGGAAAGAAAGGGGCGGGGAGAGGGCATGAGGGTGTTATTTTGGTCACGGCAATGTGGAAACGAACACGCAAATAGCACTGGGGGGCTTCAGAGGGCGTAAAGAAAGAGGGAACATATGATAATAAAAAAAGCTAGAATGAACAGGCAATACTGTATATGCCATGTTACCTATCCCCTTTTATTGATCAACTATCGGTCATTTTTGCACGAAGAAAATGCGTTTTGGGTATGAGATGGCAGCGGTGGTATCTTATGGTTATGGGAGGAGAGACAGTAAAACTTTGGAATAAAGCTGAATTACAGAACCAGGTGAAAGCTCGGAGTATGAAGTATGAAACAATTTTCATGCTGCGGAGAAAAGATAAAGTGGGAATATAAAAGATAAGGAAGTAGATGCCGGGAGAAAAGAAAATAACAGTAGGAAAGGAGAAGAAAAGAAAAGAAAAGAAAAGAAAAGAAAAGAAAAGAAAAAGACAGGAGATACATTAAACATTTCCGCCCGCTGAATTTATTCCATGATCGTGTTTCTCATTTCATATTAGTAGTCCATTACTGGGTATCAAGCCGTTTAATGTCATCGTAAAGCGTCGACATGCTTTTTCTTTCCCCCTTTCTTTCCTTCCCTTTCTAACATGGGGATGTTGCTGAGAGCGGCCATGCAAAGCTTGTATAGAGCAGAAATGATCACAAATAGCAGATGCACATACAAGAAAAAAAAAAAAAAAAAAAAAAATAAGAGAGAAAAGCGGTAGCAATGGAACGTAAGAACAAACGAATCAAGTCAAAAGGGAGCAAGCACAAAAACGAAACGAAGGAAGGGATCCATGACATAATTTTTTTCGTTAATACAGATACACCGCATGTTACATGCGGCATCTCGGGACACATTCACACCCCCAACAACTCTCCCCAGAACCTAATGTTTCTTCCTCGTCCTATAATCATGCGTCGCAACAATCTCGTTATCATCATCTTCCTCCTCCTCTTCAAAAACAACCGGCGTCCTCCTCTCATTCCGTCTCTTCGGCCGTCGCCTTCGACTCGAGCTAATATTACTTGCAGAATCAGACGGCAGAATCTCCGAAACCCCATCGTCGATCCCGTCATCCGTCGAGCTCTCCCACCCACCGTGGCCATTCGGCCCGTAGCCCCCGATGCCGGCCGCAGGGGTGCCAGAGAGCACCTCAACACCGCCTGATCCCCCGCGCCGCGCTAGATTGGCAACGTGCAAGCCTGCGCCACGCTCGCGAAGAGCACCGCGGATCGCCTCTGCTTTGACATGCAGGATTTCGAAGGCGTCTTCCAGCGCTTCCATGCCCAGGTAGATATCTCGTTCTATTTCAGCAAGGGCGGCGATTTCAGTGTCCTCATCGACGTAGATCGGGGCGCCAAATGAGGCCGGCGCCGGCGTGGAGGTGCGGGATGGATATGAAGAACCGCCGTACGGCTGGCTGACGTTTCGGAGTCTGGTGTTGGATGCTTGGGAAGTGGGTCGGGTGGAGCCGGGTCTGGCCCCGCGGATGGGAGGGGCGGAGAAAGTTTGGGGAAGGTCGTCGTCGGCCCCGCTGCGGAGGAATCCGTCGAATCGTCCTGATATGAGAATGTCCCATTCATCGCTGCTGATGGCTGCTAGTGTGGCTAGAACGTGGTGTATGCCCGGGTTCTTCAGCAAATAAAGCGCTGTTTCAGGGTCACGGGGTGGGACAGATAGCCTGTATAGTCGTTGGATAGCAGCGCCGGATTGAACGATGGCATCTGGTCGATCTCGTGGTTTGGGAGTTTCGCGTTTTGGCTCTGGCGGTCCCATTGAGATATCTAATAGTGCACTGAATAATTCTCTTTCCTCCTTGTCCAAATAAGTTACCATTGCAAACATAAGAGTCTCGTCATCAATTTCCTCAGGCGGGCTGCCGCTTTGGTGGTCGTTGTTGCAAGAAAGCCATTTATCCACAGCATGCTTCGTTTTCCTAGACTGGCGAACAAAGTGTTCCCTAAACTCCTCTGGGATATCCATATCCAACTTCTGCATGGGTTCGTCACTGTTTGATTCCGTAATATCTGCGGCGCCCGGTTGGGAAGCGATGTTAAACGGAGGCCACGGCGGGAGATCTTGTCGACCAGAAACAAGCTCCAAAACCTCGCCCCAGCTCACTCCCTCTGGCGAAACCTCGCTGTGGGAACACAAGACGCACTGGCATGATTCAGACGAAATATCTCGCGCAAACACGGCTTCCAACCTGTCCAACAGCCTCCTTGCGACCGATCTATACCCTGTAGCAACGGCGAGGGATCCGCATTTCGATATAACTGCCCCGTAGTCGTCCAGTAGCTTATTGTATGGCTCAAAAAGTTTTGAGGCAGCTGCAGCGGGTTTGAAGAAATCCTGCGGCATGTTTGCAGATTCGCCCGCCCCGAGGAAGCTCCTAGGAACATGATATTTGAGCCCACCATTGTTCAGTAAATAGTCCACTTTCGGGATGGTAATGGGCACATTAGGTGGTGGAGGCGGGGGCGGGGGCAGCCCAGTGGACGGGGAGTGAAGTGCTGATGGCGGGCTCTGCTTCCTCGGGGAAGAGTATCCTCTTGGCGTAGGAGTTCTGCGAGGTTCAGGCGGAGCTCTCACAGTCATCGAGGGTCGTTGATATGTAGATTGCTGATTCGGTGCGATAGATGTTGCATCTGAGTCGACAGTGGAGGGTACAACTTCAATTTCGACTTGTGTTACTGATGACTGGTCTGGCGAGGACTTTACTTTTCTGCGGGATGACTGTTTGGCTGAATTGCTCCTCCCGAGCGGTCTTGATTTAGATGCATTTCCGCTGGTTGGAGATTTGTTGTGCTGATTGTGCAGAGATTCAAACAATAGCTTCCCCGGTGTACTTGGTCCTGACCCTCTGCTGCTCGTTTTCGAACCTTCATCTGACTTGCGGCGCCGCAAGCTTGAGGTAGAATCCTTGGAGATGGGTTTGGGCCTATGCTTCTTCTTTTCATCTTGGTTCTTTGTTGTACTTCGTTTCTCCTCTGATCTCTTGTTCCCACTTGTACTGTCCCTCCTCGTTGACTGTTGATCGAGGTTCGTTAACGGGGGGCTTGGTGGGGAGCGGTGAGTGCTATGCCGTCGTGATGCCTTCCCCTGCTCTGTAGGACTAGTGTCATCTCCTCTTGCCTTGCCACTTGCTTCATCTCTTGTAGTTAGATCAGTTGGTTCGGGCGTCAAGATGTCCACTTTAGGTTGCCCAAGGCTTTCCCTGCTCCCCAGAACCCCGACCGCTTCTTTGCTGTGCGCTTTGGAGAATGTCGGATACGGTAAACTGGGCTTTGACTCCAGGAAGCAGGCAGAGGAGGGGCGGGAATTCGAGTCGGAGGCGGGCATCGATGGATTTGATGAGTTCAACCTGTGGTCTCCTGTAGCAGCCCTTCTCCGTTCTCTCTCTCTGGTGGCGGGGTCGCTTGGTCTTGTTCTGTGGAATATCCTAGGTGTCCGTCTCTCGTATCTGGTATCAGAGTGTCTGCTTCCTTCCTTTTCAACGGGATCCCCTAGTAACGATGGTGGCGAGCGATATCGAGGGCGACGTTGTTCCCTGTCCTTTTCTCTCTGACTCCTGCGTGGGCGATCCCGGTCATCGTCTTTCACGGTCATGACGCACTCCAGGGAACGACAAGGAATTCCTCCGGCGTAAGATGGCTCGTCGGCTGTGGCGTGTAATCCACAGCTTGTAGCGAAGATTCCTTTGCCAGCCACTAAGAAACCGATCTGTTCAACATCAAATCTCCAAATGCTTGTTCCTTGTGGCTTCTATTCAGACCCGATTCGGGTTTAACGTGAGGGACAAGGGTGTGACTGATGACGGAGGGGTGCATTTGGTTGGTGCGTCGGTGAAACGTCCAGATGCTGACTTCAACTTTGCTAAGCTGGGACTCCCGTGTCTAAACAAGCGAGTCAAGTTGCGGGACCAAGCGTGAAATGCTGAATGCCTGAATGGCCGATACACGCAAGGCAGCGGACGACACAAGAGCCTGAGTTTTTTGGGCGTTGCACGGAAGACTGCACAGAAGCGCTAGAAATTCCCCAAAGAGTGGCTCAATCGGCTTGACTCTACAGCAAACATGGGTTCGTACAGCCAATCGGGAGCCTTTACGGAAGTGGCTTGGGCTGTGATACAGGTTGATCTCTCGGACGGCGAAACGGTCAATGAGGCTCGGTCGGACGTTGTGTTGCTTATTACCGGATTCGGCTATCCATCAATCACCACACCAACATTGGCCTGAACTGGTTGACTTGGACAGCGCTGAGACATTAATCATTTCTTTTTCTTTGGATGCTGTAAATCCTGGGTTTTCTGGTAATATGTAGCCAAATAGAATAACAAAATTGTAAATATCAGTACGATTTTTATAAACATGGCTAAATCCAGAAAGACATATATATATATATTTATAGAACAAAAAATTATTACGTTATCATTTATCCTGAATTGCTTTTTCAAAATATATTGACGTTTCCGCCATCGAAGATTCAAGAATCCAACTGCCGTTTGTTTCAACGGCAATGCTTCCCTTCATGGCAGCACTGAGGAGCTTCTTGCTCGCCCGTTTTCTACGCCCCGTCTCCACTTCCCATTCCCACCCTTCCTTGAGCCACATCCAGGTCAAATACCCACGCAGCTCTTTATCCTTGGGAACCACTGATTTCCACTCCGGCACAAATCCATCAGACGCCTCCGTGCCCTTCCAGTCACTCGCCAGGCCCCTCAACTCATCACGACAAAATATCCTCCAGCTATCAATGGCATACGAGCCCAGGCCGGGAAGATGGGCAATTTCCCAGGCAACCCGTGCGTCACCGTCTTCCACACATTCTCTAGGTTTGATATCACGCCCGTCGCCCTTGTTGGGATAATGTAGCTTCCTATACCGTTTTCCTTTGGCTGGGGGGTTATCAATCCAGAGCTTCGCAAGGGCAATACATTTGCGCGCACGGGCATTCTGGAATCCCAGACAGCGTATCATCTCGACAACATCCTCTTCCTGCGCCTCTGCAAGGGCTGCGACGGTCGGATATCTCTCAAAGACGCTGTATAGAACCGGGATCGCAACTTCGCCCCGGGTTCGATTAAGGAAGATCGTTGAGATCAATAGCCGGAACGGGTCGTGGGCGAGCTTCTCTTGGATCAAGCCGAAAGATTGGGCCGATATTGGAGGGAACGGGAGGCAGGAAGCGGCATTTCGGCGCTCCTGGGGGAAATAGGGGGACTTCTTGGGCTGTTTGGCCATATATTTCGGGGAGATTCCAAGGCTGTTGACGAAGATGGTGCTTGTTCTTGTTGGGGGTCCCGGGGGTTGATCGGCCCTTCTACCAGCAGCGCTGGTGGTGACTGAGCTCTTTTGCCCCAGTAGCCTACAGGTTATGAGACCGTTGAGCGTGAGCCCCGCTGTGGTCAACATGCATGGGTTCGATCCCAGAATGGACTTAAGAAAATCTCAAAACAAATACCCCGGACATTTAACAGTGCCAAGAGACATCCTAGGAGTGAGCCCTTGAGCCCTAGGAGTGAGTCCAAAAAGAAAGACCGCTGAGAGGAGCCACTAAGAGGAGCCACTGAGGGGAAGTATTGTACTCTGTGGTTAGCTGGTCCGAGGGGGGGTGTTGGGGGTCCCGGGGGTTGATCGGCCCTTCTACCAGCAGCGCTGGTGGTGACTGAGCTCTTTTGCCCCAGTAGCCTACAGTTCTTGCGGCTTGCTGAGTCAGTGGTCGAGGTTCCCTATCACGTGGTGCCCCCACCAGCAGTCCAGTCCGAGGTTCAACTTCGCTTGAGTCGCATACACCATTTATTTTAATTCTGGTGCTCTTTCTCTCCATTTTATATATATATAACCTTACCCAACTTCCGGACCGTCCCTGGCGAGCTCAATGCTCTGTTTTGTTTTTAGCCCTGCATATCAAAAAGCTAATATGCAAGGAAAAATAAACCGTTAATGCGTACCATGGCTCCGTTCCCGACCATGCCTGCAACAACTAAGCGCCCGCCGCTCGTTGCGGAACGCTGCGCGCAACCTTCCAGGCAACCTTAAACCTAAACCTGAACTCAAGGTGGAGGGAAGGCCATCCAATGACGGGGGAAGACTGCATACCCCCTGCCATAGTGGCTTGACGTTTCAGATAAACGAACGCAACAAATCCAGTGGGATATATATATGGGCCAAGGGCCTTCTCTGCTGGTGGCCTTCAAAATATCTAGAAAATAGGCCATTGGTTTATTTACTCCGCTATTCAAACCCTCATTTTAAAATATGGTGAACCCTTATGAGCCGTTATTAAGGTCAATTATGTTGGCCGGGGCATGTTAACCTAGTTTGGATTTAAGCCTCCCAAACATTAGTCACCCGCTTCGGCTGTTTATTCTAGCTGTGATATTGGGGATAGTATATCACTTATTGTAAAACCGCCAATAAACGCTTAGACGGGCCTTGGGATATTTACTTAGGATGATACCTTACAAATACAGCCAGCTGAGCCTGTCATTCGCCCGTCCTCCACTTCGACAGATTGCTACTGTTGTCCTCCAATCTCATATAGTTATACCCGTGCGACACCCCGACTAAGCGCCCCCCCACGTTGAGTCCTCGCCACTACTATAACAACTACCATCACTGTCTGATTAAGAAAGGAGCAGCCCAGTCGGTAGCTCCAATATGAAAGAAATGAATACGGTTCATCTCGTTCGCCTCGATTTTAACAAGGGTATATATATTATAACGATGGCTCTATAACCGGTCCAAAATGTTCTTTGGAAGGAGATAGGTGTCTACAAGTTCAACAAAAATCAGCGCACTCACCCCCACACACAACCACCCCGCCAGAATTCTTCTGCCTAGGCTCCCCAACCGCCTCAAACTTGCTCTCCCCAAACACCCGGATCGACTGCACCGTGCTCCTCCCCAGTGGCACGTGTTGCACCGTATGGTTCCGCCCAGCCATAAACGCCACCGTGCTGTTATCAAAGGGATACTCAAACATCGACACATTCGGCACAAGCTGGTCATGCAGGCGGGGTTCCCGCAGCGCCTCGGCCGCCGACATACCCCTATCAATGACGTTGATGATACTCTGCACGACGCTGGTGATGATGCGCGAGCCGCCCGCGGCACCCGTGACGAAGTAGAGCGTGCCGTTGGGATGGGTGACGATTGTCGGGCACATGGAAGATAGCATGCGTTTACCCGGGCGGATGAAGTTGGCGGGCGACGGGATGAAGCCGAAGGCGTTGTCGGCATTGGGGATGGAGAAGTCGTTCATCTCGTCGTTCATGATTATGCCGGTTTCGGGGACGATGAGTTTGCTGCCGAAGAGGAGGTTTATGGTTGTGGTGAGGCTGACGGCGAGGCCGGAGCGGTCGGTGGAGACGAGGTGGGAAGTTCCCGGGCTGAAAAGGATGTGAGTTATTCGTTCGAATGCACCATGGGCCTAGTTTTGTGTCCGCCCCTTCTACAGAATCTTCTGGGATGGGCTGGAACATACGTATCTAGACTTTCTAGTCCCTCTGGGTCATATGCAGAGATGTCTTGGGTATGGTGGTCGGAGATTTTAGCTCGAATCATAGCGGCCGTGGAAGCATTGAGCATATGATCTTCAAATTCGGCCAATCGCTTCACAAAGGAAGGGTCACCTAATTGCGTACGCTATGGGGAGTACTTGTGGGTCAGTATTCAGAAAAAACGTAGCCCCCATACAGGTGAATCGGGAGTAGAAGTAGGGGGTGCTTACCTGTCCGTAGGCAAACCGCATTGCTTCAGCAAGGCGGTGGGTGCTGAGATTCACGTTACCCGGCGCGAAGAAATCATCATACTCATTCAAAATGTTCAAGATACTCATTGTAACAACACCGCTAGACGGAGCACTCGTGCTGGTCACTTTGTAGCCCCGGTAGCTGACCTGTGAGATACCTCGAATCGCAACGGTATAGTTCTTCAAATCATCCAAGGTCATAGTCCCATTCTGCGCCTGGAGGGCTCTGATCGTGGCCTGCGCAATAGGTCCAGAATAAAAAGCATCAGCCCCATATTGGGCAATTTTCTCGAGCGTGTCAGCATATCGTCGACGAGTGATGATATCTCCCAACCCCAATAGGACTCCATTGGGGGCAAAGTCGACTGCCCAGGCAGGATCTTTGGACAGAAAATCATTTTCCCCTGCCGTTTCGGCCTCCATGTAATGGACCAGATCCTCGTTGACGGGCCATCCATCACGCGCAGTGCGGATGGCCGGCTGCATGACGGTTGACCAGGGCAAAACGCCATATTTCTTATGCAAGTATTCCAGACCGCGAACTTCACCAGGTACGCCGCTGTAGTCGTGGGGTAATTGGTTAGTAAGAAAGGAAAATTTTTGGTAGGGTATATCGAGTAGCTCAGCATATACCTAGCCAGACCCCCTATAATGGACCCTTCCACATTATCCTTATACATGTCTTCAAACGCAGCTGCGGGGGCCACCTCTCTGAAATCGATGAACTCGTACTTGTCATCCGGCGTTCGCACGACGGCAAATCCACCGCCACCGATACCGCTATGATACATTGCTGGAACGAGAAGCACGCAGTTAGCAAAGGCACATTTCTACTCACTGGGGAATCCCTTGGTTGTAGAGGGGAATGAAAGAAGGGAAGGAAAAAACCTACCAGTTACGCCAATGCAGAAGACGGTTGCGACCATCTAGACGACCGAATGAGTTTATATCCTTAGCATTTCAAAGCACGCATCCACGCAGTTCAACTCTTGACTCCGCCAACCGAGATACAGGTGTAACATATGTCAATCAATCGGGGATCGGGAATCCTGGAAGCCCTCCAGGATGTGAAGCGACAAGATAACACGACCAATCCACTCCAGAAATACATAAGAAGACCAATAATGAAGGAAACGAGGGGGATATGAAAAAAAAAAAAAAAAAAAAAAAAAAAAAAAAAAAAAAAAAAAAAAAAAAAAAAAAAAAAAAAAAAAAAAAAACTCACAGCATCCGCCGCATTTCCGCCAATCTTCAACATCTCCCCCCCAAGCCGGCTACAATTCCGATTCTCAGAGGCAACAGCACCCAGCTCGCCATGATGATGCCCACCACAATTGCCATATTTACCCGGGTCTCCTCCAGAACCACTCAGCTTCGCACCCCATGTCTCGGTGAATGTCGTAAAGGACGAGAAGAGGTAAAACGACGTGAGCAGCACCGTGATGGCAATTGAGGTGAGAAGAGCAAGGAACCCAGTGAGCATCCTGTCCAAGAGAAAAGGAGGGGGGGAAGAAGCCCCGCCTCCTCGACCCGGGAACCGGGGAGTATTTATATGAACGTATTGCTATGCAGCTAAAGCTCCAATTCTCTATATTTTGTTTTTACTGAATTCTGGAAGGATTCTTTGTTCCCTTGCTGTTTAACCTCGACGGGCACAACGCTGATCGGCTCGGGTAGCCCAGTTCTCATACAGGGGTCCAATCGGGCAGCGGCTTGTACTCTTCGGCTCAAGAAACGGGCGGAGCAGGAGTGGAGGAAAGGAAAGTCAAACAGTGCATGAATTATAATTGATCAGGTCGTGTTATGGTGCTGACCGGACTCTTGCGCGCTGTCGAAGGGAGACAACGGCCTTTCTGGCGGTTACAATACGGTGGTCGGCAAGGACAGGAAATGAATGTGATCGGCGGACAATACAGTTGATAGCCCCGGGACTGGACAGCTTTTTGCGTGGAAAGCTTTGACAAAGGAGAGTAAGTGTATGCGCCGAAAAACGGAAGCAAAGTGGGATCAGGACTAAGTAAGTGTACGGAGCAAAATCGGACGGGGAAAATATACAATATGCACAGAATCACACCACAGCTCCCTATGATGATCTTTGAGCGCTCCCTCCCGGGGTCTGTGGTGGTCTGTGGTAGTCTGTGGTTTGTAACTAAAGGAAGATTGTAAAGTGACGACAACTGAGGAGGTTAAGAGGTTATTTCGGATGCCGGAGACAGGTAAGAAATCGGCAGGAGGCTAAAAAAAGAAAAAAAACCCTCCGCCAAAGCCGAGGCACCCGAAATCCCCACTATGGCTTTAGTGCAGTTTAGTGGCCAATGTGCGCTCAAAGCCTAAAACCCTGCTTGTTTGGAGGCTAACTTATGATTTAATTAGGGCCTGTTCAGTGCGGCTGTGTGTACTCGTCCTTTTTGTACGGATCTCCACCTTTTTTAAAAAGTATAGCTTCAATATATCACAACTGTTCAGTGGACAGAGTGTCTGTACTAATATTACAGCTGCTTTTTGCAAAGTACAGATGAAAAAGGCCAGGTGTTTGATGGATTGAGTGACTATACTTGCATCTTTCATCAAGATCGAGATGTTGCTCTTTTATTCTCCAAGTTTCCAGAGGAGGTGACTCAGAAAGAACCGCCTTGCCTATATGAATTTAGCGTAGCGCCCAACGTCATGCCAAGGAATGACTAACCCACCCTCGCCGCCGCAGTCCAGCAATTTTTTATTTTATCAGAAGAAGATACCCATTTTCGCAACTAGCTCTCATTCAGCAAACCATCGAAGCATCATCTCGATTAATTCTTCACCGTCCATATAACCCCCCCTATCTTCCGCGAGCGCGGACAAAAGAGGTGAACCCTCTCCAGCGGGGCAACTGCTTGGCACATATCTCACAGTCGTCTGCCAACTATGACGACCATAGCAACTCAATCGCAGTATTTGACTGTACAAAATCCACCGTTAGATCAAACGTCTGCGCGGGATGAGACCTTGAACCCAAATAATTCCGGTTCTAGGCGCATAGGTCGTCGAGGCAGAGGAGGAAACCGTGAGAGCGGTAGAGATGTAGATACATCACGCAATCGGCCGTTTGTTCACGGAAGAGGGAGACGAGGTGTTGGGCCAAGCCGTAGGGGAGCGGGGACAGGAGCAGGAACGGGAGCAGGAACAACAATATCCGCGAGAGGGAGAGGGCGGGATGATGCACCTAATACGACGAAAACCGTGGCCGGGATGGGAAGATCATTTGGCGGCCAATTGACACGAGAAGCACCAGAGACAGCTGAAGAGGGCAGAGGAGACGGTTCTTCTGCGCAAGGGGAGCAGGGCTCACTACGACCCAGTGCGCCGGAATTTATACCTGGAGTCCAAGTTCCTATGTCTACAACTACACCGACACTTTCTCATTCCTCTACGCCCATCCGGGAACGAACGAGACAACCAAGGCCTCCTAAAGCAAAATCTACGGCGCATGACATTGCCACGCGCACGCACGAGGACATCGCCAACGGGATATACGAATGCCCCATATGCACAAACGAACTTGGTCGAAAGACGAGAGTATGGTCCTGTTCATTATGCTGGACGGTTTTCCATCTCAGTTGCATAAAGAAATGGTCGAATAACGAAGGCTCGGTAATGGCGAGGCCAAGGCAACAGCAGGACCACGAGGATGGGCAAGACCACCCGCGACAGTGGCGTTGCCCGGGATGCAACTTGCCACACGACATTTTACCATCGACGTACAACTGTTGGTGCGAGAAAGAGATGGATCCGCGACCTTTGCCGGGATTACCGCCCCATTCTTGTGGCCAAACGTGCTCCAGGGCGAGGAGAGGGTGTCCACACCCTTGCGATTCTGTGTGCCATTCAGGCCCTTGTCCTCCGTGCGCGGCTATGGGCCCAACGCAGTTTTGTTTTTGTGGGCGCCACGAGTCGACTAAGAAATGCGTTGACACTGATTATGAGAATGGTTGGAGCTGTCGGGAACCATGCGGGGAGTTGCTGCCGTGTCTCCAACACAAATGTCCTCGTCCTTGTCATGAAGGCCTCTGCGGGGCCTGCGAGGAAATTGTCGATGCGAGATGTTATTGCGGAAAGTCTGAGACGAGAATTATGTGTAGTAATCGAGATGAAGAGAAACAGAGCCGTCTCACCCACGGCAAGGGCACTTCCGAAGAAAGGGTAGAGGAATGGGTAGGCTGTTTTGATTGTAAAGAGATCTGCGATCGCGACTACGACTGTGGAGTACATAGATGCCAGAAACGGTGCCATCCACAGGATGTGGCTGTGCCACATTGTCCCAGTTCTCCCGATGTTATCACAAAATGCGCTTGCGGGAAGACAGCTTTATCTGATATTCCAGGCTATCAGCCCAGAACGTCATGTCAAGACCCCATACCAAATTGTAAGGAACCATGTGGGAGTCTGCTTCCCTGTCAGCATAAGTGCCCCGTTCCCTGCCACACTGGCCCCTGTCCACCTTGTTTCTTGAGGGTGTCCATAAATTGCAGATGTGGAAAGGCTTCCTTCCAATCGTTGTGCCACCAAGGGGTAATTGAACCACCTCAGTGCTTTCGACTGTGTAAAGCAACGATGAACTGTGGGAGGCACAATTGCGGTGAGCGGTGCTGCCCCGGCGAGCGCAAGGCAATTGAGCGACAAGCGACAAAGCGAAAGCTGAAGTCGCTCAATATTGTCAATCGCCCTAATGACAACGATATCGAAGCGGAGCATATCTGTACACGAGTGTGCGGAAGGATGCTGAAATGCTCAAAACATACGTGCCAGGAGCTCTGCCACAAGGGAAGCTGCGGTACATGTCGAGAAGCGATATTCGAGGAAATATCCTGCAACTGTGGTCGATCAGTCCTATACCCTCCATTGCCATGTGGGACACAACCCCCTCCATGCCATTACGATTGTGCGAGGCCAAAATCATGTGGACACCCGCAGACGTCTCACAACTGTCACACTGACGACGAGAGCTGCCCCAAGTGCCCATTCCTGACAGAGAAACGCTGCCTCTGTGCGAAAAAGGCATTGAAGAATCAACCGTGTTGGCTAACGGACCCGCGATGCGGACTTGTATGCGGCAAGGAGCTCAAATGCGGCTCCCACACATGTAAGAATCTTTGCCATCGGCCGGGGGAATGTGAGGACTCGACCGAACCCTGCCACCAAGCATGCGGGAAGATCAAAAAGCTCTGCCCCCACCCGTGCTCCGATCCATGTCACGCTCCATTCCCCTGCCAGGAGAAAACCCCATGCCAATCCCTCATCACAATAACATGCCCCTGCGGCCGTTTAAAACAAGAAAAACGCTGCAACGCTTCCCGAGACGACAAAAACCGCTTTCAACAACACCAACAATCTCAATCCCCTAGCCCCTTAAAATGCGACGACGAATGCGCCCGCCTCCAACGCAACCGCTCCCTCGCCTCCGCCCTAAACATCTCCATAGACCCACTCACAACATCAGCAACACCAGCTGACGGGGACTCCATGACCGCAATAACAGGAACCACCCTCCCATACTCCTCCGAAACCCTCGACCTCTACCTAACCCTCTCCACAACCTCCACCCTCTCCACCCTCCAAACCTACGAAACAACCCTCCACACCCTCGCCACAAGCCAAACGCAACGCACCGCCCGCTTTCCGCCCGCCCGCACTCAGCTCCGCGCCTTCATCCACTTCCTCGCCGCTGATTGGGGCTTCGTATCTGAATCCTGCGATCCAGAACCCCACCGGCACGTCGCCGTCTTCAAAACCGCGCACTGGGTGCCGCCGCGCGGTCTTGGGGCCGAGATGGGCGCGCATGTGGGCGTCGGGATTGGCGGGGTGAGTGTGGGCGAGTGCGCGAAGATGCGTGAGAGGGAACGGGTGCGGGAGCGAGAGGCGAAAAGGGCTTCTGCCGCGGCTGCGGAGAAGAGTCGGGCAGTCTACGAGAGCGGTGTTGGGGATTTCGGCGCTATAAGTGCGGGGGCGGGTGATGGTGGGTGGGCGCAAGTTGCGTCTAGGAAACGGCCGACGGCTGTCCCGCCGAAATCTGCGTTTGGGTTTGGCGCGGTTGGGAATGGGAATGGTGTGTTGGGTGGTGAGAAGGGGGGGACGTTGGTGTTGAGGAGTGGGGTTGGGATTGCGGGGAGGGTTAAGGGAAGGGCGGTTGTCTCTGGTTCTGGCGGTGGGAGTGGCAGTGGGAGTGGTTGGAGGCAGTTTCCTGCGGGGTTCGCGGAGGATGTTGTCGATAATTGGGAGGAGGAGGTTGAGAAGGAGGAGCGGGAGGAGCGGGAGAAGGGGCATCCAGATGTAACTGAGAATGGTGCCGGTGAGGTTGGTGGTGAGGGTGCGAGTGACAGTGCGGAGGTAATTGGGAATGCAAATGAGAGTGTAAATGGGATTGCGTGAACAGCGAGGACCGGTGATACATATTGCTAAGTGAAGAGTCGGGAACACGGGAGACAATTTCAGTATTAAAGAGATGCAGAGAGGGAAGGTCCTCCAACTATCCCATCACTTAATACCCCATCGCCCACTGGGGACCGAATATCCCAGCTTGTTTTACTTTGTACAGTAATACTGCACAAGAACAGTACGCATACACTCCCGCTTGTGCATCCCATATGATGACAGCGCAATGCCTTTTTTTACCCTCTCGCGGCTACCTGTTATGATTAACATACAATCACGCTTATAACGTACTGTACAGTACATCATGAGTCCCTGGAGCAAATGCGATAGAGGATACGGATTATGTTTTGTTCCAATGGAATAAATAAATAGCTCTTGCCATCTTCATGTGTAAGTTAGGGTCGCTATATCTCGTAGTACGCAACGAACGAACTGTACTTGAAGTCTCATTTATTATCACTGGATAGATTTGGAGATGATTGCCCGGTTAAAAAAAAAAAAAAAAAAAAAAAAAAAAAAAAAAAAAAATCAATTACCTAGAAAAAGAAAATTTCTCCATCATTATCACTTCCTCATTACGAATCATTTTAGCCCTGCAAAGCCAAGACAAAGACATTTTCTAGCGCGGTACGGAGCATAGATATTATGTATGGAATCACCAAGGAAGAAGCGGACATTCAAAAGAAATCAAAACCAAAACAAGCCCAGAAGTAGACAGAGAGGGGGTAGTTAAGCAATGTAAATAAATAAGGAAAATTTGATATATCGACCCAAAAAGCAAGGGAAGCAAAACTAAAAATGCACATGAATCACCAGACCCATCAATAATGATCATTATGTAGGCTACTGGGGCAAAAGAGCTCGATCACCACCAGCGCCTGCTGGTAGAAGGGCCGACCAACCGCGGGACCCCCAACACATTATCCATGATTTTATGATCCCTGAAATTATTTCCAAATCCTAATCGTCCAAGCAGCAGCCACTTGCCAGTCCGGCTGGGAAAGGTGTCAAAAGCTGAATGAAATGCAAGAGAAAAAAATCTCAAAAAGTGGGAAAAAGTGAAATATATAAGAAAGATGACGGCGGGGGATAGTAGTGGAATAAATAAATAAGAAATGAGTCTTGTGAAATGAAAAAACACGAACAAGTAGATGGAGATGATAGATGGATAACGAAGGAAGAAATGCATAACTCCAAAAAAAATTGAATAACTTAAACAAACACAACTATCTCCCCCCTCTCATTCCTCTTCAGCCTCAACACCCTCCACAACTCCTTCTCCACCTCAATCCTCCGCTCTCGCTCCCTCTCCTTCACCCTCTCCCTTTCGCGCTCCCTACTCTCCCGCCCCTCCTTCCCCCTCCCCCTCCCCCTCCCCCTGCCTCTCCCTCTCTCCATATCCTTTTCCTTTTCCTTTTCCTTTTCCTTTTCCTTCTCCTTCTCCTTCTCCTTCTCCTTCTCCTTCCCCTTCCCCTTCCCCCTCGCACCATCCCTCTCCCTCTCCCCATCTCCCTGTGAACTCCCCCCCATCCCCCCTTCACGATGAAACCTCTTCAACGCCTTATGAACCGAGAACCCCCTCCCAGACTCCGGCCCCTTCGTCACAAGCGATAAAAACACGCTCGCCTGCTCGCGCAGCACGAGCTCGCGCTCCGCCGCCTCCACCTCCGCGTCCTCGTACTCTCCTCGGCGACTACTACTGCCGCTACCGTAGACGACGAGCTGGTTGCTAGTGGCGGCGGCGGTGGTGGTGTTATTATTATTTGCAGAATTCCCATTAGCGATGTCGGCGCGATATTCGATGGTCTTGAGACGGCGCGGGGCCGTAGCGGCGGCGGCGGCGGCAGCAGCATCGGCCTTCTTACTCGTACTGGAACTAGCACGAGCGCTCGTAGCCGCACGGGTGGCCTTGCTAACACCAGCACCAGCAGCCGTAGTCGTGCCACTCCTCTTCGTCACCGCCTTCCTCTTCTTCTCGCGGGGAGGAATGATGGCTTCGGCAAGGCTGGCGCCCTTGCCGTCCTTACTCGTAATAGGCCAGAGCGGGAAAGGTTTACGTGTAGGATCCGTGAAGACGGGCCCCTTGCGGGGGTTGCGGGCGAGGAGGTCCATGATCCGATCTGTACGTTCCTGGATAGCGAGGACGAGGGCCTTGTCCTGTTCGTCCGTGGTAGATTCGTCGTTAGTGTCCTTATCATTATGATTGTTAGTGTTGTTGTGGTTGTGGTTGCCGGAGGCATCGTTATCTGCCATGCGGGTGCGTTTTATGGGGGAAGTTGGGTTGGGGTATTGGTGGCGTCCGTCATTATTGAAGCCCTCGTCGGCGCTGCGGTAGGCTGCGTCTGGTGTTGGTGGGGAGATATCTCTCATCATGCGGTTGATGCCACCAGTAAGGCCTGAGTGGGCCAGCGTTGGGGTTGATGGGTTAGCAATAGCACTTGATGGGGGGGGAGCGTCGATCATTTGGATATCATCACCGCCAGTGGAGGCCGAATTGGCCATCTGGCCATCGACTTTTCCAACATGGCCGCGTTTACGCTTCTTGTCACCTGTACTAGTCGGGTTGTTAAGAGGAGTATGGAACCGATCCGGGGAAGCTGGGCGGTCCTGATCCCGATTCTGATCCCGATGCTGATCTCTATCCCGACGGGATGACCGATCCTTATTCCGTTTTGGTGCTGGGGTCGTGAAATTGTTGAAAGACGCGGCGGATCCATTTGCACCTCCGTTTTGGTATAGTGGTGTCTCTAGGGTGTCTGCGCCATAGGAGAAGCCATTCTCTTCAAATGCCACATCGTAATTTACCTCATCATCCTTTCCATTATCGATCTTTGCAAGCTCCTTGGGCGCATTGAAGAGCGGGGGTGCATCCTTTAGCATAACCATTGGCGCGTCGGATCCTCCTAGGGAGACTTTTGAGGCATTCGGGGTGGTTGTCGTGTCGAGAAAATCAAACACATTCACCTGGGCATTAGGCTTGGTTGTAGTGGTAGGGGTCGAAACCTTTCCAGGTTCCTGGCGGGGAGCAGCCTGGTGAGGGCTAGGAGCGGCCGGAGGGGAAGCATTATGGGCAGGTCTAATCTCGTCAACATCTGGAGCATCTTCTACCCAAGGGTCAGGGGGCCGAGGAGAATTGGAGGAATTCGGGGGTTCAACTATTGTCACGGACTTGAATTTCTTGGATTTGTTTGGCTTCTCCTTGTAGAGGGCACCCTGGTATTTCTGTGCTTCTGATATGCATGACTAGAAAAACACACAAGACCCCAAGACAAAACGTGTTAGCTGGACTATTTTGTTTTGTCATACTAGTCGGGATGGCATGTGGTTTGATGGAGCAATAGGTTGTAACTGTCACGAATGGGAAGACATGATGGCTTCACCCAGGCGCATGGGTTCCGCGATGGCTACCCAATGGCAAAGCACCCATCACGCAACAAATGCGACCAGTGAAGCCATCTGCCAAATCAAACGCAAGGGGGAAGAGGATAGGGGAGACATGGCAGGATGTTTCTGCTGATCCGCCAGGCGAATCATCGATCGACCCGTCGCATCGCCGCTGGGTTGGCTGGCGCGCACATGAAAAAAGAGGTGCACATAGGAACCCATGCAAGCACATAACGCGACGATTCAGACGACCACCACGACAACAACAGCAGATCCCAAGTGCTAGCGCGCGTAGAATTGATGGAGGTGAAATGCGGAATTTATGGGCAGCTTGCGGGGGCTAGGATTGCAGTGCGACGTTTGAAATTTATAAAAAATTTGGAATAGAAGAGGACGTAGCCGTACCGTATGGCCTCGATAAGAGGTTCCGGGGAATTCGACTGAACAATCGAGACAGGAGAAACGCGCGCCGCGACACTGATTACGGTGGGGATCGGTCTTCTTCTTGGTGAAGACGTCGCCGCAAGCCTAGAGGAGAGACTCAATGAGGGAGATATTTAGCTTGTGGTCAGCAATGCATCAACGGGAATATTTAATTTTTTTTTACAGCAATTCCATTCCATCCACCACCACCCCCACCAACCGGTAAGCCACGGTGATAAAAACAAAAAAAAAAACAAAAACAAAAGGACGGATCCAAACCCGAACAGGATAAAATGAGAAGAAACAGAAACAGAAAACGATAGCCAACTCACCTCGCATTGAAACGAGACCATGGTGTCGTGGAAGCAGCAGGACGGGGCCCGCCAGAACAGAGACAGACAAGACCGCAGACAGGGCGGGTCTGGGAGAACAAGTGTCGATGCCCAAGAGGATCAAGAGGAGCGCAAGGAAGAGTCGGTGAGGCGGGGCAGAGACGACTCAACGGCGAGGGCGTGAGAAGTGAGGCGGAGAGAAATGCCCAGTGGGTTTTGAGTTGGGCGAGTTGGATGCGAGCAAACGAAGAATTTTGGAGAATTATTTTATTAATAACTTCATAAAATCTGCTGCAGGTCACCCAAGACAATATAGTTAGTTATATATATGAGCTGGATATCTCTCGTCTTTCACAGAGAGAAATCTTTTTGCTTCTTCTCCTCTTCTGTTCCTTTCTTTTGTTCCTCTTTTTTGTTCTTCCCTGGTCTGTTTCGTCTGAAATATTTACGCCCCAATACGAGGCCAAAAATACCAATATATTTTCAAATGCGCCGCCAGTCAAAAAGGTTCCCAGCAACAAACCAGAAACCAGCGAATAATAAAGAATGAGAACTAGTTAGCCCAGCTGCAGCAGAGACACGGGAAGGCGGCTGTTTAACTAATAAACGGTAAAGGGCCATGAGAGAGAGAGGAACGAGGAGAGCGGGTGAGCAGATCGAAGTCAAGACATTTACGAAAAAAAAAAGAAAACAAAACAAAAACAAGGCCGAAGCAATCAATCACGTCGTCAGCGCAGATGACACCCCCTTGAGGCTAACATTTATATGGTTGTTATGATTATTACGAATATTATGATTTATGACTGACAATCCCTCCGTGCTTTAGGTTGATCCGTTTCTGACACGGCAAGAGAAATTATTATTATTATATACAAAACATACACCGTTATGATGGTGTCTTGTCTCCGGCTTCAGATGCCGCTGAATGTTGTTTATTTACTTAATGTATTATCATATCAACCGCCTTTCCCATCCCATGAACCCGGTCCCGCTCGACATCATAGTCTTCCAGCATCGGATCTGCGGCGAGGGGTTAATCACCCCCCTGTCAAGTCAGGAGAAACGCGAGAAAAGAAATAAATTCATACGCCCATCACAATCGCAATCGCAATCGCAATCCCAGTCCCAGTCCCAGTCCCAGTCCCAGCTCCAGGCCAGCTCAGCCCAAACGATGATCCAATGCGATGGTCAGAATTACGGACTGAACCTCGAAAACAAGCGATAGTTACATACAGAGAGGGCTCTTTCTTCCGTGCAAAAACCGTCGCGCTGTACGCACACACACAGGGCCAGAAGGGTAGAGGGGGGCAGGTGTTTCTTATCGATAACTCAGTCAACTAACTAGCCCCCAGCCCGTCATGCGCGCCCGCGCCCGCCAGCTGCTCCACGAAGTGAACGTATCCTGATCCTGGTCGTCGTCCTCTTCTTGTATTATTCCTGTCATGATGACTGACCTCATGCCCTCATGTCCTGGTTTCGTACGTGTGTGCATATATATATATGTGTGTGTGGAGACTTTTGCTCAGCGGGCGTCCACCCCGTCGCAATTGAAATTCTAGATGAAACCTTTAACTACTGAACAGACAGCAGTATTTTTGTCGCAGTGTCACACTCCGATGGGTAGTTAATGGAGAAGAGAGAGAGAGATAGATAATACGCACCACCTAGCAAGGGGATAATGTATGACCCCAATATCCCTCTCCGCCTCTGGTTTATCTTCAAGCCCTGATTCATTCATTTATTATTATTTTTTGTTTGTCACAACCCAGCAGCAATTGCAAGGCTCCAATTCTCTTTGCAGTTCCGTCCCCCTATTTGCGCACGAAAGCTGATTCGCTCCCGACACCAGCCCATGCACATGGATGTGGCTACTTGTATCAGAAAAGACAGTCCAGCCCACCAAAGGCCAGAAACAGAAGGAAAAAGCAAAAAAAAAAAAAAAAAGTACAGATGCGCATCGAATCACAGTGCAGGCTTTCCTCCCAACTTTTTCCCAATCATACTGCGTAGACGAATATACCCCTCCTCCACCCAGGATCTTCAAACACCAAGTTTACCATACCAGCCAGGCCGCGCTCAAATCATAATCATCATAACCTTGGAAATTTGATTGAAGTGATGCCGCGAAAGAAGTTCTGACTACATACATTGTGAGGAAGTATGTAATGCATAGAACAAGACTTGTCTCTTTCTGTATCGCTGTATCCGCGGCGCGATGTACTGTATATCTCACGTCCTGTACTCTGTATATGTATGTACATGTACATTTCATTTTGTCAGCATATAACTACGGAATACACACTGCGTAAAAATCTTGCGCGAGGCTGTCCAGGTCGTTTCAACCTGGCTGGTATGGTATGGCATATGCGTGTAGTGTACCTAGTATTAGGGGAGTCAGCTGCTCCCCAACCCCCCCCTCCCCCCTCCCCCCCTCTCTGCTTTATTTTTATTTTTATTTTATATTTCTTTTTATAGAGAAAGATTCATAATTATGAAATGTACGGCGTACTGTACTGTAGAATTAGAATGCTGACACCTGAGGCCACCCTAACCATGGTCCTGGGACTCGAAGCGTGCGCATGTAGCTACAGTAGTTAGGTAACTACATGGCTTCATTTTAGCTTATGATGTGGCCAACCAACCGGAACTGTACTGCATAGCATGGAGTTTCTAGAAGGCAAATAGCGGGATGGGATGGGATGGGAGATGTGCTTGGTTAGAAGTGGGATGGATGTGGTTGGGTGTGTTTTGTCCTATTGTTTTGCTCTGATTGATGTATGTACGGAGTATGTGTCTGCCATCCGATATTTTAATAGTTAGCCCTTGCGGGTAGACAATCAGATGGCGAAGTGGATGTTTGGTCGCAAAGGTTTTCGATTTTGGACTTTTTGATATTCAGACTGGTCCGACGACCGAATGATGCAGGTGGTATGCAACTATAACTTTTTGTACAAGCGATAGATGGATGGCGGGAGGTTGGTTCGCGATCCGTAAGTTATCTCATACTTGTGCCATGTGGTTAATTCGGCCTGAATGAAATCAGGGGAAGAGAAAAAGGTAAAAAGGCAAAAGGCAATCCATCTCTATCTAATTTTTAACGTTCGATATGTATTCTCCCCCCCCCCCCTCCCCCCCAACGCTCATCCCCAATGTTTCACCGGCTAACTTGCCGCTGACGGCTAACTAGCAGAGCAGTTGGCCTTTATATAGCATATATACCATGTGCCACCGCAACGAGCTACCGTCCAGACTCTAGGAAGTGAAGAAGGAGCTAACATTAGTCCCTCATTGACGGGAGTTGATATAACCAGTCACCAACCCCGTCCGTTCATTCGCGCGTTGTGGTTCCATTCAAATAGCGGCCGGCCGAATAGTAAAGACAAAACCCGGCCAGGGGAAAATAATGCACAGTACATAGTTTGGTCCATCCACACCTCAGCGCTTGGTATGTATGTATATGCTAGGGGGGTTAAGACAGGGGAACACAGAAAAGGCTGTTTGTTAAGCTCTTTTACAAAACAAACAGCCGTGCAGTCATGGCGCTTTCAAGGCAATGACGTATGATGTGGCAGTACTAGGAAACCAGGGGAGTTAGCAAACCTGCGAGTATAGATTTATATTACTCGGCAGAAGGCTCAGTGCACTGCAAATTCAAAGACGGGGTAAAATGGTACCTTGATATAGGTTATCACTCAATTGCACACTTATTGGTAGCTGATCAAGAGGCAATAATTCCAGGAATCACAAGTTGGGTATGAGATTTAGGGGGAAACAATCAACTCTGCTGTTGACATTTATAGAAATGATTCATTAATCATGCACTAAACTATGAACCCACCAGTTTGTTCAGCAAACAGGAAAATGTAGTGCAACCAGTTTCAACAGAACAGGTGGTAATGCCAAAATCCAAAGGCGTGAGATGGTGGGGAAGGGCAATGTACAGTACAGAATATCATAGTTGAAGCCCCCCGAAGAGTGATCAAAAGTTGGATCCGTCAAGCTTCTGGCTTTCCATGTAGCCACCACTGTTTACCATCTTATTGCGAAATTCTTGGCCATGTATTCGGAGGACGAGGAGACGTGAAAACTTGTGGAATTAGAAAAAGCGATATGATGCGCACTGTAGTTGCGGATTCGGACCAGAACAGCCAGGACGGGTCTGAGTATCCAGTGATGAAGCCACCAGCAGAGCAACCTGAGAGAGCGGTTAGGTTTATTATAGCTTTAACCAAATGAATCAAAGAATCCAACAGAATCTCAAACCTCTGTCTTTCTCTCTCACGCACGGCCAGCAGCGGGACGAGGGTGTATGCTGTCAAACCACGTCCTCGCTGCTCCCGAGTCCTCAAATCTCAGCCGTAGATCCTCTTGCAAGTGCACAGATACCGCTCGCGCCGACATTTTTTGAGAGAGAGACGCGAACAACGTCACTGGCTTCAAATCTCATTGTCCGCCATATATCTTAGACAACGGCCTGATAATGAGCGGGTCAAGAGCGCTAGTCAGGGCTCTATCATGGTTGATTTCTGCGGGCGTCATGCCCAACTGTGGCCGTAACTATGAGAGAGACAATAAGCCCATCAGTTACCATCCATCTAGTCGAATTAGACAGTTGGTTGGTTAGTATCACCAGCTCCCGGCTGATGCAACGGCGGTTCGAGCTTTGGAACTAGGTGTTGAAGTAAAAAGCCGCGTTCCACACATTTCCCCGAAGTGCCTTAGAGAAGAAGAAGAAGAATGACACGTTGGGTTATTGAAGGGCATTCATTCTTGGTCAGCGAATACTTAATAAGTTATCAGTTTCCGTTACCGCCATTATTATATCCTGCAAGGTGTGGACTTTATCATTCTGCCCAGCGAAAGTTAGTTTTGGTGCTTCTTGCGGCTAATACATCCGAGAAGCTGGCAGTCGTTCTTGATCAGACCAGCGAATACAGCGTTCCAATGAGCTTTCACGCTTCGCTTAGCTCTGGTTGATTTGCCAGGGAGCAGCCGACTTTAGCTCTGGGGCCCGTTACGGGTCTAAAATATTTGTTCCCAACCAACCCATCTGATATATTATTGTCTTGGTGATACATAACTGGATGCTGTGTGTTGCACAGCGGTGGAGTGGAGTGTCGATTCTATTCATGGAGAAATTCTATTTTGTTTTTGAAGTACCATCATTGGCATGATCATGATTCAAAAGGAGCGAAATAGCCAATATATAATCTATGAGTATCTTGCTGAAGATAGCTACTTGCAGAATGTGCATAGAAACACAAAGAAGTGATGAATATGCCCAATTCTTCATGCTGCTTATCTAAATGGATAATTCTCTGAATGAAAAAAGTGCTCAGTGGAGGTGGGGAATGTATGTCCAAGTGAGGTTTAGTCATTATCATAAATAAAAAATAAAAAAAGTCAAAGACAACAACAAATATAAGATGGGGGAAAACTCTGTTTTAGCTGGGTTTCCTCCCGCTGACAAAATAGGTCTTGATATACATATGGTTCTGCCGATTGCGAAACTCCGCCTTCACTTTGGCCGAGAGGACCTGGCACTCAGCGTGAGTCCATCCAAGAACTTTACCCATAAAGCCGAAAGCGTACGCTTCAACGCCTAGAAGAGCATGTTCCAGGAAATAGCGTCCGACTTCTTTGAGTTTTGGGTCTTTGGCCCAGGGACCGATTGGAACCTAGATGTTGACAGGTGAGATTGATGCAAGTGATGAGGGAGGGTTTTTTGGAATGATAGGGGAAAAAAAAAAAAAACAAACCTTGTGGATTTCCTCCCGCACATCCTCGAATCCCGCGTCAATAAGCATTTGCTTAAACTTATGAGCGACGTTGAGTTCCTTCCCAAATTTCTTCGCGGCTTCATTGCAGAGGGTTTGGTACTCAGCGGAGGCAGTGGCCCTTTCCATGGTATCGTCATCGGACGACATCCAAGCCTCAGGTTCCTGAAGCTCCAGCCATCCTCCTGGTTTCAAGTGCTCCAAACACTGCGCGAGCAGCTTTTTCCAGTTCCCAACGCTTCCACCAATCTGGCGTGAGTGGATAAGATCAAAGGGCTCGTCACGGCTGTAAGCCCAATCGGTTTCAATGTCGTCAACATAGAATTTAACATTGGGAGCCACCCAGGTCGGCTGGATAGGGCTCAGATCTACCCCTATGGCCTGTGCGGACGGATATTCATCGCCGAAATCCAAAGCCCAGAGGCCAGTGCCGGTTCCAAGATCCAGTGCCCGCTGGGGGCTAGGTCCGATAGGTGCGCGAAAGAGTTTCCCATCGAGCAGTAGCAGAAAAACATGATGGAGAAGGTCAAGACGGTCTTGCTCAGTTTCATCGTTGGGGAGAAGATATTCCCCCTTTTTGTAGCCAGTGTATCTACGACCGTTGGCATACTCGTAATTTAGAATTGAGGAGGTGACCGAGGCGCTGTAGGCGGAGGCGTCAGACTCGTCGCCAAAGGTGGAATCTGCAGCGTCGTCGTCCACATCGATAATTGGGAGTTCGGGTCTGGGGTTTGAGGCTGCTGCATCAGTGGCCTCATGTGTGTTTGCGGTACTCATGATGTTGGAATTATTGAGAATAGGTGGAAGTTGCGGTTGAATTTGTCAGCATTTAGTGTCGGTTTCAAGTTCTGATGTTTTTTTCTGCTTCTTTTGTGATAGAAAGAGGGGGTAATAAGACTTTCCTCAATCTTTCGGGGGCGAGCGGGGTGGATAGGGGTATTATTTGGCTACTAATAAGGGATCCAACCGGAGTGGAGTGCTGGCGAAAGCACTAACAGCTGTTCCCCGTACGTACGCAGTTACAAAGTGAGCAGGCATCCGGCGGGCGAACTACACACACAGTATGAAACTTTCGGCCGTTGCCAGTTACAACCCTTGGATAGTTAGGATAGCGCGACAGATTTGGCATCGGGTGTACTATGTAGTTACTCCGTAGGACTGATGGCATTAGCACTCGAGATGGCGCCGCTCCAAGACATAGCTGGCATATTTTATCCTGAATAACACTAAGTGTTCTCTGTAACTAATATTTTAGATATTTAAGTATGTAGTCATCACTGAGGGTTGCTTTGTATTATTTATCTTAGCAGAACCTCAGCAAGATCTCCCCTCCTTACAACTTGTACTGAAATACAATTGCTGTTATCAAACACCATAATATATCCATATAAGTAGGTGTCGGAACGGAACAACATTGTTCCCATAAGCAACTGAGAAGCTAGACTACATCTCGATCTTCATCTCCATCTCCACCTTCATCTCCACCTTCATCTCCATCTCCATCTCCATCTCCATCTCCATCTCCATCTCCATCTTCCTCTCTTCTCTGTTTCTATCTCTGTTGCCACCTTGCAAGCCATGTCCTCCCGCCCTTTCAATCCACTGCCTACATTCCCCATTCCCATTCAGTGGGATGTGCCAGGCCGTATTGCCCAGCTGCGGGCCATGATCGATGACCCTGCCACCAGTCAGGCACAGAAGATTAACCTCCAGGTTGCTATCAATCTGTATCATTCAAAAGAGCTACCAGGACGGTTTAAATATATCCAGAATGGCAAGGTTGTCTCTCTTAAGGATATCAATTTTAAGCAGCCATACTGGGTTGAGGTATTTCCTTCACCTTCCATGATCTATATGCATTCACCGTTCTTAACCCTCATTTCAAACTAGGGTTATGGTCAACAACTATCTTCACGGGCTACAATTCCAGCTACCGTGCCAGGGCTGTCTTCTGCACCCTCTCAGCCTGTGTGCAATGTTGGTGTTGTTACTTCATCTAGTCCATCCTTGTGACTAGTAGCTAGCTTCCATCTAACGCCTCTTCAGCCTTCGAGCCAGCAACTAGCACATCACATGATATATAATACCTACGCAGAAGGCACCGGTGGACATGAGGTTAGCATTTTAAATTTCTAGGGAGTATCTACTTGGTGATACGCATGTTTGACACATGGCCCTGCATCAGATATTCGCCCGAATTAGGCCCATTCCAGGCCTCTTATCATCGTCATTATCGATTACTGTCACAATGCTCAATGACACTGGAAGTGATGTGTTGACTGTCTTTGATACAGATCTGACTGCTTTGGCCATCCCTCCAACCTATGAGGGGTTTGGGACATATGTCTCAGTATCAACACCGAATGGGATTATCATACGGCAACAAGTCATTGTTGACATACAGCTGTTGGATTCGCAGGGGAATCCTGTGTCTGACTGGATTAGAGAGGAGGGCGTTATCACACCAGCAGCTCTTGGTGTTGGTAGACTTTCAGGTGATGGCATTAGGCAATCTCTATATTTTGCAACTGCACCAGGAAATCAACATCTGTATGTTGCTGAAAAGAAGAATGGCATTGTTAAAGTGCTTCCAGTTGTCTAGCCTATTTTCGGCTATTATGCTTATCTTTGTTTATCTTGCCTACTTATGTATGATCTATAATTCTTTGATATTTCATTATTCATATTACAATCAGGAAATCAGATACTCTCATTTGTGGAAGGTGTAAAGCTTGCTTACAGACAGTCTCATCACAATATGCAGTTGAATATATCTTGAAAAAATCCTCTAATTCTGATAAGATATCTGATGTAATCTTTGACTTTACACTGTGTGTTGAATGGAGTTCTCTAGCAGTTTCAAAACAGTGAAGATTTTATTAAATTTGATATAGAGTGGCCAGATGACAATCAATGCTCTGCATGATCTCAGCAGGTATATAACCATTCTTAAGAAGACATACAATCTTATTAATGGTGAAATCACTCAGTTAAGATGACATATTGGTGATAAAGGTAAGAAAGACACATTCTTGGATGATATTTGATTGAAAGTGATGTGTATTGGATGATATTGAATGATTCTAGAGAAACATGGATATTTTGATTTTTTTGTGGTGTTTTGCTACTAATTTTCAGGGGGGGGGGGTTGGGAAAATTCTGTTTTCGCAAGCAATACGTCCGCCACAATATCTAAGTATTGGTCAGTGAAGGATCGAATCCCCTTGAATCATATCATCTGGGCTATGAGGGCTGGGCGCTAGCCTACGAACAAAGGCTGCTTCTGAGTTTTACAAATGCATCGCTGACGGCGATAAATACTTATTTTCGGGGCCCTTTCGCTCCCAACCCGACTTCAAGGTAGGTCCGCTTGGCCCGAGGGTGACGGGGATGCGGATGCGGATGCGCAACGGGCCTCCTGGCGACAGATCCGCGACACGATCACGAAGGTGGGCTTGGAGGGCCTTGAGCTGCCGTCTGCTTTGCTACTTGTTAGTGACCATGCGGCTGACGCTATGTTTCACAGGACACTGGATGAGGCGCTCCGGGATATGATTCCGACGCATAGAGATGATGTGGATGGGTTGAGGTGGTCTTTGGACAAGCGCGGACAGGAGAAGAACCCCTGCGAGATTTCTTCTCTTGACTACGCTGTAGTATGCTTTCCTGGCGGCAAGGGGGGCGGCTGGCCTTGCGAAGCAATCTTTAGAGGCACCCAGGTTCTGCTAGGAGCTTCCAGAGTGTGATCCAAATCGTGCTCAGCTGTCGTCGATTGTTTTCAGCGGGGGGGATGGTGGGGGGTTGTGAATTATGCATGTGTCATATAATAAATTTTAGCTTCCAGGCATTGCAGTTATGGACGGAATCACGGTTGCAGGGTTTTGATCTTTTTCATTTGTACCTGTTCTAAACAGGTCGCGCCTTTACAAATATTGCAATGTGCACCTCTCTTGGCTTTATGTGTTTTGATCTCTACTGTAACATTGTCTTTTTTATGAGGCCTGCTCGACTATTATAGAAATATGACGCTGCATGTCTGAAGCAATAAGGGGGGGATATAATACAATCCGAATATCAAAACCTGAACGCCAGTCCACTTATAGATAAAATTTACACCATCAGTGGTTTGAGTCCATTGCTCTGAAGATGGCATTTGAACTTTTGAGGCCATGGGGCACGATTAGTAGTATGGGCGTTCACAATCCCCCGCGGTCGTCCACCGAACACCCTTAGTTCCATGTCGGATAGAGCCTTCCACGTATGGTTAAGGGCATCATCGGAGGACAATTCAAACCGAATAAACCACTAACCATTTGTTTGCCTGAAAATGTGCCGTCAATATATATTTACAAATAATGAACGCAAGATGTTTCAAAGTGATATGTATCACAGCCACGACGTGGGTTGGAGGGTACATAAAGTACTTACGGTTCAGGGTGTATTTCGACAGGTGGAAACGACCCAGGGTTGATCTGCCTCCCATTCTGGGATACTTTCTTCGTTGCGCTTTCATCCACCTCCGCCTTGCCTGAAACGGGCTGATTAGCACTTTTCATAGGATTTATCTTGCTACTATCTCCCGCTCCATCTTGGCCCCCCTTCTCCCCTCCGCCGTCACTCTTGTCGTCGTCATGTGCGCAGCCACAGTCGTAGAAATCTCCAATCTTGCTACAGTCGAAGATATCCTTGTGGAGCATCTTGTTCACTTCGTTGTGAACATGGCATGCCCATGCAGCGGCTGCGGAGCGCGACGACACTTGCGGCGGGAATTTTGCTAAATGGGCCTGGAAATGGGATGCGCATTCGCCGCTATCGAGGAATTTAGTTAGTGGGAGACATTTTCATCAATATTTGAGCAGCTCAGCTTTGCAGGAAGGATTCAGCTCGAGACAAGGACGTACCAAGGGTATAATCTTGAGAATAGATATATGTATGACCGTAGCGTTTCTTGTTGCTCCTCTGATGGCTCGTCTGGAAACTGCGCCATCATGGTATGGAGCACTCTCCAAGCTGCCCGACCAAGTTCCGCCCTGTAAGCAACAACTCTCCTGTTAGCTATCTAACTTAACTATACAATCCGTTCTTAGTCAAGTTGTCTCCGCCCCGTAGGACCCACTCAAACGCGAGAGCTTGATAGATAGCAATAGTAGCAATAGCCACGAGCCAACATAAAAGCAAGTCCAAGCACAGCTAGTTATCCTTACCTCGCAGTCTCATTGCCCATCTTCGAACTTACCACACCCCCTTGCAGCATCTTATCTGTTATCTCGACATTGGGAATTGTCCTGTCAACGTGGCCTGGGGCACGCGCCTCAGGACTTAGTGGGGAGCCTTGGCGGAGGAATGCGAGGGTAAGGATGAAGAAGAACGCAAGGCCAATAAAAAGAAACAATCTTGACGTTGGCCGGTGTGCCATGTTCGTTTCGCGGAGAATGGCGCTGGAATGGCTAGCTATCTATCTGGACGGCATTGGCGACACAAAGGGGGATGGATGAATGGAGTAGCAATTGTCCAGGGCAGACGAGGAGGTTGACAGGCACAAGCACACGTTTTGCGTAAAGCAGGGAATCGGCTCTGGAAGCCCTTTCCTGTCTACTCGGCGAAGATGCGCAAGTTGCCTACCCCCAAGTTGGGGTGTTTGGGATAAGCAGTGAGCAGCGTGTTTGTGCCGGTTGACAAGCTGCCATCGACACTTTAGTCATGTGACCAACTCCAACCCACAAAGCGACCAGCTCTACAAAGTTAAAGTGTAAATTATTACAAAATAGAAGGTCGGCTAGAAACAGTTAATTTCACGAGCGGGATAAAAGGAGAGAATAAATGTATGTATGGTATATGCGAGGGTATTATCATAAAGCTATGGACATCTATCTAATCCAATTCGACGCCAGCTATAATGAAAAATGATATAAAATGATATACATATCTCTTTCCCACCTTTTCCCTTGCGTATATTGTAGATTTTTGTTCAAAGAGAATAAATATTAACAAAGAAACAAAAGAGGTGACTCCCGAAAAAGAAAAATTTTGCCTTCCAAAACACCAACTCATCTCGTGTCTAAAAGTTCACACGGAATCTTTTGCTCGTTCTCACTCTTTCCCCATACCGGTAGAAGGCCCAAGGAATCGGCGTCATTGCCAGCGCAATGAATCCCAGCAGAGAGTTGCCCCAACCAAGGCCCAAGGAGCTGTACATTTTCAAGCCACAGAGGGGCAGCAGTGCACCTCCTAGGGAGCGGAAGACAGTGGTGGCAGCCATGGCGCTGGCAGCATGTACGGTGAAAGCGTCGACAAGATACGTTGATCCGGTCATCTAAATGGATAAGGATGGTTAGATTCGGGAGCTTGATGCTGGATGGAGATAACCAAAAAACGAGAACGAAAAAGGAAAAAAAAAGAATCAATACTTACAAATACCATGATCATACCAATACCCAAAAAACTAGTGCCAAAGATCGGTACGACATAGTGCATGCCCTTCTCGGCCGTCCAGCCGTACCAGAATAATCCGATTGGGACGCAGAGGCCTCCTGGAATCATAAGTGGGACTCTGTACTCGGGCTTCATTTCGCCGTTATTCTTTTTCGCGAGGTTTTGAAGGATGCGATCTGACAATGCTGAGCTGAAGGCGAGGCCTATGAGTGACCCCACACCAATCCCTAAGAATGCAAGTCCGGCGCTTCCTATTGTTCATCAAGTAAACTGGGTTAGTTGATTTGATGCACTTTGTCGGGATCTTTGGGGAGGCAAGGGGAAAATGGGAGAGGATGGGGATGCTTGGAAGCCCCGGTGAGATATATACCTGTAGAGAAATTGTATTGCCCTACAAACACACTCGAGAAGGTTGTGAAAAGTAGGTAAAGATAGCCGTAGACGAGAGCCATGTAGAGAGATAGTAGGAACACAATAGGAGACAGGAACAGCATTTTGGTTGGCCGAACAATGGCGAAGAGGAATAGTTCTTTGGACGTTTTACCTGTGTCAAGGACGGATTTGAGATTTTGGTTGCCAGTTTCTTTGACGAGTCGCTTCCTTTTCTGTTCCAACAGAATGGAGTGACACGATTCACTCATAAAGACAAAGGTGTTGACGGCGACAGCACCGGACTGAATGTAACAGAGAAGAAGCGGTTAGAAGCAGAACTCGTGCAGGCAGGGCACGGGGAGCCCAATAAAGCGAGATGGTTTACTGACAGCTATAGCAAGAATCCAGAATGTCCACCGCCACCCCATCGACTCAGTCAAGTATCCTCCCGCAATTGGGCCCGCAACAGGACCGATTAGCGGTCCAAGAGCCCAAGCACCCATGGCGGCTCCTCTCTTTTCTTGTTTAATCATATCCGCTAGTGAAGCTGCACCGATTGTTAAGGGGCAGCTACCTGCCGCGCCGGCGAAAAACCGAAAGACGATAAGTGAATCTAATCTCGGGGCAACAGCGCAAGCAACGTTGAAGACAATAAAAAGAACATTGCAGGCATGATATAGATACATGCGCCCATACAGTTCGGAGAGAGGGGCAATAATTAGCGGGCCAAATGCATAACCTAGCAGATAGACAGACATGACGAAGGAAGCAAGTTCCAGGTTATTCGTTTTGAACTCGGTCATGACCTCCGCAGTCCCAGGGGCAAAGATGGAGGATCCCAGGGGCCTGCCCATAAATTGTTAGCTGCGTGAATCCAGGTAAAAGTGCAGGAGGTTGCAGTGGACAGAACATACGTTAAGAAAGTAATCAGCGCTATTCCTACCACGATGCCGACTTTCTTGGTCGTCGGCCAATTGTAAGGGTTCATTGGATCGTCCGGTCCATCCCAGTCGACCTTGTTTGAATCCATGGGCTCTCCGCCTGATAGGGGACGATCGTGATATTGAGATCCGACCTCACCGCTACTGGGTAAGGTCGGCCCTTTATCGACATCTGCCATACTCACGGATATAGCATGCTTATTTGCAGGGGAAGATGGCCGCGATGTAGCATTGCCCGACAGTGTCACAGCATCATCGGGGCTAGGTTCAACTATCGTTGACGCTTCTTATTCTTGAGTTAACTTTGACAATTGTGCTGGTTTCACGATGCTTGGTGGGTACATACTGTCACTGGCAATCATTGGGCCGCCGAGGTTTGTTGGCGGCAAATATCAATGTTGATATTCCAGTTATTTTTTAAATTGGATGAGAATGGAAAAAAAGAGCTCCAAGCCATCAAAAGTTCTCCTGTTCCCACGCCCTTGACCTAGAAAGCGCGGAAAGCGAGGGTTGAAGGGTCAAAATAGGGTCCAAGGAAAACGGCGGGGGAAGTCCAATGTAAGGTAGCAAAGTCGAGCTCCCATACAGAGTACAGCGATCAGAACAAAAGTGAATTTCCTTGTCAAGAAGGCTAATTCAACCGAAGCATCAAAACGGGAAAAGAAAAGAGGGTATGAATTAATAAGTCAAGCCGGTTAGATGATCGCAAAATGCACAAATGCACAAATCCAAGTAAATTGCTTGACAGAAGCTTATCCCTCTCCTTCCCCGCTAATCCTCTCGGCAGGAGACAAGCCGGGACTTAGGGGATAGCTAGTCCATCGTCTGGGATAAAACCTTGGCAGAGAAAATTCAGCCAGCACAGTTTGCCAGAAGCATCTGGTATTTGACTTTATTGTGGGCCTTATTCGGCAATTCTCCTTGCAATGGACCCGTTGTTGGCAACTTGTAAGTTGTTGCTCTCCAAACTCATCAAGCTTGTAACTGCATGGTTCTCGCTCCGGGCGCGAGCTTCCAGGGGTCTGTGCATTAACTATCATACACATGCTTTGCTCTCTGATTTCACGAACGACTGAGCTACTAGAATAATAACACACAAAGTGTCCCTTCGTTTGTCAGTTGGTTATTCCGGAGACAAGGCCGGAATCTCTCTAAAAGATAAAAGGTTGACCCTGACCATCCAAAAACCCCAAGGTCCACACGGTTGGGCTGAGCGCCAGCGCAGGACGAAAGGACTGTGCACCAGTCGTTGGACCAACTCAAGGCCAGTGTGGTCACTGTGGTGGTGGTGGTCACTATGGTTGGTGGTGGTGGTGGTGGTGGTGGTGGTGAGAAGCGGGAAGCGTCGACGAGTCTTTGATCTGGTTGGGCGGCGGCATAGCGCCATGTGCAAATTAGCCGCATTCTGGCTTATCCGCATGCATAATTCACAATTTTAAGCACAAACTTTAGCGCTCTAAAATACGCCCCCACTAACCTAACACACCTCACACATATTACTAATACCTTCTCTAACTCTTTCTAATACTAATTTCAGGTTTTATTCTCTAATCTACACTTCTACACTAAGAAACTGGATGTTGAGAGCAAGAGAAACAGCAGAATAAAGTGTTGGGGGTCCCGCGGTTGGTCGGCCCTTCTACCAGCAGTGCGCTGGTGGTGATTGAGCTCTTTTGCCCCAGTAGCCTACAGGTTATGAGACCGTTGAGCGTGAGCCCCGCTGTGGTCAACATGCATGGGTTCGATCCCAGAATGGACTTAAAAATTCCTAACAAATATCCTTGGACATTTTAACAGTGCCAAGAGACATCCCAGGAGTGTGCCCTAGAAGTCCCGTGAGTCCTAGGACTGAGTGGTCCAGTCCATTATTAAAAAGGAGCCATTGTGGGGAGGTCACTGAAGGGAGCCACTGAGGGGAAGTATTGTACTCTGTGGTAGCTGGTCCGAGGGGGGGTGTTGGGGGTCCCGCGGTTGGTCGGCCCTTCTACCAGCAGGCGCTGGTGGTGATTGAGCTCTTTTGCCCCAGTAGCCTACATAAAGACTTTAGTTATTATTAATGCTGCTGTAAGCAAGCCTTTCCGACGACTGTCAACTTTTCAACCCGTGGATGTTTGCGGATGCCAGCAGAGTTCAGTTAAGGAGAATGACTAGAGCCAATAATAAATCCATGGCTTCCGAATCATCCCATTTCATAACCATGCATAATAACTTACCTGCACTATATCTGAGGTCTCAATTATATCCAGCACTCAATTCACATAAACCAGCCACAGCCCTATGTTGGAAAAGAGAGCCTCATATTGGATACGGATTACAACAATACATGATTCAATTCGGACACACAGTTACATGGGCTCCGACTTGACTACCTACGCGCCCAGCCTCGGGCGGGGTTTGGCTGGTTGCTTTATTGTAGTATGATCGGGAGCAAAAGAAGGGGAAGAGGAACAGCCATGGCGTATTTCATCCACGATGTAGTGGTTTCCTGCGATGGTCTGCATAAAAACATATGGATGAACACTAGGCTTGCTTTGGGCTCTACATGGCCTGAGCTATCAACTAGGTGGACTCTGACATGATTTATCGATTTATGCCCCTGACTTACGTATAGCTGTACCTGTGGGAGAAAAATACTTCCCTTCCATCCTGGCACTCTTCGGGAATTTCTTACTTCAATTCTGACTGATATATTATAGTTATAAGCTGCTGCCCTACCTATTAGCCTTGAATGCTACAAGGTACATGTACTGTACATGGACAATAGCCAAATTTGTTATGTATAATTAATTACATGTACAGTATTCAGCACCAATGAGCAAGACAGAATTTTGGTTAGGATTGAAATATATATATATATAGTTACATCTTGTTTGTAGAATTGGCTTCACAAGCCATCAAAAAAATGGGAAGTGTGAAAAGTGGATTTGTTATATCCTTAATGTGACATGATTCAAGCAAGTTCTGTTTGTTCAACATTGTCTTGAGGTGTGCTTGGAGTCTTGGATTTCAGATGTTAGAATCAAACACCTATCTGAAGGCACTTTTACATAGCTATTCAGAGATAACATCTCACATTCACAGCTAGGTTTACAGGCACATAGAGCTTTCGTTCAACGTGGCCATTAAAAGGCACATAGAAAGCCTGTTTGCAAAGCCAGCAGTTAAGTCTTCTGGTGCTATTGATGAAATCAGCAAATTCCGGGGAGCTCACAGGCATAGAGTTTCCCTGGGGTTCAGATTATCAGCCTGGTCCAGCATTCTTGGGGGAAGCGTGCGAGGAATCGGAGGTAGACCGTAACCGGTGAGCAGAGGTTGTTATGAAATTATCTGAGAAAGCCTATTTAGGTGAGTAGAGGAGTGGAACCTAGAGTGCAAGGCGCATTCCCATAGTTAGTTAGACCCCATGTTAGACACGTCCAAGTTGCTGATGCTCCCTCACCCCCCCCCCCCCCAACCAAGGAAAATCGGCACACGAAACCTGTGGGAATGCGTTGCAGGAGTTTCCTTTGGCGAAAGGTTCTTCCGGCCAGGGACTGTGCCGAACAACCTCTTTAACCCACATCCAAAGCTTCATGCCGTTGAAATCCCTGGGACCCTCAGCGCTCACTAAGGCGCCTAAGCAGGCCCGTCAGGTTCATCTCTCACGCAACATCTTGAGGTAATCCTCACTTGCCCACACCAAGATGAGGGCTCTGGGCCTCTGGCAAAGATAACAATGTTTACAATCATGAGTGGTGCTCGCTGGAGCGAGGCAGATTGACTGTGTCTGGACGCGCAAGTGTGTTGAGGGTGGGCAGAAAGTCCTAAGGCTTCTTTCTGCTGTGCCTCGCGCGTGAGGCGCCACCAGATGTTCTAGCCCTCCAGAGTCCAAAGCCTTGCCCAGCTCCTCCTCTCTCCTCTTTCAGGAAAACGATTCTTCATGAAGCAAATAAACCTAGAGAGCCAGATGAGCCGTTGGAGTTTTGTCTTGTTACGATAAATATCTTCAAGTTTACCTATCCTAAAGTGTTGCGGTTCGAGCCGCTGGCTACAGCGTGAGACTGTCACATAAAACATCAAAATGAACGAGGCTCAACCCGAAGAACTGGCGGGAGATCTACTGAATAACTGCGGGCTTTGCTTGCTATCCCTTGGTAATAATACCACCCTTGAGATAACATGAACAGATAGGCTGAAACCGGCTCTAGATGGCGGAGGCGTCAGGGGGCTCTCGAGCCTACGGATCCTACAGGGTTTGATGGAAAGAGTCAACCATGAGCGTGCCATCGTTAACCTTCCCTCCGTGAAACCCTGCGACCTATTCGACCTGATCGGTGGCACCAGCACGGGAGGGTATGGTTCCTATTGCAGTTATTGTGATCATTTACCATAACACACTGACTTTCCACAGACTTATAGCCATAATGCTTGGACGCCTCGAGATGGACGTAGACCAGTGCATCGCGGAGTACTCACGAATGATACAACAGATCTTCAAGAAGAAGTCATTTCCCGTTGACTGGAAAGGGAAAATTAAAGGCCGTTTTAACACTGGGATTTTAACGAACTCTCTACAAGAAACTTTGCTATCCCTCGGCTTATCAGACGCCGACTTTCTTAATGACGGCAAAGAGAGGAAATGTAGAGTGTACGTGAAATATCTAGAAGATCCCCCTGCCGAAAGCTAACAAACTGTAGATTTGTTTGTGCAACGGCATTCGAAACTAAAAGCATCATACGCCTCAAATCCTATAGACTCCCGGGCGACCCGAATCTCAGCCCTACTATACTAGATGCGGCGCGCGCAACATCTGCTGCAACATCCTTCTTCGAACCAGCTGCTATCGGTACCCGGAGGTACGTGGATGGCGCTTTGGGAGCTAACAACCCGGTGGATGAAGTCTGGAATGAAGCTCAAAATATTTGGTGCGCGGACGATGGCGCTCTTGAGCCATTGGTGAATTGCTTTCTCTCGATTGGCACGGGAAACCCAGGTGTCTCACCCATGAACGAGGGTGCCTTGAAGATGTTGGCAAAAGATATAGTGAAAATGGCAACGCAAACCGAACGAACTGCAGAAACATTCCAAGCAAGGCACCGAGGTTTATTCGATCGTGAGAGATATTTCCGTTTCAACGTTGCTCAAGGTCTACAGACTGTGGGGTTAGAGGAGTATAAGAAGCAGGGCCTGCTTGAGGCAGCCACGGATGACTATTTGACTTCGACGGACCAGAGGGTTCGGCTAAGGAATTGTGTAAAGCGCCTCAAAGAAAAAAAAGGTGTGTAGTCCGGTTTTGGCCTCTTACTGCCTTCGACATGGGATGAAATAGAACTTAATGGCCTTAGGTAAAAGTCCTATCGACTTAGTAACAAGAATACGGGTATGATTAAATATCGAATTATCTCAAGATGTATGCGCAGTTGCTAATATGTATTTCCCGCATATTAGTCTTGTGGCAAGCTTAATCGCGAGCGTAGAACCGGTACGTCTAGATGCAACTACGTGAAAACAATCGAATATATGTTAATATCTTATTAAGCCTCATATACGAATATCTGTCTTTCAGATCCCGCTTTCGTTCAGAATCCTAATTTTACGGGGCGGCAAAATGAAATTCATGTTATCCACCAACACTTCGTATCCGCGAAGGAGAAAAAGTTGCAGGGACGTGTCTGTCTCTGGGGTCCCGGAGGAGTAGGCAAAACGCAACTCGCAGCAGCTTATGCTTTATCTCACAAGCAGCATTACTCGCACATCCTAAAGGTTTCGGCTCGGAGCTTTGCAGCTTTGGAAGAAGATTTTGCAAAGATCATATACGAAGTCACGTCGCACGCAGGAGTTGATGCGAACCCCACCAGCGGGGTCAAACCCCAAATGAACGAAGCAGAAATGCAGGGAAATATTCATGCTGTCCATCGGTGGTTTTCAGATCGCCAAACCGGCGACTGGCTATTGATAATTGACGACGTGAGTCTTGCAGGCGTGAATATTCTGGGATTCATTCCTCGAACAGAGACTGGAAATGTCCTCATAACTAGCCAAAGCCGGGAAATTGGTGGTTACGGTCATTTAATACCCCTTGAAGACCTAGACCCGGAAGACGCTGTTACCCTCCTTCTAAATAAGGCAAACATACATGATGAGGAGCTACGAAGACAAACACTCCCCCAAGCTACGGAAATAGTCAAGTGTCTGGGATACCGTGCCCTTGCAGTGGAGCATGCAGGTGCTCTTATTGGATGCAAGGGCATAGAATACTATTGGAATGTTTTCAAACTCGACCGGACTACAGTTCTTGACCATCCTGAAAATACTTCTATCCATCGGGAATCTGTCTTCACGACATTCAAGCTATCCTTTGGCGTACTGATGGAAAAGAACTATGCAGCTGCAGTACTCCTGACATTTCTTGGCTTTCTGGATAACACGACGATTTCTGAACATCTGCTCCTTGAAGGCGGGAGGCGCCGAAAGTCACTCCCGTCTGTGCAGATGTTCGAAACTCGATTAGAATTCGTAAATTCTGTAGCTGACCTGCACGCCCTGGCCCTCATATACTATTCCGAAGGAGAAGATGGTATAATGATATCGCTTCATCCGCTCGTCCATTACATGAGTCGTGCGAGGTTAAAGCCTATCCAACGACTAACTCAAACAACGCACGCAGCATATTTCCTCCTATCACCCATTTTGTTTCGATCCGCTACTGAGAGCTCTACAAGCCATTCATCATTCAAACATCTCCTTCAAGTTTTACAGCAAGCTATGGATGCAACCGACGAGCCTCTTTCTAGCGTCCGCCATCTGCGACTGTGGACCTATCTCGCTCAATTACTGATTAGCTACTATCCGTACTGGCATGTTTCAGGTAAAGTTGGAGACTTGTTTGCTATTGGCAAACGTGCAGTTTCTGTTCTTGAATTTTCAACGGATGAACACAATTTTACTGCTTGGGCATGGGCTTCCATTCTTGTGGCACAAGCTTCTGAATTCATTCCTTCTAGCGGGGTTTCAGATACCTCTATCAAAGTGTTCCTAGGCAAACAACTCAATCCGAGAATAGCGTTGGCCCTGGACTATGCTACCAAGGTCGATGAAGCCGATCCTTCACCCTCCCATCTAATACTTCCAAGAATGGGCTTTGGTCCGATGACGCTGAGGCGAATTCTAAAAAGAAAACCTTCGGAATGGTTCGTTTCTATGTACGCGAAACTTCTCCGGGAGGCCGCATGGCTATGTACGCGCCGAAAGTTATGGCATGAAGGATTACTTTTAGCGACACTGTCAGAGCTCCCCACAACTTTTTTTGACCGACAATATTTGGCAAGATTCAACTTCTCGCCAGCTCAGGCAGTTAAAGCCACCTTCACTGCATTCTCCAATCAAGATATAGAAGGACTTCTCGACATGCTCAAGAAATTCGGGCAAGATGTAGAAGACCTCCCGACTAGGGGAGCTCGATATGATCTCAGCAAGATCTTGGCTACAAAAGGGCAATATGCTGAGGCTGAAGTGATAGCTAGGACACTTACTGCCCAATATTCAGGTGATTCCAAACTCGCTATTCCATCTTTCGAGGGAACCTTCTACACCTGGGCCAACAAATTACTCGCTATCTGTTTGGCAGGCCAAGGGAAATTGTCAGACGCGCGGGACCTTCTCGTCGATGTATATAACACTGTGCATGAAACGTCTGAGGGCGATCACCTCGGCCCTTTCCACGCGAGCTACCTGATGATTCTCTTCCACACTCGATTCAGATTGCATTTTCCGAAGGATATCAGCGACTATCGGCGGGAGGTGTCCGAAGTGTTCCGACGTATTTATGCTGCGGATAAATCTAATCTTTTGAGCGGAGAAGGCCTCGCCACGGGCTGCCTTCTATTATCGCAGGGTGCACTGGACGAAGCGGCTTTTATTTTTCAAGAATTATCCGAGCTCTCAACTGAGATTCTAGGCGCGGACCACCCTCAGACACAACACACGGCCTGGCTTCTTAAAACTGCAATCAAAGAAAGGGAACAAGAGGCCGCCTATGAAAAGAACGGAGATTTCTGGATTCATTTCGGGTGCATGACCTTTCAGAGAGAGGTTAGCATTTTCAGCTCTCCTAGAAATTTCAAGCCTGTTGTGGGGGCGCGAGAACAACAGATTTCGTGGGAAGAGGCTGCTAAATGGTCTCATAGTCCAACAGAGGGTAAATTTAGTGGGAAGGTATACGGGATTCAGAAGAAGATACTTTTAGTTGTTATGGCCGCAGGGTCTGTCCTACTTGCCGGTTGGTTTCTGTTCACTTTCGGGGCTGAACTCAGCACGGCTTACGTTTTAACTGCATTTTGTACTTTAGCAACTTCAGCGTTAATTTTGGATATTGTTGGCGGTTTTGAGGTGTCTAGTAGGTGGTTTATCTGTTGGATGCAAAGGCCTCCGAAGCCATTGAAAACAAAAGTGCGTCCGTAGGCTAGTAATGAGATCTATTATCAGAAGTTTGAATACTAAATTTTATGATAATACGCAGGTGGATGGTGGACATAAATGGTAATCACATAGTAACATCGTGGTCGGCGATCGGGCTGATGTCCTGATATTCATGGGTTTGTATTATTTTCACTCTCAATCCAACATAGAGAATACGCACAGGTCATATATATTCTCTTGGAGATTAGACTTTGGATGTGCTTAAAATAATCCTTTAGCTCAAAAGTTTACCCTACGCTAGTATTACCTTGGACTAGTTAGCGCAATAATTATGCTTATTTTAATGACCATCTGCACTGTACTGTATGTAATGTACATGTACGATGATCAGCGCTCGACACTTTACTTGACCTTATGGCTTTGTATATACTCCGTACAGGGTTAATCCTAGCGTGAGTAGGAGATATCTAGGTATGTAAGGTCCTCGGCAACGTAAAAAAAAAAAAAAAAGTTCATTCCAGGGTTAAGAGTTGCATACGATCTCTGGATAAAGATTTGGTATCATGACAAAGGTTTTGTATTTGACTCGCTTGCACGGTGGTCACCTTTACGCGCTTTTTGATCCGTAGTAAATCTTTCCTACAACCTGGCTTGGATTTGCGGCTTACCACCTGGTCATCTGGGGGCAAGCACGTATGACTGAGATGGTATTCTCAAATCAGTTACATGGCATTCTCCAGAGTACACAACCTAGTTTTCCGATCAAGACGAGCAACGATGTCATGATATATATTCCAATGCAATGGCTATTGTAGTGGAAAGCACTACAGCCACACGAGGTATCACAAAAGTGGCTCTAGAGTCAAGAGTTAAGTAGGCCCATCTGTTAACTGTTCTTATTATTTAATCGTAAAAGGTATCCTATCAACCAAGCAGTAGGGGATTTGATGGGGAAAATAAAATCATGGTCATGATGAACTTCGCCGCTGGTTGGTAAGGATCCTTCCTATTTTCAGTAATTTTCCTTGGGGTGTTTGTTTATCGATCGACTTTCATAGCCATGGAAGAAGTATCCCTGAAATTGTTTGTATGAAAGATATATATGAAATTGCATTTAAGGATCTCAACATACTACAGCCTCGGTGGACCGATCCCCAGATGCCTGCCACCATCTACAGCAATATCGACACCGTTACTTTTAGAACGATTAGCGTCATTCAGAGAACCATTTGAGAATGGATAAAGAACAGCGAAAGGAACTTACATATAGTTTGCAGCCGGCGAACAGAGGTAAATCATTACACCTGCAATATCTTCCGGCTCCCCTAATCTTCCACGAGGAACATCTGAGCTCAGCTTGTCTCTCCCTCCAAGATTTCCAATCAGCCCGTTCGCGAGTTTTGATGGGAAAAATCCCGGGGCGACAGTGTTTGTTGTGATGTTACGTGGTCCTAACTCAACTGCGAGATTTCTTGCAAGATGATTTGCTGCAGCCTTGGAGACTGAGTACATGATCGTACCGTTCTCGCCAACATGTGGTACATTAACGCCCGCAACAGAACTGACTATGACGACCCTTGAAGGATCCTGGCTGGTACCAGCCGCTTCAAGTAATGGGGTGAACCTATTCTCAAGTCAGCTTTTCAAGGGCACTCTAGATATCGGTTCAATTTTTTTTTCTCCTTACAGTCTAACCAAGTTAAAAACTCCTCGAACGTTAAGATCGAGGATCTTCTGTGAACTCCAGTCTGGAGTTGACTCAAATGGTCCTCCCCATGTTGCCCCGGCATTTGCAACTAAGATATCAAGCGTTCCATCGCTTTTTCTGACCTCGTCGACTAGTTTTGCGACCTCCTCTGTATTCGCTGCATTGGCCTGTATCCCAACTGCATGCCCAGCGACGCCAGGAATCTGGTTTAACTTTTTCACCGCCTGGTCAATGCCTTGCTCTCCAGCAGATTTCCTAGCGGTAATGATAACTTTTTTGGCGCCGGCTAGAAGAAAGGCAGTGGCTGTATGGAGGCCGATACCTCTGGACCCTGGTAGGAGAATTAGTAGCTAATAGGTGAATAACAAAAAGGGATCTCACCTCCTGTAACAAGAGCGATCTTGCCGTCAAGACGGAAAAACGAATCGTAACCACGAATCTCAGACATGGCAACGGCAGCAACCTATTTTACAGCTTACTGGATGCAAGGAAGATATCACAACAAACACGAATGTTCAAGAATGAACAAATCTTGAAATAATCTCCCAGGACCATCTAAGAAGCTCATTGCAAATAGCTCTAGCGACCCAGCAAAGGGGAAGCTGTACTTCGCTTCTTCATAGTGATTCCATGATCTCACAATTTCCCCCGCAAAATCGGGAATTGATCTCCTTTTTAAGGTTGTTGCCTCGGGACAACTCCTAACACCGATATCCGCAAGCCGAAAACCGATCATATCCCTGACACTAGCCGAATAGCGTGCGGAGGGAACTAAAATGGGAGTGTTGTCCAGAGACACGGAGTAACTATCTATTATTGTTGGTTTCCCCTACGCTCAATCAGATTGCTCCTATGGTCGTCGCACAGATACTTTGACGAATCGAGATGATTTCGGGAGAGCTATAGCAACTCCACATTTTTCCTTTCTTGGCAGTACGGCAGCGAGGACAGTGGCAAGGACGGACCGGAGGTTTAAATGTCAGTATCTCAGTATCTACGAATATTGTTGGATCCTAGGCCTGGAACACACATGCTCAATATATGTCATAATTTATATTGCTTTATGTCAAAACGATGGCAAAAGACTTGAATATGTGTTAGTGACCTGGCATAACCGATACTCTTGAAAATATATGGATCATACAACTGAGCACATGAATTAGGGATGGATATGACACGTGGGTAAGTACACATTGGTAAATATTAAACAATGGATATAGCTGTGTAATAATCATAAAATTAACATAAACAAGATTGCATGGAGGCTAATTCTGAGAATTATATAGGGAGAAACAAGCAGCAATAACATGTAAGGAAAGACAGATGACTTTCAAGGAGAACAAATGATAAAACAAGTGAGATGCCAGCAGTTACTACTGCTCAAAAAGAAATTAAGGGTAATGGCCTAGTAATAACAGCGGGCGAATTTAAGAAAGATAGATCTCACAGCTCATATCCTTGAATAACACACTCCTCTCGACGGCAACCGGGTGGGGGGGGGGGGGGGGGGGAAAAAGAAAAATGAAATAAAACAAAGTCTAGAAGGCAAACTTGTTTTATGCACTGAAATCTCAGAGAGGAACCTCATCCAGTTCACCTTCTCCCGCCGCCCCGTTCGTTGCTTTGTCACCCGAAGCCCCGATTGAGGTATCCGATTTTCGTTGCGATTGAGAGTTTGTTTTATCTGCTAATTCCTCATTTGAGGAACCTGCTGTATCACTTTCATAGTCGGCCTCCGTGTCGCCATGTGCAGGAGGTGGATATTTTCCGTCGACAGGCGATTCCACGTCCTCTTGGCTGGGTTGGGCATTCTCTTTTCCGTCTTTAGCCGGCGGCGGCGGTGAAGACTGGGTTCCGTAACCATTTTCATCCTCAGTCTCCGATTCTTGTCCCTGAGATGGTCCATTCGCTTCACTACTAGGGGGCGGCATGGGAGGGAGCTCCTTGTCGGCTGGCTGCTGTGGCGATCGGGAAGTTGAATTTGTGCGGCCTAATCGTCCGGATGAAACGGACCCGGAGGCGTTGTTTAACATAGCTTGCTGGCGATGCAGTTGCGCACCCACACCTGGAGCCATTTGCCTCAACTTTGGATCTGCGTTCAAGTAGTACCCGCGGACACTAACAATTGTACCCTCCCGTTCACATCCTTCTACCCACTCTGGTCGGACGACAGGAATATTCATCTCAACTGCTTTTTCCCAAGCAGCACCACTACCCTCCGTGCAGACAAAATGCGTAGTATCTATCCGCACAGTGTCAATGAGTTTGGCACCAATTCGATCCACAGCCTCTTCGAGCGACGTCCTTAAACTCTGGGGTAGAACGCCCGGTGTAATAGTTATTCCTGACAAGTCGGTCATCTTATGTGTACGGCAGACTAGTTTCTCTGAGCTAAAAGTGCCGGCGGAAGTACGGAGAACGAGATGGAAAGTATACTCTGTGTCAATTGCAAGGCCGCTGATTTTGGTGCTAAGCATCTCTTTTGGCCTTGGAATTGAACCAGCCTTGGAGTCATTGCGGTATAAGGATAGCGACTTGAGGGACGCGGTGGCTAAATTTATTGGATCCCATTCTAGGACAAGGGACGTTTGTGTCGCATTTCTGAGGCGGAGAACCGGTGGAGACGGCGTATGGATGCCATAGGTGTGTAGGATACGCTTTTGGAGGGATTGAAAGGCGGAAACACTTGCAGCTTCAGCGGCCTGGTTGCGCGATACTGTAATATCAACGATGCTGCCTGATGCTATATTTTTCGGTAGAAGGACAGAAGGAAACTCGATCTAGAGTCAACAATGATAAGCAAAGCGTTCATTGCGCAGTGGCAGGCAGAAATAAAGAGGCGCACACGACAGCAGCGCCTTGGAGTACTTGCAAAAAAAAGGGCTGGGTTAGAGCTTACGAGTCGGTTGTCTTGGGTCAGGAGGACAGCAACGCCAGCATCGACCTTCCCAACGGTCAGAGAAACCAGCATGACGAACGAGTGAAGATGACAGAAGAAGCGACAAGAGTGTTATATGGCGAACAGCATTCGAAAATCTGATTGTCGCAAGATATCACAAGCTGAGATTTCGAGGGCCGGTAAATTAGTGTTTCATGAAGCTGTCTAGATGAAGTCGATTACGTCAGAATTTAGTTACATCTTCCCGGAAAGGACGCGTCTGCCGCTGCTTTAACACCTGGACACATCATGCTTATGGAGGCAAGAATCGCGCCTCCTTTTGGCCTTTATCAATCCTCCAAAGGGCTTCATCATCTCCCTACCAGTCAACGAAACAATACAGAGGTTTGGCAGCCGCTTGGACGTAAGGAATATTAAGCTCAGCGGATGCCTCTCACACCCATACATTATAATGATCCAAAACTCTCGTCACGGTATTCTTAAATCACGTGGCCACATGTCTCCTTGATCTTTGTCGATTGGGGGTCGCAAGGTGCTTGCAGCAGGCAGAGCCTATCCTTATGTCGGGAGAACACGCGAATTCAGTAGTGAAACTATCACTACCACTGGTAAGCGCATCGCACGTCTGTGAGGCGTGAATCATTCAGATCTGACAAGCTTGTCTAGCAATATCAGCAAGACCTGTTCTCGGAACTCAGAGCTGAGGATGAACTCGTCATTCTTGCAAGGGGACTTGGCCTGCTGCGTATCGTGACGAATTTATTACATTCTTACGATGCAGCCGGCAATAATCTAATTATAGTGGTGGGCGCTGGTAGTCTAGAAAATGAATGGATTGGAGAAGGTGTGTAGCCTCGGGATATTTTGACAGAACCATTTTACTCATTCGCTATTGCAGCTCTCGCCGAACAATATGCAGTCAGCAGAACTCCCCTGGCTCGAGGGCTTAAAGTGATCAATACTGATCGAGCTACTGTTCCTTTGAGGTATGCTTTTCTCTGGCTTTAAGAGCTATTGTTTTCATTACCTGACATAGTATAAGGCAAAAAATGTACGCCCAAGGCGGTATCCTGAGTGTCACCTCTCGGATATTGGTTGTCGATTTATTGTCCAGTTGAGTGGCCCTCCGGCATATAATTGGAGGGTTTACTAATAGAAACAACAGAGATACTTGATCCCGAAACCATCACGGGCTTAATTGTTCTCCATGCTGAAAAGTAAGTCCTGGTCGCTACTAGTTTTAGCGTATCATATTAAGTCTGTTCCAGGATCACGGCCACCTCGTTGGAGGCATTTATTATCCGCATATATCGACAATTCAACAAAGTTGGTTGTTTAAAAGCTTTCTCTGATTCTCCCGAACCTTTCACAATTGGATTCAACCCCTTAGCAAACATGATGCGGAATCTATTTCTTAGGAAACCGTCTCTCTGGCCGAGATTCCAGGTTACCGTAGCTGAGTCCTTAGAAGGGCGGAAGAAAGCCGAAGTCATCGAGCTAGAAATACCGATGACAGACAAAATGAGAGATATACAAAACGCAGTCTTAGAATGTGTCGAAGCCAATATTCGGGAACTGAAAAAGTCAAATTCTGGCCTCGACATTGAAGACTGGACAGTGGACAGTGCGTTGCATCAAGACTTTGATGTGTCTATCCGGCGACAGCTGGAGCATATGTGGCATCGTGTAAGCTTTCGGACAAAGCAAATAGCCAACGATTTAACTGTCCTGAGGTCGATACTTCAGTAAGTCTCGGCGACCAACTTTTCATCTAGAGATATGGCAGGTGAGCTAATACACTCCACAGTTCGTTATTGACGTACGACTCCGTCTCCTTTATCAAATACCTTGACACGATTATAGCTGCGCACTCGCCACCTCCGGGATCAACAAGGCAGAATTACTCCCCTTGGCTATTTCTTGATGCAGCGCATGTCCTATTTCAAACCGCCAAGTCCAGGGTTTATCGCGGCAAATTGGACAATCGGCAATTTATACCTGACACTGCCTCCCTACCAACTGCCTTGGAACCAGTGCTCGAGGAACAGCCGAAATGGTCAGTCCTCGCGGATGTTCTAGATGAAATTGAGAGGAGTACATATCTCAATCCTGTTCTCCCGGGTGACTCGAATGGAACCATTCTAGTCATGTGTAGTGACAGGAAAACCTGCTGCCAAATCAGGGAATATTTAGAAACAATGCGCATCAAAATCGAACCCTCTAATGACGAGATGGAGAGTGAGAGTGAGGCAGATGACGACAAGCCGTCTGCAGAGTTTATGCTTCGGAGGAAACTCCGTCACTATTTAAACTGGAAACGCGCTTCGTCCAGGATTAACAGCAACCTTTATCATACTAAATCAAAACAGGAACCAGGAACAGCGCCAGGGTACAATTCCGTGGGTTCAACCACTCAGTATCAAGGACGAGCACCTCCGAATAAAAGACGACGAGTTCGTGGAGGCGGTGGCTCAGGTCTGGCACCAGCCAGAGGTGCAAGCAGTAGTGTCCAACTTGATACGGAAGTGCCAACGCAGGTATCAACCCTGCTGGAAGAAATTAAACTTGTTGAGCCGGAAGAAGAAACCATCCAGGTTGGCATCGTGGATGACGATCTTGAAGATATGGAAGACTACTACCAACTCTATGACATGAACGATCTCTTGATGGTATACCCTTACGACGGCGATATGGATGACCATGTTCTTGAAGAAGTCAAACCACGGTACATAATCATGTACGAACCGGACGCAGCCTTCATTCGCAGAGTAGAAGTCTATCGAAGCTCTCACACGAACCGGGAAGTCAGGGTTTACTTTCTATATTATGGAGGTTCGGTCGAGGAACAGCGATATCTAAGTGCTGTCCGAAAGGAAAAGGACGCGTTCACAAAACTGATCAAAGAAAAGGGGGTATGTATGCACCTTGCGCTCTACATGATAATATTTCTAAGTGAACTAAATGCAAAGTTCTTGCGCAGTCCATGTCCCTAACAATAAACCACGACAAAAGCGCCGAAGATCCCCAAGAGCAATTTCTTCGAACAGTCAATACCCGCATCGCTGGTGGAGGCCGACTGGCCGCAACAGCAGCCCCACCCACCGTCGTAGTGGATGTGCGTGAATTTCGCAGCGCGCTCCCATCCCTCCTCCACGGACGAAGCATGGTCGTAGTTCCCTGCCAACTAACAGTTGGCGACTACATCTTGACCCCGGAGATTTGTGTCGAGCGCAAATCGATCCGTGATTTGCTCAGCTCCCTGAAAAACGGCCGCCTGTACAATCAGGCCGAGACAATGCTCCAGCACTACAAAACCCCAGTACTGCTAATCGAATTTGACCAGAACAAATCATTCACTTTTGACGCATTCACCTCCGCCACAAGCACGCCAAGCTCAGAAAGCCTATCCAGCAACCTGATAAACCCCACAAATCCAAAGTCCATCCAGCACCTCCTCACACTACTCACGCTCGCCTTCCCACGGCTGAAAATCATCTGGTCCTCCGCCCCGTTTCAAACAGCAGAGATATTCGCCGAGCTGAAGAAGAACAATGCAGAACCAGACCCCATTCGCGCCGTGCAAATCGGGCTAGACTTTGATATCACGTCCTCTACAGCTGCCGCCGCGGCTGCCACCGCAGCAGGTACGGGTAACAGTATCATGTCAGCCGCGGGGATTGAGCATCGGGCCTTCAACCAGCTACCGCAGGATATGTTACAGGCTGTTCCCGGGGTGACGCCGAAGCTAGCGGAGCGGTTGATTTTGGAGACGGAGAATTTACAGCAAATTGCGAATATGGAGATGGAGGAGTTGGAGCCGCTGGTTGGGAAGGAGGTTGGGAGGCAGGTTTTGCGGTTCTTTCGGAGAAACGTTTTTGATGAGGAGAGTGCTGATTAGGTGCGTGGGCGATTTCTTGCTTTCCCACATACGACTAGCTATAATGCCGAGGTAGAAGTCACTTAGGTTTAGTTAAAGTGCACTACAGATCGTATCATGTCTTCGTTTGGAATTGTATAAGGTTGGCGATGGGCCGCTTCCAAATATAGCCCATATCAATACTATATCATGAACCTACGGATTAGGAAAAAAATTCATTTACGCCTTTCTAGCCGACCCTAAATTTTGTCTTTCATTACTTCATTTTTGCTTTCGGTTTATCTATGCTTTCAAACTGCCAAATTGGGAATGTCGCAAGAGCCACCACAACGGAAAAAAAGTAGGGCAAGAAGTGCAAAAAGCAGAAACGGAAAACAGAAGAAAAACAGAAGCAAAAACGCAATAACGGAGGCATGCCAGTAAGTAAAAGCAAAAGTCTTTCATAACCATGAGGGTGAAATTAATTTAAAATGAAGCCGGTCCAATCGTAAGCCGCGTTAAAGAGGAAGAGTAAGGCGGGAGAAGTTCGGAAAAAGAATAATCCGCGAATAAAACAATTGGACTGACTTGTGGTTGATAGTGCCCATACTCGCCCTGTCTGGTGTCCCGTCCGATGATCGGCTCGAACCTTGCTTTATAGGTATATGGATTCTTAAGATAGTCGATAGCAATATCTGACCGGAAATTCTTCAGCCGAAGATGCCCGATTTCTATCCCTGGAGATGAGGAGCGCTGGGGGGGCGCTGAATGTTTGCCTACAACGTAACAGTGGCTATAGTGCAGCGGGAGTGTTTCCAACAGGAGCTGTCTGCAACGTCAAAGGATAGAGAACCGTCCACCTTGGGACTGTTGAAGCCAGACACATGCATAGAGAGGGAACGCGGCCTCGTCGGATCAGGGTAGATTTTTTGGGAGAGATTAGATCTCATCAACATCGATGTCCTTGTCGTCTTCGCTGCCATCACGGTCTTCGTCGAACTCGACGTTGTCGTCAATATCCTCATGGCCATAGCTGTTGTTACGATATTAGCGACATATATATCAACATTAAAAACGGCTGAAAGTGGAGGCAAAACGTACGTATCAGTCTCGTTAATCTTCGCACTCTCAGGCAACTCGCCGTAGGCTTTTAGACTTCGAGCCTCATCGGCATTGTATTTGAGAATAACGTCACCCTTCTCGTCTTGGTAATCTCGTAGAGATAGCAGAATGATGTCTCCTTGGTTAATCCAGACCTTCTTGCGGAGTTTGCCACGGATATGAGCGAGTCGTTTTTCGCCATCGAAGCAGAGGGCTTCCAGTCGTCCGTTACCCAACATCTTGACGACCTGAGCATATTCTTGTCCTTCCTCTTTGAAGGTCAGTTCTCGCTTCTCGTTGTCATTCTCGTTCTTTCCACGGCGTCGGTTTTTACCACCCTGTATACAAAACGGGATGTTAGCGTCCTAGTTTCATAGAACCGAACCAGCAAGGACGCTTTTTCAAAAAAGAATACATTTCTTCAGAAGAAATTTCCCCACGTCCTCAAGTGAAGGCGCAGATGGTACTCAAGCGATATGTGTGGCAATGTGGGGGTTTGTAAAGAGGGGTAGAAATCGTACCTTTCCCTTATTCTTCGGCATATTGAACTGTTGTTAAACTGTTCCTGACTGAAAGTGTAACGATTTCCCGGATTTTATATGTAATGATATGTACTCGGATTGCTGGAGAGAAAACGTTGGGGGTTGTAGTGATGATGTTGTCAGATGGTGTTGTCAATTTCGGCTCTTATATAGTGGGGGATTTTTCTGTTTCTGCTGGCTGGATCGCCACTCCAAACCGTAACTATACCCGATTTGGCAGCCTCAACGCGCACCTTAAAAACTTTTCAGGAGTTACTTTCCGTGCCGGTGGATTTGTTAGAACACACATGTACCAAGGCAATCCCCATCTTCTCGCCCGTTCCAAGCTCTGCATTTTTAAAACAAACACATAATTGGAAATTTTACAGAATGGCTTCACGGGGCGCAAGCAATATATTTAACAAGAACCGAGGACTTGCCTCTTACTACGGTTTCAGACCCCCAAGATTCGTCGCCCCCAAACAGCCCTATTTCACAGTCCGTTACACGCCTCAAAACATACCTACGTCGCGCGCGAAGAAGTTTTCCTGTGATCTCTTCATCAATCTATATGCCCTCCGGCCCAAGATCGACTATATGTGGGCGACACGGGACAAGCGCCAGCTTTGGTGGTCCGCTTCGGCCCAATCTGATATCGCATCGGAGAAGAGCGTTATACGGTCGTGGTGCGCCAGACGGGTGCGGACTGCATTTAGAGACGCGTTGAGGGAGCGTGGATATGACAAGACAGGGCGAAGAATACCGGATATCGAGCAGCGGGAGCAGCAGAAACCGCAACCGAGGCAGCAAGCTGGGCAGCCGCCGTCTCGGCTAGAAGCCTTGGAAGGGACTTTGGAAATTCACTTCCGGCTTGCTGTCAAAGCTGCGAAATATACGGATATTGTGCGGGAGGCTGGGGTCGTCATTGAAAGGATTGAAACCTACCTCAAACGGGTAGGCGAGCGGGAGGAAAATGACGTGGAGAATTCTTCAGACGCTCTTTGGCCTAGTAACAATGGCGTGTCTACCTAAGTTCCTAGGGTAAAAGAGGGTGGACTCGGCACGTCGTTGTTGGTTCCAGCATCTTTTGCACAGCACAATAAGGCCATAGGAAAGCCCTCTGGATCTAATTTATTCGGGCACTTACTTTACCTAGACGGTAAACAATAGGTAACTAGCAACCCCATGGGAATTTTATTCGAGGCTACACTATATGCCTGATCCATTTTGCCCTGGATACTCGCAGTAGCTAGTACGACGGTCAGCTAGGCATGTAAGACTAGCATCTTCACCACATCTCCACATAAGATCCCTCCTGGAGCAGAGTTCCGCAGTAATCCACAATACAAAAGTGCCATCATCAAACTCCCCCTCAGTCCCATACCCCGCATCAGAGGAACCCAAAAGAAGCTTTCTCCTACACGGAAATCCAACCTCACTTATTGAGCTCCTTCATTCGAGCATCGATTTCTTCCCGTGGGGCTCTTGCCGGCATGTCTCCTACAAACGCCCTCAAAAAGTCAACATCAACTGCCAATTATGGACGAAATATCTTGGGTGAATTCTCTTTGATATTAGACCAACCTTCCGGAATCTGCGGGCCCTTAGTTATGAAGTCCCGGGCCTCAGGCCTCAACTGCTCACCACCCGCTGTAGAGTTGGCGTTCTTCTGTGTCTGGCTTCGTGTTTGGCGCGTGGTCGTGCCAGTTTTTCCGGCTTGGAAATCTTGACTAGATCGGCCAGCCATGTTTCCAGATCGATGGATTGGGATGGGTGTGACGGGTATAGGTCGAGGGGTGGCAGATATTGCTGGAGACGCAAAATTGTATTTTTAGGAAGATTGTGTTGGCTTTACTTAAGCCTATTGCTGGATAAATTACTAACTTGGATTTTGAGAAACGAAATAGGGTGGATGTGCTTAGAAGTCGGGCACGAGGTGCTACGCTACGGCAGGGGAAATGATTCTGATGACATCACCAAAACAGCCAAGGGTATAATCTCGAGCAAGAGCCAGGACAGAAACAATAGCAGTGGCAGGCAACCTATGAGAATTGACCTCATCCCATTCACCTATCTTGGTAGATATTAATCTGTTTATACTTATATTATATTTAGCAGGTAATAGCCATTTGTAACGTAACTAATCAGAAGTGTCAAGAAAATAGTACCATTTCTGGGCTTCTTTGTGTGTTGTTCAGTTGCCAAAAGCAGCATATACTTTAAGTAGTTAACTTTCTCATACAAAGGGATGCTAAATACACTCTATCGGCTTCAGTACGGAGTAGACATCTACACGTTCGACTCTTGTGCTGCGCAATAGTACAATATTAATATTACACTTCCATACGGACGGGCTTCCTAATCCAACAAAGGCTGTACAGGGCTTGGCGCGGCGTTCCCTGACTAAGCTTCGCAACCTCGCCTTTCTTCGTTCCCGGATCCGACCAACCCTGATCGAAACACACAACTCCATCCATCCATTCTTCCATTCTTCTACATATATATAACTCGAAAATACACCCTGTGTGTTACTTCTCCTAACCACCATATCCTAGACGGTATTCCGCGGAGAGATATTTTCGCCTACTGCCATTCGAACGCCAGTCAGTAGTACGTTGTGTTCGCGCTCAGCTGCCTGCTGAAGGGATTCAGATTAGCAATGAGCCACTTGGCTGTCAAATATAACTAATGAGACTAACGTCGTCTTCTCCCTGTCCGCAAATACCAGCCTTGGAGCTCCAACCATGCCATCCATTCTCACCGATGCGGATAAAGAGACGGTCAGGCGAACCGTTCCAAAACCCTCCAACAAGATACTGGCTGTGGCAGTTGCGCGGTTATACGTAGCACATCCAAACCCTCACAAATGGACATATACCGGGTTGCAAGGAGCTGCAGTTCTTGCCAACGACTTGGTTGGACATACGTTTTGGATTAAGTTGGTTGATGTTTCGGTATGCAATGCAATATTCTGCTTAGATATATCCTTACCTCCCCTCGCGTACAGCAAACCCAAACTAACATGGCATATCTCCGAAAAATAGCCCGCTGGTAGAGGAGTTGTATGGGACCAGGAAATCTACGATGGGTTCTCGTATAACCAAGACAGGACCTTTTTTCACACTTTCGAGCTAGAGGAATGTCTCGCAGGGTTATCGTTTGCGGATGAGAAGGAGGCAAAGACCTTCATGAAAAAGGTACTAGAACGAGAGAAGAGCGCGAGTAAAGAAACGAAAACTACACCATTTGCGTCACTCCGGGGCCAAGGACCCGCACCAGTAGCAAGCAACAAAGGCCATAGTCGGTTTGGGCTTGGTAGCCTCCTACATGTCCACCGACATTCCTCCGCCCATGCCCCACCTGCTCCTGCGGAATCTATTATCCCCCCAAGGCAGCCCGCTCCAGCTCCCGCTCTCTCCCCGGCAGCAACAGAACTCCCATCAGCCCCAGAACGGAAGCAGACGTCAGCCTTAGACACGGTAGATCCGTCATGGAGAGGCTTGCTCGACGAATTACTTGCCATGGGTATTACGGAGGATCAAATCGCGGAGAACTCGGATTTTATCAAACAATACATTGAGCAGAAGCAAGCCGATGAGCTTAATGGTGCATCTAAGGAAACTCCACCAGATTCCCAAAAGAGAGCAAAAGCCCCGCCACCTCCTCCGCCGCCAAATGCCCCACCCCCGCCAACAGCATCGATACCGCCCCTCAGCCCCCAGAATACGGGAAGGAGAAATGCTCCTCCACGTCCACCGCCGTCACGACGCGGCCGTCCTCCTTCACCACCACCTGCGCGTGGGCCCCCTCCACCATCTCCATCTCCGCCGCGGGAGCCATCACCAGTTCGGCCACGCTTCAAAGCGCCCCCTCCCATCGCGGATGCCGGCAAATTTGCCAATGCTCTCCCGGGCCGGAATAGAACTGCATCAGGTTCTAATCTAGCCAGACCGGGAGCTCAACCCCCACCACTGCCACCGAAAACTCCTATAGAGGGAGAGCGAAAGGTCTCAGCCCCCCAACTACCCAGTCGAACCCCAGGTCTCCCACCGCGGCGTGAAGTTAGTCCTGGATTAACACCCGCCTTACCACCCAAGATTCCTCATGTTACTCCTGCAGCCGGGCTTGCCCCTGGGCCTCCTCCTCCCCCCCCACCACGTGCTCAAGCTTCTCCAAGTTCAACTCCCCAGTCATCACAACCACCGCCACCACCAGCTCCAGTCTCTGTCCCAGGACGTCAACTACCACCACCCATCTCGGCTCCCGCACCACCGACTCCTCCGCCTCCGCCTCCGGCACCAGCACCATCATCGAGCCCCGCACCACCTCCACCCCCACCTCCAGTTAATACTGGCCCGCCCCCGCCTCCACCTTCAACCGGTGGTCTTCCTCGCCCTCCTCCCCGTCCCGCGCCTTCAACCGTTGCTCCGCCCCCACCACCGCCTCCGCCGGCTGGAGTTGCTCGCCCACCCCCTCCTCCATCTGTTGGTAGCCCTCCTCCTCCCCCACCACCACCGCCACCAGGCCCCGCAGCCAACGGCGCACCTCCTGCCCCTCCCCCTCCACCATCGTCATCAACCGCACCATCCCTTCCAAAACCAGCACCGGGGAAAGACGATCTTCTAGCCTCAATCCGTGCAGGAACAGGCCTTCGAAAGGTCAAAGACACCGAGAAGCGAGATCGAAGCGCAGCCGCCGTTCCCGGTGCAAGTAGCGAGACACCGTCGTCACCAGCATCAGGTGGAGCTGGGCCCGGAGAACCGAATTCAATGCTAGGGTCTTTACAGGCGGCGTTGAATAAGCGGAAGCAGAAAGTCAGCGGAAGTGGTATGTATCTACGTCTCTTTGCTTGTATTATTTTCTATTTGAATTCAATTCTACCTCCCCACGCCTGATGGACCTAGCAGGAAACTGACATTATGGCAGATGATGAAAAATCAGATGACGAGTGGTGAGGTTAGTTTTGGTATTGGTTTTGGTCTTGGTTTGAGCCATCATGGTTATATTCGTGGATCCATTTGCTGTCACTTTTCCCTTTTTTTTTTTTTTTTTTTTATATATTCAGCTGTTCGTAATGGCATACACTACTGTAAAAAGCGTCTGTCTGAGACGTTGATCGTTTGGTACCCTTTCGCATGCTACTCTTTGCTGTATCTTATGCGGTAATGTTCGTGTTTAATTGGGGGAAGGCCATTCCATATACAGGCGAATTGAATTTGGGTTTCAAAATCTTACTTAGCTCTTCCCATCGATTAAATTAACCTTAACCGCTCAAGAACCCTCTCCGCGAAGAACAACCTCGGCGGATAAATAGTTATTCCGCTAGGGGCCGGCAAAAAATTAACAAACCTACATCGACGTTGGGAGCAACTTGATCATTCCTCAACAAACAAAAACAAAGACAGAATAGAGCAAGTGTTCTATCTGTTATCACTTTGTTTTCAGAAAAGAAGCATCCCATATGAGGGTAAGAGATGGTGTCCCCATCTACCCTCAAGCCATCAGCTCCATCAGCAAATCTGCTCCGCTTCCTCCGCTCGCAGTCCGAGGTGTCCACCCACTATTACTTTTCCCCCAACACCACTCCGATTACACGCCCGCACTCACTTCCGCCAGCATGCCCATGGCGTCTCCGATCCCGACCCCAATCCCAAAGGGGATATGCACATGCTGCGTTTCCATCATGGTCATATGAAGAGCATGACATCCACCCAAATGCGCAACAACAGCATCCCAACCAACATCAGCGCCGCACCGCAACCCTCGAAGCATCTCTCTTCCCCTTCCTCAGCGCGCGGACGCGCAATTTAGAAGATGATCCGTCATACATATCGACATCACCGTCCACGATTCCCGCATTAGTAGCAACTCCGCGCACAGCGCTAAAGAGCCTGAACAGGCGTGGAGGATATGGCAATCTACAACTCTTCAGCGGTACAGCGGGGAGAAAAGGCCGGGGCCGGGGATTCATCCGGCGCCTGTTTGGACTACGAGTATCGGAGCGTGATGATCCCAACAAATTGCGTCCAAGCGATTTGCCCATTGGCCCTGTGATGGAGGATGGGCACGAGGGGAACATGTTTGCTACGGGGCGTTCATTAGCGATGAAAGCGACGAATGAGCCGCGGCTGAGATGTACGGAGCTGGATGAAAATGGGAACGTGACTCTTGTTAATGGGGAGTTTAAGAAAAGTGAGCTGATTGCGAAGGTATGGATTTTATTTTGTTTTATTTGTTTTATTACTTTTTGAGGTTGTAAGTGCATGATCTAACGTCGCTCGCTGTTAATGGATGCAGTATGGTCTTCTTCCCCGTGATCTTCGCAAGATCGACTCCTCAGTCCTTCCGCATATTCTCGTGCGCCACAGCGCTATTTTAATCAGCCTTCTGCATCTACGCGTCCTGATAAAAGCAGATCGAGTTTTGGTATTCGACGCCTACGGCTCGACGGATTCCTACACGCAGTCGGTATTTATGTATGATCTAGAAGGTAAACTACGTCAGAAAGAGGTGACAGGCCGCCAATCCTCACCGGGCGCTCTGCCCTATGAATTCCGTGCCCTTGAAGCCGTTCTGGTCAGCGTGACCAGTGGACTTGAAGCTGAGTTTGAAGGGGTAAGGGAACCTGTAGTGCGCGTTCTTCGGGCACTGGAAGAGGATATAGACAGAGACAAGTTGCGGCACCTCCTGATCTATTCCAAGAGATTGGGCACGTTCGAGCAGAAAGCTAGATTGGTGCGCGATGCGATTGAGGATCTGCTTGAAGCCGACGATGACTTAACCTCAATGTATCTGACGGAGAAAGCGAATGGCGTGCATAGGCAGGAGGTTGACCATCAGGAAATTGAGATGTTGCTCGAATCGTATCACAAAGTCTGCGATGAAATCGTACAAGCCAGTGGGAATCTGGTCACCAATATTCGAAACACGGAGGAAATGTATGACTTCAATCCCACCCACTTCCCTCAGTCCTCTATGACTCAAACTACGAACTCGTTCTTGTCTCTATCAGAAGGAAAAGAAACTAACATCAAGAAACTAACATCATTCATCTCCCTAGTGTAAAAGCAATCCTCGACGCCAACCGCAACTCCCTCATGCTCCTCGATCTCAAATTCAGCATCGGCACTCTTGGCCTCGCAGCTGGCACCCTTTGCTCTGCCCTCTACGGCATGAACCTGAAAAACTTCATAGAAGAATCAGACCTAGGCTTCGCCACCGTCTCCGGCGCCTGTTTCGTCTTTACCGCCTTCGTGTGCGCCTACGGGCTCATGAAACTACGGAAGGTACAACGTGTGCGGATGTGGGGAGAGGCAGGGCTGCATGACCGCAACATTGGCACGTTGGGACTTAGGAGTGGTGGGAGTGCGGCGCTGCCTAACCGGGCTAATTGGCGCGCTGACACTGTGGATCCCCTCTGGACCGGGTTGGCTGGAGAGACTCGTGGGGAGAGGTTGAAGAGGCTTCGACAGGGTGGTGCAGCTTCTGCTGCTTTGTCGGCGACGCCCCCAGTTGCGAAGAATATCCAGAGTGCGGAGAAAAGAAGTAAACAGCAGAGGCTACGGCAGCAACAACAGCAGCAACAGGAGCAGCAACGACAGCGACAGCAGCAGCTAGCAGATAACGCCGGAGTTGATACAAGCGGCGAAGAATCAGCGCTGGGAAGTGCAGCCATCAGCTCTGGCTCTCGATAATAACTTTATATTCTACATTCTACTTTATGATACCGCAACACCAACCCTAGGCGTGTGTTCTCTTATCCTGAGATAATTTCCTGATATCGTCGTCCCTTACATATGATGTGTAGGACCTGTGTTTATAATTCCCCCCTGTTCATATCATTTTTATTTATCGAGTCCTCCGATGCGATTCAAGTCAATGTCCGCGTGAACCAGGCTTAGACAACTATGCTTTCCTACGGTGTTCTACCGTGTCCAGGGCTGTTATGGGTTCCAAGAACTTCATGGGGCGAAAGCCTGATAGATTTCAGGTATAGACTGGTTTTTTTTTTTTTTTTTTTTTTTTTTTTTTTTTTTTTTTTTTTGAGGGGGGGGGCGGGTTGCCGGGTTTCTTTTCGGGTTTTCAATAGCGGCTGAGGAGTTGGGATGTATGTATGCATGTTATGTATCTTGCTCTTGCGCTGGTGCGATTCTTATGTTTTTCCTGTCGGGATTTACAATACCATCTCAACTAGTTAATGTACCATTTGTTACACATCACCTCATCTCTTTCTTAGCGTGGCGAGGGGTGTCTTTGTGTACGACGTGCATAACTGCTGCGGCTCACACCCCAGATTCTGCGCCGAGCCGCTAGTGCTTGTTAGCTGCAGCATCGCTGCACTGACCCCCTGGGCTGAACGATTCAGCCCAGTATCATCCCAGAGAGAGATCAACCACAATCGACAGGAATGGCTGGTAATTGGCCGATTTGCCAAAACATGGCTTGGTCCCATCAATACCACACGCCAAAAAAAATCTTAGAGCCCATTGATGAAGCTTGGTCACATATGATTAATGAGTTGGGGGAACTCCCTCCAGGTTTCAATCATGAATGCCATATTGGCTCGCTCCCACTTGCTTGGTTATGAGCTGTTGGGGATATCAGCTGCAGGATAGCAAGGTCTGGGTTGATTTAACCCGCCCCAGCACGGATGGGAGTGGCCTTTTTGGGGTAAACTCCAACCCCCAAAGAAAGACCCTGACGAGTAAAAATTTGACAAATACCGGTCTGTGGGAAAGGCCATTTGACTTTACGGGCTTGTCCATCGTCTTCCAGGGTGTTCGTGCAGCCTACTGTCATCGTGACTTGTTTTCGAGGCGGTATGGAAGCCTCTATATGCGCAGTTCAGGAGTGTTCCGATGCACAGCGCTCCAAAGCAGTTAGCAGTCATATCCGAGGGCTCTGGTCCATAGTTGATGCAGGTCGCCTCGGTTCTTCTGGAAAGGAGACGTATCAAAGTCTAGCGAACAATTTCGAAGTGGATACCTGTGTTGATAAAGATTCTTGTATTATTGCTCCAGCAAATTGTGGCGGGGAAGTAAGTATGGCGACAAAGAGACGGCTTCATACCAAAGCCGGTAGTCAGGGTTCCGCATATTCAACGATATCGGACAGCTGTGCGAAGTGTGGAATGAGCATAGCCAGCGAATGCATCTCAGCTTTTGGAAGTTTTTATCATCCTCAGTGTTTTAAATGCCATGTGAGTTTTCATTCTATCACAGCAATGAAACTAATACACCTTGTTTCATTCTTTTAACGCATGGATTTTTAGGACTGTCACAAACCCATCTACCGCGAATTCTTCCCTGCTCAAGAACGAAATGGCCCAATTCCTCTCTGCGAGACTGACCTTTTCCGTCGTTTAGATATGCTCTGCAGTCAATGCGGAGGTGCCTTGCGAGATTTATATATCAGTGCCCTTGGGCGAAAATACCACATGGACCATTTCACTTGTCATTCCTGTCAGCATGTCATTGGAGCGGGGGATAATTACTACATACATGGGGGCAAGGCATATTGCAAGAAAGACTATATGGCGAAGTATGCAGACTGCTGTTACGGGTGCGGAATGGCTATTATGGATCAATATATCAAGGTTTATATGCCAAAAAAACGAGTCTGGCATGAACGATGTTATAAGACACATAAACGTCACAATCCGGACTCGTCTCTGGGCGACGTACCCATCGCGGCCGAACAGGATGCTGAATCGACCCCTCTTAAGATGGAAAGAATCCTAGATAATTTTGAAGCGACGGTTACATCGTGTATAAGTGACAGCCTCGAGCACCTCGAATCTGGTTCTCGTGAGAAGATATCGGAAGGCATTCTAACTTTGATAACTGCGCTTGGCGTCCTTTTTTCCTCTATTGACGCTGTGGACGATGTCAGAAGAAAGGCTGGAAAAACTGGTGAGTGTATATACACCAATTGCAGCTACTACAAGATGATTAACCTTACTAGTGCTTTCCGACAGCTCCGAAATAGACCTACTGCGGGCGAAGCTGACAGACTTTATGACCGTGTCTCTGTCAAACAGCCAGCAGCCAAGGTCCACTTCAAGCCATCTGAAGGAAATATATGCTGCAAGCTCAGGCTTATCCTATTTTATGAAGAAAGTCATCAAAATTTTCGGGGAAAGGGTTGTTGATGTTGATTTATCTGCTTCTTCCGAATATCTCAATTCTCTCGACAAATTCCCAGATCACCCTCCACTGGCAACAATGAACTTCACGAAAATAGAGCTCAGCAGGAGTGATGCAGAGCTATGCCAGGTCTGCAACGGTCCAATCAGCACCGAATGCGTGAGCTGGGATGGATATCTACGGCGGCAACACTTAACCTGCAAAAGCTCATGCGTTCACTGTGACGCCTGTGAAACTCCACAAAATACGAATCTAGTATTAATCAACCCGCCCGGTGACAGCTATGCGCTGTGCTGTACCATCTGTCAGAAAAATGTGAACATATTGGGTGACCGTGCGGCCGATGAACCCTCAGTGAAGTCATGTAAATACGTCACCAAACTGCAGCAATATGTATTCCTCCTCAGAGCCCAATTTGAGCAAATGCAAAAACCGACAGATGTCCATTATGACCAGATGACGATGACGACGGCAACGACAGCAACGACCACGACGACAACAACGACAATGACGACCCTCTTCGAGAGATCACATAAACAGCTAGACAGGGGGATTTTTGGACGGCTCTCGGCCAACAGCCATCGTACCCCCACAGACCAGCCTGCTGCAAATAGTCTTATAGATCGGACAGCGTCGGACACTTTTGCGCTTGGCGCAATGATTGGGAGTTCCTACCAGGGTTTAAAGAAAGGGTTCTTTGGCAGGTCGAAGACCCGGTGTCGTTCCTAAAGGATACAACAAGGGGATTACCATACAAAGCATATCGAAGTGTCTTTCGTGGTTATACCTCCTGCAGTATTTTTTCTTTCTTTCATTCTCACTTCTTTTCTCTTTCTTCTTTCATACATTCCCCAACTTTCATTCTCTGAATCAAATACGCGAGAACACGACAAGGGTTTAGCGAACTCATTACGATATTATACTATGACTTCTATTTTCGACGTTTAAGGAGTTTTAGGATATATATAACCCAGGGGTCGGGTACACCGGAGGAGTTTCGCGAGATTTCAGGCTTTTCCTTATTTATTTAGCACCTTGTTTTCCTCTTGACGTTTTCGTTTGCGAAAGAAGAAATAATTTAAATTTTCTGGGATTCCTTTTCTCTCTTCAAGCCAGTTCCCCTAACCATAATTGCCCGTGCAAATTCGGGGTTTCATGCTAACCAAATTGGAAAAGACAAGCCGACCAAATTTAATGATCGGGAAAAAGTCGGAGCTCCTGTTCCGCCTGTCTGTCGCCTACTGCACTTGAAGTTGCCAAGATATCTCGCGCGCTGGCTAGAAACCCCTCAGATACGTGGACTGCCTTGTCGAACAGCCAACGACAGTTTTTCTCTACTAGCACCAAAATCTAGCAAAGAGAGAACAAGGGGGAATAAATGATAGCATGTCAACTTGTCACACAAAACCTGAAGCACCCAGCCAGTGGCAGGGATAACCCCACACTATCAAGTTACACAACCATTGGGCTTCCTATGGGCCCCAATCGAGGATGTCTATCGAGCAGTGAGGAGAAGCTCCAAATAGCAGAACTGAGAAGCTCCGTGGAGTTAACTATATTCGGCCTTGGGAGCACAAAGGTCGTCCTGGCGTCTATCTTCATTGTTCTCGTTTCATTGTGCATGTTTTGAAGTCTCAATGCAGAATGCGGAGACGAAGGAATGGCTCAACCTCATCGCGCAAGCCCTTGATATAAACTCCCCAGGAGCCTCGCCTCTTGCTGGTGAAGAATGGCAAGGGTCACTCGACAATCGCTCTGTCCGAAGCCGTTATATGCCCTGCGCCCTCAGTTCTGTTTCATGCTTCTACCTGCCCCTCTGGATCATCAAATGATTGACATATTGCGGGATGCTATCTGAACTTGCTCTAGCTTTTGCGCTGGGTGCGCAGACTGCTTTGGGTATTGGAAATTCTGCTTGGAAGCTGAAGGGAATGCAGTATTTAGTCACGTTTGGCAATAGTTATACTGATGAGTCGAGGCTCCTGTACTTTATTGAACATCAGGATGCTCCTCCTGTTGGGTGGAGAGCGCCAGAGGTAAATTATTTTTATATTTCCTTCTGTTCTGTTCTTTTCTTTTCTTTCTTTCTTTTTTTTTTTTTTTTTTTTTTTTTTTTTTTTTTTTTTTTTTTTTTTTTTTGTGAAACCTTGCCTAAGCCAAACCGGCGAAATGGCGGCTCTCTTTGATAAGCATCGTTTCCTTTTTTACCTACTTCATGTAACAACCAATGGCTTATCAGACACTGCTATTGTTACTATAGAATAACGTTACCTCGACTGGTGGCCGTATATGGGCCCGTTATGTGAGCGACTATACAGGTGCGGCGCTTTACAACTACGCCGTCAGCGGCGCAACTTGCTCCAACGACATCACGCCGCGATACTTTAGCCCCATCAACGACATATTCCCATCTGTTGACCAATACGAGATCCCTGCCTTCATTGAAGATGCGTACCATCAAGATCCAGAGACAGGGGAACCATTCCTATCTCTTCCTCGGAGGGAGACTGTCTACTCCATCTGGATTGGTACAAATGACCTAGGCAACGGGGCGTTCATAGACGATTCGCAGGTTGCTGGAAAAACACTTCTAGATTATGTCGAGTGCGTCCTCCGTGCAATTGAGGGTCTTTATGACCATGGTGCGCGGTATTTTGTGCTCATGAATGTGGCGCCATTGGACTTGTTGCCTCTATATGCGTTGCCTGAGATGGGTGGGGTGCAGGGAGGGCCGTTTTGGCCGGATAAGCCAGATAACATCACCCAGGTTTCGTGCCGGATGAGGGAAACTGTTGTGGCTGTGAATGAGATTATAGAGTTGAAGATAGAGGGTTCGATGCGCCATCGGTATAAGGGGGCAAGTATTGCTCTATTTGATACGTATTCTTTGGTACGCCGCCTTTGTTCTTCCCAGGCCAAAGACTCATTGTACACCTTTGCAAACCGCGCGTGACATATATAATAGCCCTATAACCATTAATTACTTCTCACTTGCAAAGCTAATTCTTCAACTACTAGCTTACGAGTATGTACTACCATCCAAGCCAATACTTCACTGGCACTGAACCGCCCAGCGTAGAGGGCTGGGTGAAGCATTGTGATGCCCAAGGACAGAACTGCGAGGAACAACCCAGTCCAGACTCTTTTATGTGGTATGACGAGCTACATCCATCAGAGCAAACGGGTAGGATCATCGCACAACACTTTGTTCAGGTTGTTGAAGGGGTGAGCGCGTATACGAAATATTTTGACTGAGACATGAGTGAGAGTAAAATGGCACCACCATATTTAGGAATTAATGACCCTCACAAGCATTTTTCTGGAATTGGATTATTTAAAAATTTAATGGGAAAACAGGGCATCACCTCGCAGCGCACAGGTTTAGCTGGCAGAGAGTAGCTGACCCAGATGCGATTTATATAATTCAAATAGCAAATTTACGGAGACATTGGGTTTTACAAAGTCATTATCTTAGATTTATATCGTCGGTCTTTTTCCATGATTGGTGAGTCAATATTAAATAGACATACCATACTGTATAATTTCGGGCCCTAACCAACAGCCGGGCCGAGTTTCGTTTCTTATCAATCTCCCATGGTTTTTGTCCCCAAATCTTCCACTTCACTTTTCCCCTCCCCTTCCTTTGCGCGTTTACACTCTTTATCCTCAATTGCTCTTTGCTATTGTACCCCATATTTAAGAAACCATGCCACTCTCCAGGATCGATAGGATTAAACTTCCCGCCTCCGCGGATTTTCACGGTACGTGCCGCAGAAGACAAAAGATATATCTGCCCCTCCATTACCCCACCATCGAGAAGAAACACATATCGGCTTTCAATCATCCTATAGAAGCTTGGATAAGGACAGTGAGCTAATTGAAATACAAACAAACAGTTCATCTGCGAGATGGCGATATGATGGAGCTTGTCGTCCCCACCATTAGGCAGGGAGGGGTCAACACAGTCTATGTCATGGTAAGGTATCTGCCAGCCCGATCCCCTACGTCAAACTGAGCCCTGCAGCACAGCATACTAAACTTCTTTTCAAAGCCCAATCTTGTCCCCCCAGTGACCACCGTCGCGCAAGCACTCTCCTACAAAGAACGTCTCCAAGCTCTCGAGCCCCGCGTCACCTACCTAATGTCCCTCTACCTCCACCCCTCAATCACCCCCGAAACCATAATCGAAGCTAAGAGGAACGGAGTAATCGGCGTGAAATCCTACCCAGCAGGTGTAACCACAAATTCCGACGCAGGCGTCATCGACTACGAAGCCTTCTTCCCTGTCTTCGCCGAGATGGAGCACCAGAACCTAATCCTGAACTTACACGGCGAATGCCCCTCGCACGGGGACATCACAGTCATGTCCGCCGAAGAGCGCTTCCTGCCTACATTATTAGACCTACATGCACGTTTCCCACGCCTCCGCATTGTGGTAGAGCACCTAAGCACGGCTGCGGCGGTCGAGACGGTAAAGAAATGCGGGCCCTCCGTCGTGGGTACCATTACGGCGCATCATTTGTCCCTTATCGTGGACAATGCGCTGGGTGACCCGTTCTGCTTCTGCAAACCCGTAGCAAAGCTGGTAGAGGATCGTGATGCACTGTTAAGGGCGGCCACATCGGGGAGCAAGAAGTTCTTTTTCGGATCGGATAGTGCACCGCATCCGACGGGGTCCAAGAGGGGTGGTGATAAGATTGCTGCGGGCGTGTTTACGCAGCCGTATGCGACGCAGTATGTGCTTGATGCGTTTGAGAAAGGGTGTGAGAGTGGAGTGTTGAAGGCGGAGGACATCACGAAGGAGGTGTTGGAGGGATTTATGGGGAAGTTTGGAAGGGAGTTCTATGAAGTTCCACAGGAGCAGAAGGAGTTTATTACACTGTCCAAAGCGAAGGGCAAGATTCTGGATGTGTTGAAGTCGGAGAAGACGGATGTGGTACCTTTCAGAAAAGGTGAAGTAACCTGGGGTTTGACTTGGGGGTGAGTTGGAGGGGCCCCGAATAGGGCTCGAATAAAGCTGAAATCAATATAGAATTGGTCTTTATTGGAGCCTAGGGTATAAAACTACCCGCGTCTATTGGAATCGTGATTATGCGGATTTTCAGTGTTGGACCCCGCTGGTCGTTAGTAATTCGCTGGGCGAAATGAAAGTCGGAGGTGCAGCAGTCATATAAAGAGTCATAGAATCGGGATATTTCTATTTCTCTTCATAATATTCCAAGGAAACTGTACAAGTTCTACTTATTTCATTTTCTTTAACTGATAAACTCTGTATATCTCAGATGTTTTCGTTTATTCCTCGCCGCAAGCAACTTACAACCGTACCGTCGGAAAAGGTAAAGGGAGAGAAAAAAGGTCTTATGAGGAAGAGGGGAAAATAGATTTTATTGAAATAACTAACATCATATGGTATATTGGTATTCGCTAAAAAAACAACACTCCCACAAACAAAGAGAGGAGTGAAATAAAAAAGGTCAAAACAAAAGCTCTCCAACACCAAGCAAGATACGTCCAACATTTCTAATCCACCGAGAATAAAATCATTCTATTCAAAGGGCCGTGGCGACAATGGACGTGAAAATGAGGTGATGGCCTTATATCTATCCCCTGAGCCCTCCCCACCGCAAGCTAGTTTTCTATTTTGATAGTTAGGCGTCTGCGCCTCCCGCACGCTCCGCGATCTAGCCACATTGACTCCACGCTCGACGCTCTGATCGCTAATGTGCGATCGACGACCATCCATACTCAGGCGTTGGGCGCTTGTAGTCGTTCTCGTCGTGCCAGTCGTAGCCGTACTCGCGTATGAGTGACGAAAGGTATCCTTGTTATTGGTTTCGCAACCTGGGCTAGCGATGCTAATAGGTGGTGTCGCGGTGACGCTACGTATGAGGTCCGCGTCAAAGGTGACCCCAACATCTAGAGCGGCGATGAGGGCTGCCTGGAGCATTTTGTTCTGACGTTCGAGGAAGGCGATGCGGGCTTCGCATTGGGGATGTGTGGAGGTGTCTTGTGAGCGGGGGCGTATCGAGGATGATTGTGGGGACGAGGTGGTGTGAGTGTGGTTGCCATTACTGGCGCTGGTTCTGTTGCTGTGGGTATTTTTATTGCTGGAATGTGACGGGCTAGGAGTATATGGACCGGAGTTGTCCGGGGGGAAGCATTCGCGGAGGGGAGATTGCGATGCTGGGGCATTATTTAGTCGGGGTTCAGACCGGTTTTCTTTGTAGAAGAAGGTGTTTTTGCGGTTTTTGTTTGTTGGGCTTGGGTTGGCTCGCAGGTGTGAGGAGACGCAATTTCCGCAATCCGTTGAAATGGCAGTATGGGCTTCATCAGACATTGGTGGAGGTAGTGGAGTACGGGGGCGAGATCCGCTGGATATCGCATTCTTTTCTGGCAGACCGTCAGCTCGGGAACTGGGCGTGTGGTGTGCGACATTAGCCGCATGGTGCTGTTGAGGGATATTGCTTCCTGAACGAGCACTTCTACTCGACCAGCTCTTATTGCTATTGCTTCTGTGAGTGCTTCCGCTTGAACTTGCAGACAGACTTGCGTCAACTTTGTGGGCAAGAGCAGCATCCAACGATATGGTCGACGGTGACTGGCGGGCTAGTTGATTTAGATTGAATGCTATCTTATTAGACGGAGATCGTAGTGAGGGCACAGGCGGGTCTTTAGGCAAGGGAATGCTTGGGGGAGAGCCTGGAGCATCGTTTCTCCTGACTTTTGGAGGAGTAATCGAGATATCCGTAGCTTGATGCCCTGCTTTCTTGGACTCCGATTGTAGCTCCCAACCACGCCGAACCTCCTCGGGTGTGCTGTCTTCTGAAGGAAGAGGTGGTTGGGTATCCTTTTTCAGTCCTCCACGGGCAAGACACATATCTCGCATTCGCAATACAAAGACTCGTTCTGCTCGACTCATTTTGTCTAGTGGCTTTGTTGCGTCCATCTTCGAGGGGTCAGATATTCCCAAGCAACGTAGCCTTTTCGACTCCAGAGGCCCCCTTGGACTTGAGCGTCTTCCAGAGTTCCGTTCTATGCATTGTTGGTCCCCAGACGCTGTGAAAACGAAGTGATCTTGCAGATTTGTTGTCTTGGTTGCTACCGACGTGTGTTGAGAGGTATCTGTAGTTTGTGGGGGTGGAAGAGGCACGGCAGCCTGGGTAGTTGTCATATCTAGTGATGTCTCTCGGTGCAGGCGAGACGCAACTAACGGTGAGCCTTTCGAGCTGGATCTTTGATGCCCAGTACTGTTTGCTATCCTGGCGCGGTTTGGCATCGAGGTTGACACAGCATGCAACGGCTGCATTTGTCCAGTCAGTGACGACGTCGAAGCTGCAGATTGTGAGGCATCCGTGAAGCGGGCGGGGCGAGGGAAAAGGGAAATCAACGATTGGGTATCGATGGAGTTGCGAGGGCGCTGTGGGTAAGCACGAGTCTTGGAGTAAGAGCTCCGGCGGCGATGATGTGTGAACGTAGCGAAGATAGATGGGTTTTGGCAAGCTCCCTTGCTAGAACTCCTAGGTGGTAGACACTCGAGATCGATGTGAGACGAGTCAGAGGGCAGATAAGGCAGCGATTCCTTTGGCTCCGAATCTGTCTCTTTGCCCGATGCTGTCAGCGCTGGTGTTAATCCAGGCGGAACACTTGGAAGCAGTGGAGCTGAGCTGGTGTTCTTCGACGCGGGATGGCAATCGTTGGGCTGAAGCAGTGCAAAACGGGGTCTGACGATGCTTGATGAACCCGACACAGTAGTGGTTTTCTCCGTACAGGCATGTTGTTTCAATGGATGCCGCTTCTCGCAATGCGCGTCATTGAGTTTATGACAGTGCTCGCTATTATAATCTCGGACGCTCGTGATGCCGCCAGTTGGCGTGGTGAGAACATCGCAAACACCGTTAGCTGCGGAGCCATTCAGCGCTAGAGAGCTCGGTTCCTGGCCTAGGCGATTTGGATCTCTTGCAAGCGGGGCAGCAGTGGAATCTTCAGGCCGTTCAGCGCCGTTCTTGGGGTCTGTTTGATTGAAATTCTCGTGGGCTGTCTCTGGATGCCAGAAAGCGTCTCCTGGCGTCCGCGGCTCCTGTGAACGCGGGCTCACAACGGAGCTCTGCCTGTCGTCGCAGTTGTTGTCGTTGTCGATATAATTACTATTACTATTATTGCTGTTGTTCTTATTGTCCTTTTTCTCAACTGGCAGAGAAGGCAGCTCGCCCACTCCTGGGTATAAAAAGTCGCGGTTTTCGTACTCGACCAGCTTGGAGTTCTTCCTGTTCCGCGTTCCAGACACCATCATCCACTTGCGCCGATGTGGGCTGCCAGCTTGTTCGTCGTCACGGACTGCTGTATCATTGGCCTGTGATTTGGCATTGCCACTCCATGGCCTCTTCTTCTTCTTCTTCTTCTTCTTCTTCGTCGTCGTCGTCGTCTGAGACATTGAACTCCATATCCTCGATCTAGGCTTTTCCGCCTGGCGATGCTGATCGTCTCTTTCAGCTGCTTCGCTTTTGCGCCGAACCTTGGGCTTGTTGTTTTCTTGCAAGCGTAGTCGCTTGCGGCCCGAGGCCACTATGTTCACGACGATCTGGAACGGAGCTGAACGGTGCATTGGTTCATGCTGGCCGTCAAGGAACTTCAATAAATCGAGGGTATTCCCGCAATTGGCCTGTGTGCTTGCTGCCGTCAATGGTCGTGGGCCGTATATGCTCAGTTCTTCAGGGCTAGTATTCATATCGGCACCGTGGATGAGCCCCCCCCGGCTGACAGGCCGTTTATCAACGAGAGTCGCTGATACTCTCTTCTCCACCGCCATTATCTCGTCTCTTGACCGCCCCATCGGTATGGTAACGCTGGGTTCACTTCGTCTTGCGAAGCTGCCGTCTGGACGCTGCATCTTATGCGAGCTGCCAGCCAGACGAACATCTATAGGGACGATTGCTGCAGAATTGAGGTTGTGTGGATTTATGCTTGTCATACAAAATCAGTGAAATGATCTCTCTATTTACCAAGACGGTCAGTTTCTTCCATGCTTTCTCTGTATATTGTACAGTCCCACAACAGGAAATAGGACGTAAAACTGTCTGTACTATGCATATATACGTCATACGTTGTGGGATGATTTCTGCACGAACGGAATCCCGCATTGAACAACAACAACCACAACCCTTCGTTGACACATGGACCCGAAATAGATTAAAAGGCATACCACAAGCAGCAGAGCTGCGAAGCGTCAGGGGATAGGCGGGAATGGCAAGTAGAGAGAAAAGAAAAACTTCGTACTTCTAACAAACAGTGTGTGCTATTGATATACCGGATGCTCAAACCACAAAGAGGCGACTTGCGTCAGGGGGGAATAAACCCGTTATCTACCCCAGATCTCTATATTCGATTGAAATGCATTAGGAGAGATAAACACTCCACGCATCAAGAGCACGCCTGGTGCTGTGGAAAGGAAGGGAAGGGCAAGCAAAAAAAAAAAAAAAATAAAGTAACCGAAAGCCCCTCTCAGACATCCGATGAGGCGGAATAGTAATGCAGTATTATATACGGACAACCGGAGCTCATTGATCTTGCGGGGGGATATCTGGAGAAATTATATGCGTTGAACAAAGCCGTGATCGCTTCCAAAATGGTTTCCTCCTCCTCCACACCTTATAGCAAGCCCAATTCCAAAGTAGGGACTGGCATTGGCAAAGAGGCGACCAGGGAAAAAAAAAAAAAAAAAAAAAAAAGAAGAAAAAGAAGAAAAAAAGAAAATCTAGCAACTTTGATAAAGGACAAACGTGGGACAAATATCGCTCTGAAATCCGGAATCTACAGGTCAAAATTCAGTCCAAATCCTTGACAATCCGCGTCCGATCTCTATTTGATGATCTTCCGCTCGCATCCATAAGCCATCCCCAACCCCCGCATTAATATTAGAGCCGCTTTGTTACGCAGATATTCTACGAACGGTTGCAACACCAGCCGCCAACTCAGCGTAGAGATTAAGCAGCGGCGTCCAATTCGAGATTCCCAGGAAGCTGGGTTCCAGGCTAAGCGAAAAGGGAGCTTGAGCTATTATAAGGGACGATCAATTCTTGAACCTTGCAACAAAACGACCAAAGCGCATCCAACTTGCATCTAGAGTCACCAAGAAAGCCAATAACTACCAGGCTCGAGCGACACAGGAAGCTTATCGTGTGGCTTAGTGTCGTTCACCAACTTTGCTACAAACTCATAACTACCCTTTGAAAGCAAGAGCTTTTTATCAAGGCGCAACACCGAATAGAACCGGGAAAAGATAAAAATAAACTTGAGCTATCGGGATCACCTGGATTTGGAGAATGTCCTTTAAATATTCAAATCAAGGATGATGAGAGTAAGTTACATCAAGGAAAAAATTCGCCTCCCACATTCTTAACATGATATTTTCCCCACACTTATCAGCAACTCTGAATGGGATTTTCAAGTGCAGTAAAATGCGCACTGATCCTGGCAAGGGAACCAGCAGCGTTAGAGGTTGCATCTAGATATGGACCAATTGAAGAAGGAAGAAATTAATTGATTAACCTACAGCTCATTTCATTGAAATGTACGATGCAGATGCGCCTTTTGCCCTCCTTGTTGGTCTTGGTGGACCCTTCTGTATGAGCGTGCAGCTCGGGGTTGTGACTCCAGCGCGCGGGTTTCAAAATCGAGCAGAGAAACGCCGTTTTGCGGTGTGCAACCATTTTTGACGGCGATTGTATGGCTGACTAGAGGACTGTTCTCTCTTCTCGTCGATCGGGGACATTGATGTTTCGTAACTTAACAGCAGGCTAAAATCAGTGCAGCCGGGCTCAGTCAGTGGCTGCAGACGAGATGAACGAACATCGCCCACGAACGGCTTTTTCTATATTAATTTTGATTTTCAAGGAACCCTAGTGTTAAATAATTATTAAATATAATTACGGTGAACACTGTCGAACGTCGATCAGCGCGGCAAGAGAGCGATGTAACAACCGCCAACCATTCCATCTATCAACGGCCATCCCATCCCCGATACATGGCCTCTTGAACCAGAAACCTTCCCTTAAGGATATAAATACCCGAAATTTCAATGTTTCCAAGCAGACATCAACAGAAAGTATGCCCCTTAAAAAAATAAAAATTACCATATCCAGATCAACCCCCCGGCATATGGGAATTGGCAATTGTCGTCATATTTCCAGGAGATGGCCCACAAAGCATCTTTCATCCTGCACGTCTTTGTTGCCGGCAACCACTCTCGTGCAAACGGAACTCGCATTATTTAATGTTGATAGGCCGCCTCGAGGAAGTTAGTGCACAATGAAATTTCGGTTGTTGCGCCGGACCGTCCCCAGACCCCGAGCTTGAGCCCCCGATCGAAAGTATAGATGCGTCAATCGTGCAGTATATTCATTCATTTATTATTCACCGTGGAAAGCGGTTCTCGAAGTTAAGCGAGTACGCCGATTGCTTTAGGGGTGGAATTGAAGGTCTCCTCAACCAGCCAATATCAAATAACTAGTTAAATAATGTTCAAACAAAAGATTTTCCTGAACGCCCGGCTGATGCAGGCAGCGAGGTTCTAATCACCCACTCAATCAGTTTATTCACCAGTTGATATGTCGCTGCTCAGGATATGCGCACCTTGCTGCCGATTAACTTAACCAATCAAATAATGATTATCTATGCTGAGTAGTTAATTAATTGGCTGATAAGACTTCGTTTTTTATTCACAGAATCGAAGTTGGGAGGGATCCATCTACGCAAGTTCAATCTGTTGCATTGTCATATATATTGAAACAAGCGAGATATCAATCAACAAGACCAAACTTCAATTCTGATTTTTTGTTTATTTACTTTGCATCTACAGAGTACATTCTACCTCCTTTGCTGATGATAATGCGGGTTGACCAACTCTACAGGTCACCGCTCTCTCTCAAGCATATGATATGGGCATAGTTTCATGGTCATGGCATGATCTCGTCACCGGCGTAACTGCCCACCCATTTCCAGTCTGGACAGGCCGATGTTTACTTTTCTCCCCAGCTAACTCAAGCAGGTTGAACGGTTACGTTACGTTACTATCCTCTCCTGTCACATTAAATTAGTTATCGTAGTTACCGGCCCGAGGGTCAATTATAAACAGAACTGAACAAATAATTCAGATAACCAATCATCCCTCTTCCTGCAGTCGCTTGTCTCAGCCCTTTAGGGCCTTGCCCCCTTTTTCGGTTCCCCTTCCCCTTTCCCCCTTCCCACAACCCTCGCGTTCACCTACCACTGACCGCCTTAGCTGACTTTGATATATCGGCCAAAACCAGAATATTAAAGAAACAACCACGAGGAAAAGCATCCTTCGCTCATACGCAGTGCAATGCACATGTGGTGGAAAGAGCAGCTTCCAACATCGGTGAACGATACATTTCGATGTAGATGTCAACCATGTGCGCAACCCTCCTATCCCCTCTTTTCTCATGCACCCCTGGCTAATGCAAGGGAAGATATACCCCGCTCTCAGCTGGTCAATAATCCAACAGTGGAAAAGCAGGAGGTGATTTGTGAATGTGATTTTCGCTGGCTTCTTTGGGAGGTAGGTTATGTCCTCTTTTACAGGAACGGTAACACGAGAAGATCTGACATGTTCTCCCATGTTCCACTCCATGTTATCGTAACACTCCCATGTACAGGCGGGCGCAGCAGATTCGACGGATGTCAGCATCGTCGGGGCGTCTATCCGCCAACTCGAGCGGTGTAAATGGCGGGGTGTTGTATTGATTCATATATCAGATGCCAGACAGATCTATCTATATATTTTTTTTTTCTATACCTCTCTCTCCCCCCGATGGCTACCAAGATTAGATGCGCGGGTGTACAGGTGACATGCATGCATAATCGTACAGAGCAGATAGATTGGTTATGCAATTCATCATGTTCATGTTCACGTACGCGGTTGTTGCTTTAAACATAACATTCGACGGACGTGTTTATTCGCACCCCCTATCTTCGACTGTTGGCCTTGAGGCGCGAGAAGTCGTGGTGCATCGCCGAGGGTGAAACAACACTTCCTCGAGTAGAGTCGTGATATTTATGCACATGCAACTCGTGAACTTGCGCATGCATCATCAACACGCTGGCCTGTTCAGAACGAAGACTACAGTGGCGGTGACAGATATGATAGGTTACCCACCCTGTAGTAGTCAATCCCAATTTAGACGAATGGGACGAAGGCGAATAAAAGTAGTGTCATCGAAAAATGAATCTTTCGATATACCCCAATTGCCTTGGTGGTTAAATGAATGTAGGGAGTATAAAAAATAATAAATGCTAGAATCTGAAGACGCCCGATTTTGTGTGGGTATATAACTCTGCCAGACTAGAAACATGCCTCTAAAAAAGATTAATTGGTATGGGATGAAATAAAAGAGGTGAACACCAAAAACTACTTTGTGACCACGTCCGTCGTAAGTTGAAGTATTTGATAAAGGAACCACGTAGAAAACATAACAAAATATGCCAGACCATTTGGTCTGCACTTAGGAGTCCTCCTTCCTTCATATAACTTCTTGCTTAGCTAGCAATCTTCAATCAATCAAGCTTTACATCTTCCATCAAAAGAATAGTGTTACCAACGCCGCCCGGATGCCTTCTTCGTCTTGCTTCGTTGCTCTCGTCGCCCCAGTTTCTTGTTCTGGATGATAACGCATTCGAAGGATAAGGACTAGATAAACGAAAATTTAAAGTAAACAAAGAAGAAAGTGGAAAACAACATTGGGAAAACGATGGAATAAGTGACAAAAACAAATCAACAGCCATGAGAAACGTTATCAAAAAAGGACGAACCCCAAACGCCGCAGTTCAAATCAAATAAAAATAGTGTCTATGCGCTGTAATGTGCGATCATCCATGCAAAGGTAAAGCGAAATAGCGGCTCCCTCCTCAAATGATAGAGAAAAAAAGTGAAATATAATACAACGCCGTCTAGAAAAGGAGTAACGGCAAAAGAGAATAATGATTTTTTTTTTTTTTTTCTATCTTCTTTTTGGCTGAATAAATATGCTGGTTGGCTTCTTCTTTCTCATGGGTAGCGGACCTCTGCCTTCGGCATTTGGACGCGGAGGCGGCTTATTAGGACGTGATGTGGAAGGTGGTGGCTGGGCGGTCTGTCGGGTAATGCTGTTAGTACTTTGCTGTGCCCATTTATGAGAGGAAGGGGCAAAAATTTTTGTCATAGCTTACATTTGCCGTCTGTTTCTCCGGTCCTGTCCCAGGACGAGGACGCGGAGGTTGTTGGGTTTTGGAGTCTATCGGCTGATGTCGCTGGCCAGATTTTGAGGGTATCACCAGATCCTGGAACGAGAGTTAATAGGCCAGTAAAAATATAAACTGGGTTTTATCATATCATCGAAAATTAATGCAAGAGAAGACTTACGCTGGTGGGAGGAGTAACAATATGGGGATCTATTTTCTTCCCTCGCGGCCCCTTTGGTGCATTCATAGGTGCACCGAATTGAGCGTTAAACTGCGCATTGGGTTTTCGAACTTTCACATTTGTGCGGGGATTAGGAGGCTCTGTTTCCATCCGTTTCCGCTTGCCGGAATTTCGCTGATCAGTATTTGGTAAGTCCCGTTTTTGATTAGGCAATACTGCAGATGACGGCACATTTGAGGCAATTTTCGGGGGCACTTGGATAACTGGCACTTTCGGATCGTGGTCGCCAAGCTGTCTTTTCCGCTGCCGTTCGAGATTTGCTTTTAGGACCTGAGCATGTTGATGCTCCTCGCGAGCGATTCTATCCTTCTCCCGTTTGGAGAGAACAACTATTGATGTGCATGCGCGCGCTAAATGCCCAATGCCGCCGCACTGGAAGCAGCGTTCTGCCTCGCAATCTCGCTTGGAGTGCGAAACATCTCCACATCGCCAGCAGGCACCGCGGCTGGCCAACTTGGCCTCCGTGTTATCGCAGTTTGTCGTCATATGCTCGTAGCTCCCGCAGAATCCACACATGGCTAATTCATTCAAGCCAAACTTTCCTCCTGAAGGCCCTTCGGGTCCAGTGGAAGGCACTAGTTTTGGGCTGTGGCCTGGTGTGTCTCTGGAGGAAGTAGGGTGGTTGTCAGGAATGCTGGAGAGGCGGCCTATTGAAAGAGCAGAGGACGGACGGCTACTTCCATTCCCACCCGGCGTCACAGATCCAGTTCTCGACGGCGTCGAGCTCTTCGCGCTCGGAGCGTCGATCATCTCCACATCTCCCAACTCCTTATCCAGACTGATTTGCGGCTTCTGCAAGAGATGCAAGACATCTCCTTGGGTATACAGATTTCTCGACTGAGCGTCAGTAATCAGCCCGTTCCAAAATTCGCCTTGGACGAGTGATTGTGAATTCCCAAGCACCCAAAGTGATGATTTTGCACGAGTCAACCCGACGTTCATGCGGCGAATATCAGCCAAGAAACCGATGCCACGGTTTGACGCTCGCACGCAAGAGAAGATAATAACTTCACACTCTCGCCCCTGGAATGCGTCCGTGGTATTAAACTCGACCTTGGTGAAAATTGAATTCCCATACTTGTTTGCAAACTGATTTTTCATTTCTCTAAGTTGACCTTTGTACGGAGTTATAATTCCGATCCTGCCCGTAAAGTCGTAAGTCCTGTAATCAGTAATCAACCGCTCGTAGAGTTTCATCGCCACGCGAAGTTCTGCTACATTTACCAACGAATGGCCCTTTGGAGCGCTCGAATGCAGTCCTTGCACATCGAAAAACCGATATGGACCCAGAAGCTCACTCTTATGCCATGGCCGAACGCGTAGTTTAGCCATACCCGGCCCATCTTGAAGCCGTCCGTCGTAAAATGCAGCGCTTGGGAAACGGCTGATTTCCGGATGCATTCGGTACTGGGTATCGAGAAGATGTACATCTTTAGGGTGATTGGCTTGCATTCTGACGAACAAACTCTGTTCATACTGGAAGCGTGACGCGACTTTCGACAGAACAGTTGGCGGCAATTGCTTAGGATCACCGACGAGGACACATTTGGAACAACCATACTTGAGAGGGATAAGAGCACTAAGCTCAATAGACTGTGCCGCCTCATCGATAACAACCGTTTCAAATTCGATGCTCAGTGACTGAAACATTTCATGGCCGCTTCCGCTTAAAGTTGCACATATTACATGCGCTCCATCAATGATCTCCTGCTGAACCTTTTTTCTTGCAAGGTCAGCATTGCGGGCAGCTGCCTGGTTACTATCCCTGGCATTATCAATAGCCTGACTAAGCTGTGCTTTCTTCCGTTTCAACAGATCGAATTCCCGCTCCAGCTCTGATGGAACGCCTTGCCCCTTAGCACGGCACTGATCAAGTCTATCGCGGACTTCGTTGAATTGAGTACAGGCCTCTTTGTGCTCCGAGTAGTAAGTTTGTAGGTCCTTCTCATTACCGTTTTTGCGACCATTTTGTCCAAGCTTTGCGTTCACAAGCTCATCCAAAGTTACATCAATGACATTCGAGTTTATCGCATCGCTTCGCCCGAGGCGGACAACAGAGATATTTTGCTTTTGTCCACTCGATGTGACAACCCCCTCCTTGAATCGCATGACCAACTCATCAACTGCTGCATTACTCGGTGCACAAACAAGTAGCTTCTTGGAGTTCGTGGTTCGTGTAGCTGGTTTTAAATTGACCGATGAGCCAGGGCGAGCAATCTTTTGCTCAGCAAATACAGGGGTCAAGATCGCACCAACCAAGGCGACAATTGTTTTCGTTTTGCCCGAACCAGGAGGGCTAGCAATCATAATTAGTACTACTAACCCAAAAAAAAAAAAAAAAAAAAAAAAAAAAAAAAAAAAAAAAAAAAAAAAAAAAAAAAAGAGGGTTATTTCATGCATACCCCTGAATCAATGTGAAAGCGTCATTATCCATAGCCGACCTGACAGCTTTAGCCTGGGCTGGGTTTACATTGTAGGTGTCAATGATGGGCTTCAGAGACTCTGGTGAATAGTTCAATATAGGCGACGGCTTGGCTCTAATGATTTCCTCACTCAAATCGTAATACTTTAGTGCCATCAAGGCTCCGTATTCTCTTTCCACGGGTGTCAAAGACGTGACCCGAACGCCAAAAATAGAAGTTCCCGGTAAAATTGAATTGACGAGTGGATTCGAAGGATTTATGCGATAGGAAATTTCCATCATTCCTTTCTTTTTACTCGACCGGAAAATCCTTGCAAGACAATGAGGGGCCTTTTCATTAGAGGTTGGGTTGCTCGCCTTCGATAACAGAACTAAATCTGACTCCCCCAATCCCAAATCCTTAGCCTCCGCAGGTTGCATGAAGGTAGTAACCTCAACAAAGGCATCCACAGACATGCGGTTTGAAACTTTAATTTCAAAGGCTTTGAAACCGCCTTCTTCTTTCGCTGACTGGAAACTTTGCCATGCTTCTAATATCAACAGGGGCTCGAAAGTTCTTTGGTAATCCGCCGCGTCAGAGAAAGTATTCGAAACGAGACTATAATCTGTACGACCAGAATTCGGAGGAAGGTCACCATTTGCGAAGAATTCCCAGCTCAGCAAAGTCCTATGAAGCAGTGACAGATCTGGAGAGAGCCTCGCGCGCATATCCTTAGCAGACCGCACAATTTTGGTTTTCTTAACAGGACCGCGTTGGCTTAGTAACTTCTTCCTACTCTCTTCATATGCCTTTACGGCATCCGGCTTAGACATCGCCTTTCGTCCGAACACATCTCCTTCATCATCCTCCTCGCTATCGTCATCCGAATCTGACCCGGAGACCATCATACTCTCAACAGGTCCATGCTCGTCAATATTAACAGTAATTCCTTGCAATCCAGAGCCTTGATTGGCAGTTTGGGACGGGATCATCTTCTTTTTCAACCGAGCCAGCTCGGCCATATCACGCCGCTTCTTCTCTTCCTTCTCTCTTTCACGTTTCTCACGAAATGATAGGACGTTTGTGACGGGTTTGATCGACCTAGGCACACTTTTTGATGGAATGGCAGGCTTCTCAGGGCGTTTTTGTGCAGCAATACGGGCCTTGTTGAGCTCCACGGATCCCGAGAGTTGCATGAGCACTTCATCTGGGATTTCATCGTCGAATTCATCCTCATCACTTCCAGAAATCCTGGAGGGGCTTGAAATACCAGTAAGATCGATCGGCTTTGCATATGAGGTGATGGTACTTTGTTTCTTCTTTGGAACAGCAGCCGGTGGCACCGTTACGAATGGCTTTCTATAGTATGACTCTAGAGCTCTCACAAGCTCAGCCTTTTCCTGCGCAGTTATGATAGTTTTGATCGAGGATGTCCGAGCCACATCTTCAATATACTTCAAAGTGTCTGGAGCCAGAGTTACGTCTAGTTCTCCCATGCGGCGGAGAAGCTTCGCAACAAGCCCTACTAAAGTAGTCGCTAAATAATCATCCTTCAAACGAAGCCATTTAACCATTGAACCCATTGTGGCGGCAGGTGCTTTGACTAAGTTTTCCCTAGCCGACTTGGACTCGGACGGATCAAATTCGGAAATACTGCTGGCAAAAATAGTGAATTGGTTGAAAAGGAGGTCCGCAAATTGGATAGTATCGCGGCAGAATTCTAGCATAACCATCCTATCGTTCCCCATCAAATGCCAGGTTTCCGTCTGCTGGAATATAGTGGTGAGAGCTTGCCATTGATACTCCCATAATCTTTGAAGCGAAACGGCTTCCACACGATCAACCAGTTTTCGGGTTCTAAGAATTCCTGTTTCAGAGTCACATAGCACATCTATAATATCAGTTCCAGTTTTAAGCATTCGAGGCGCAGATGCAAAGGTTCTCATGTTGGATATTCGTCGGAACGAGAAGCTGAACCCGTACATCGTTGTTGCACAGAAGGACTGTAGAAGGTGAGATATTGCTTCTTTGCGGCCAGACTGGCCACTGATAGCTTTGATAAGATCTACAGCAGCCTGATAAGTGTTTAAATCTGCAGAAAAAAGGGCCGATATCAACGAGCCATTCGTGTCATGGCTCTTAAATAAATGATCCAGATGTTCCGGCTTGAAGTCAGCTAGCCTTTCAAGGATCTGACAGGCAAGGTGTGTCAAATGTCCGTAGATTACGTTGAAATGCGTTTTTTCTTTGCTATTCTCGCCCTTAGTGGAGAACTTTTCCAGTCCAACAAGGGGCAAGATACCCATGAGAGCCGCGTTGGACAGCCCGAGGTTATCCTCATCCAAGTGCTGGACAACTGCATCCCAAATCTTAGCAGAGTATGTGCTCACGCCATGTGCCATGGGTTTCTGACGAAGGATCACCTCGTAATCAGACTTCAGGGACTGACACTCCAGGGCAAGGGCGTTTCGAATAACATCCACGCATAAGCCGGAAATAACCTTCTTGTTTCCTTCGATTTGAAAGTCAGGAGGCTCCATGAAATGATTGATATTATCGCTGGTAACTTCAAGCGTGTCGGATAGAACAACCCTGGCGACCGAACCTCTCGTTGACTCGTTATCTGTGAAGGTCCGCAATGTGGAAACGAGAGTAGAGAGTCCGATTCGAAAGCAAGTATATCTCGAAATGGCTGGAAAGCGGGATTCCTGTAGCCTGGTGAGAAGTTGGAAAATAAGCACTCGGCATGCTTGAGGTTGATGTGCCCCTTTAAGGGAAGCCATGAAAGGCTCGATCCACGAGAGCATATCCGATAAAGGCGATGGTCTCTCAAACGCATCATCGTCGCGCGGCTCAAGTAGAAATTCATCGAACTGAGGGTTATAAAAGATCTGTTCAATGATAGCTTGCGGGGAAATGGTTTGCATGGCATCCCAGAAATCACTCGGGGCCTTCTCAAGGAAAATTTGGATGGTGTTTAATAGTGAACGTAAACCTGGAGTCGGAACGGCAAGGTGGTCAACTGATAATCGACAGGGGTCGATTTCCAAAGCTCTAAGGTTGTGCGTAATTTGTTCTTTATCGAGCCGCTTTACAATAGCATGAATGCCAGCCCATAGCCTCTGTACCAGCTCCGGCTGAACAGGTTGGCAGGATGCTTGACGAAGAGCTGCAAGAAGCGGTTCCTTGATGGCCCAGTCGAACTCCGGTATGGTAGGCGGCGCCTTCATTCTTCCCCATGAATTAAAAGCCCAGCGTTGCCGGTGTTCATTTGCATCAAAAAGAAATCGAGTAGTCGCAGGTATATATTCTGGCATCTTCAACGTCCGATTGCTCTGCACCAAGGTAAACGGCTCATCAAAATGGGCGCGGAGTATTTCGTCCTCATTCAACATGGCCTTTGAACTCATGGCTTCGAAAATCGACAACAAGGCCGCACGGTCCAAGATCGAAAGACTCCGCTGTTGAGGTGCAGCAGTCTTCAATGTCTCTGTTGCCCGATCCAAATTCTTCACAATCCGCGTGATATCCCGTTCATCGATGATTTTGCCAAACTTTTCGACCTCAAACTCATCGTAGCTCTCCCCCAGCATATCCATTAGCCACACCTTTCCCTTATAATATTCCTTGATGCACAGCTCGCATTTTTCCAGGTCATGCTCGATCCGTCTCCATATCCACTCCTGTTGGATTTCGACTTCATCACCGCTGAACGCAAGAAGGCGCATGCATGATAGGAATTTTTGCCTTCGCAAGGCGGCATCGGATATACGGCTGAGGTTTTCGACATTGGGTTTCACGTCTGGACTGGTGGAGTCAAGTGATTGGACATGTTCATCATTATACTGTCCCATATCATCGTCGTTTTGGCGGGGACAGAGCATATGGAGCTGCTCCGGGAGGGCTTTCAGTTCCCTATAGGCACGGAAATGGCATTCAGAAATTGCCAGCGGTTAGCAAGGGTGACAAGTAGTTTCGCAGGCATAATGGGGCCCGCTAGAGAAAATGGATATCAAACGAAGAAAGTTCCCCATCCGGTCAATGTGCGAAAGCCAAAAGAAATCACCAGGAGCACTCACTCGAGAACATCCATCAGTTCCGCCATGGTTCAAAGCTGGGCCGTGGCTAGGACAAGCTTCCAACCAAGAAGGATTGTAAACAAGAAAAGATACAATCTGATCAGTCGTAAAGAATCGTAAATGATAAGAGGTGCCCCATATCACTCTACACACTCCATCATGGTTCCTTTTACATGTGTCTGCAAGAAGTTGAATGCTTGGTCGTTGTGCCGCCGCCCGAGACACGCTTATATTAGAAGCAAATGCCAGTAGGCAAGCTTTGTCCGCCCCGTTTATTCCAGTTCCAGCCAGCACAGTTCGCTGATTTCAAAGGCAGCAAGCAGAGGGGGAAAGAAGGGCACTATTATTATATTTCAGAGTGAAATTTATTTGCCCGCGGGGTTTAGTTGTGAAAGCAAAGATGATGATGGATTGAAGTGACCGCGGGACAGGCGCGCTTAGCACGCCAGTAAAACCTCTTTGAGTCGTCTGCGCTAACTATTTAGTTAAACCGCGCGACTTTTCGTGTCTCGCATTTTGTGGCGACTTGAGGTAAAGTCGCTCGAGGTGAAAACTTGATCAAAGGCGGTTCAAAAGCACCTTTGAAAGGGGAATGATCTATTCAAATTGGACATCTTTAGTGATGTTCGAAGAAATTCTCGTGTGCTGCCTCTTTCCACGAGTTCTAGCTTGACTCCGGCCGAAGTTATATCGGATATACCCCCCATATGCATTTTATTTTATATATTTAAGTATTTTCTATCACCAACTTTCATCGCATCCGACGTAGATTTCAGATCTCCGAAATATCTTTCTGAAATTCTTATGATGTCAGCAGAATTTAATTATGAAGCACTCATTATCAAAATTTCAGCTTCTTGTTCACGCATTTTGTCAGTCAACAGCACTTCTCGTATCCCCGTTGTTGCCCCCCTCGCTACCATTTTCTTTTCACTATATCAGGCCTGTTAACAACAAATGTCCAGTTACACTAGATTGAGGAGTATCTTGGGAATCAGTACGTGGACCTCAAGTGACCAAACAAAGCAAAATGTAGGCCCAGGAACGGGCATGACAACAAACGACAGAAGAGTTACGGATGGCTAGTTATTACGATCGAGAAAGACGTAGTTAAATTTTTTTTTTTTTTTTTGTACGCACTATGTACATCAGGACACAGTTAAACAGGGAGAAAGAAAATGCAAAAGAAAAGTGAAATCAGGATGGGGAAAAAGGGGGAGAAGGGAAGGGAAAGAGGTAAGAATAAGTGTTAAGGTAGGTATAGCCTGGTTTCAGGGTTGCGCGAGGAATAAAATATATATCAGGAAGAACGATAGATATTTACCGATTACCGATTAGAGCCAAGAAATAATAGAAAAAAAAGGGGATGGGCGGCATGAAGAGGGTTGGAAGAGAAGAAATGAAGCAAACGGCGGCAAGAGGAAGAAACAAAAACAAAAAGTTGGTTATATACTAAAATTTTGAAAAATTCGTAATTCCACGCGCTGGTCAAAGAAAAAGAAAATACCAAAAAGTGTACAAGTTTCCCCTCCCCTGAAAATCCAAAAGTCAAACATGCAACAAGTTGAACGCCTCTAATGGTAATAATGTTTTAGAAAACAGGACGGAAAAATGGAAAGGAAAAAGGGAGAGGGTCAAGGGGAAGCAAAGCAGATTTTGACGCTCATGCAAGATCTTTTGGCGCAGAAATAAAATGGAAGGCACAGTTGAAAAGTGACACAGCTTAATAATAGCAAAGGGAAAAAGGGAAAAAAGGAGAATATATGAAAGCGAAAGAAGAGTCATCAGGGGCATAGTGGCGGTCAGTAAACAGTATACATTACAAAGGTTGAACATAAGAGAAAAAAAGAGATTCGGCGGAATGATGTAGAGAAGTCGGCGGTGGTTTGGATTTGTTGGGTATAGCGGCTCATGTTAACCTTGGTGAGTTGACTCCATGCGACTGAGCATCGCGGCGGAGGTAAAGTCACGGGTGGCTTCAAAGCTGCTCCTAACCGGTTCCATAGACTGTCGAACGCGGTCGTATGATGGTCCGAGGTCAACTGATTGCTGCTGTTTATGTCGGAATTCTAAGCTTGCGGTGTATCCTGTTCCATCGCTTCCATTTTGACTTCTCGGGTTGTGAGTTGCTGCAGTGGGGGCGACGGATGGTGGGTATATCGGTCGCTCGTCTTCAGGAATAGATTTCGATCGCTTCGTTGACATATCCATGGGTTTCCCAAGCTCTGTGGATGCGGGGGACAAGTCTCGAGCAGTCGGAGGAACATACGCCTCATAGTCATCCAAGTATTTGAATTTCCCCGCAACAACCTGTTCCCGAATGATGTCCACGTCTCTCGGGAAATATATCTTTTGGATTGATTTGATCGCAAATCGAGGCGACAAGCACATCGTCACGGTCAAGAAGGTCAAAGCCCAAAAGGCGAGCGTGCCAAATACCTCCTGACCAGCCTCAAAGAACTGGCCAGAGCTCTCCACTGAGGTATAGACACCCGTCCAGAAAAAGATGAGCAGGGTGCTGATTATATTGATCAGAACGGTCAACCAATCCCAGCGATAGGTGTTCAATAAAATGTAAGTGTTGCTAGCAATCACAGCGGAACAGGCCACAAAGACTCCCATACGCATCCGATCACTGAGGTCGAGTCCGTTATCCGTTACTCCAGTGGCGGGACGATAAACGAGGTAGGTCATGAAGAAGCACATAATAGACTGGTATAGCCCGTCCAGCATATAAAGCCTGTGGATTCAAATATGTTAGAAAATTGTTAGATTATTCGGCAGGGTGGGAAAAAATCTACTCACCAGAACTTCTTCTGTGTCCATTCCTTCTGCTCGATACCAGTTTTATAAAGCTGTGGGACAGCCAGAGAGACCCTGTCGTCCACATCTTGGTCGAAGATACCCATCAATATCACAGGGAGAGATGTAAAGGCCAAGTTGACCAGGATGATGTACGTGAAGTCGAAAAGGTAGGAGCCATCGAAGTTGTTGTATATCGAATACCAGAAGAGCGCAAACGTCCATACAAGATTCTACAAAATGAGTTAGCAGGATACACGTAAGCAAGAGGTCGAAACCAAGTAAACAACATATGCACGCGTACCTTGTAGAAGAAATTGGCAATAGTCTCACCAAGCCGTCGATAAGACCATCTTCCATGGACGAGGACGAGACGCTGAAGGAATCGGAACTGGCCAATTGCGTAATCTGATGACATGACAGCCTGTCGGCCTTCCTCACCGGCGATGCCAACTCCCACGTCGGCTTCTTGGATCATCGCAACATCGTTCGCGCCATCACCAATAGCAAGTGCCATGACGTGCAACCCAGTCTTTACCATATGCACAACGGCGGCTTTCTGAGCAGGGCTAACTCTGCAGCACAGCACGGATTTGCACTGCTTGCATAAGAGGAGGAATTTCTGCTTTAGCTCCGGGGTAAGCATGAGTTTAAGTGCGTCTCCATCCACAATGAGTGCATGTGTCGCAGCTGGTGGTTCGTGGTTGCTTTGAGCAGCGATTAGCTCTTCGTCAGAGCCAGTAAGACCAAACTTCGCCAAATTCGTGTCAAGTTCATATGCGGCCGAGTCAGGGTCGTCCTTATCGATATTGAAAACGATCAACTCCATCTCGTTGGAGAGCAGATTGCACGAAAATCCAATATTAATGGCAGTTTCAACCTTATCTCCTGTAAGGACCCATAGCTTGATTCCAGCAGTCGCCAGGAGGGAAATAGTATCGGGGACGCCATCCTGCAGCCTATCCTCAATGGCAGTGCCACCAAGAAGGGTAAGTTCCTGCTCAATGGCACTTGAGACTTCCTCGAGCTTCACGTCACGGTCAGTGAGCGACTGCGCAGCCAAATCATGAGACTTGTTCCATTCTTGGTATTCTTCTTCACTCAACACTCTCTCGGCGACACAAAGGGTCCGCAGGCCTTCCCTAGCGAACATTTCAAGGTGCTCTGCAGTCGCCTTTCTAAGGAGTTGTTGTTGCCCACGAGCCAGGCGAGAATAGATTATACTATCGGCACCTTTGCAGAACAAGATAATTTTTCCATCGGGCATGCGAATAATTGCGCTCATCCGTTTTCTTGATGAGTTGAATTCCAAAGTGTTCAGAACCGTATACGACCGTTCTTCGCCCATAACGTTCAGCCGAATGTCGTCACCCGATCTTCCCAGCACAGTAAACCCGCAGTCTCGTGCAGTCGCGACCAGCGCTGCTTCATCAGGAGATTGAGCTTTGAATTCAATCCTAGGAGGGTCACCTGGAGTACGTTCTGTTATAACTGTATGGCATAGAGCCAAGGCAAGCATGAAATGCTCGTTGGCGGCTTGCTGCTCCTCGCCAGCGGTTCCAGAAAGGTGAGAGACGAAATCGGGAGAAACAAACGTAAGTTCTTCATCATGGAGGTAAGGATTGTCATGGATAGAACGAAGCTGTTGGAGCATTTGAACGCGAGATTTGGCAATAGTTTCATGAGCCCTTTTGGAGACTTCTTCCACGTCGATACCCTCGCGACGCTGCATTCCAGCCATAGCTTCTGTGTAGGCTTCACCGTATGAAACGCCGTTGATAGTGCATTTCTTGAATTCCATCACGTTCTGGGTCAGTGTCCCCGTTTTATCGGAGAAGATATACTCGATCTGCCCAAGGTCGTCCGAAATATTCCATGACTTGGGCGTGCAAGGATAACCAAGTTTGTCGTAAAACATGAAAGTGTCGCTGTGAATGAAGATGGCCTGTGCGGTTCGAACAATTTCCAGGGATATATAGAGCGAGATAGGGACGAGATTCTGATAGAGAATAACGGCAGCCCAGAATGTGACAAAGCCGTCGACAGGAGGCGAGCCGCCGTAGGACCCAAATTCGAAGAAATTCAAAGAATTATCTCCTTCTCCCCACGTGACACCTTGAACGATTCCAGACACAAGGCACATGAGGAACAGAATGATGAAATTGTAGATGACGTTCCAGTTCAAATCTCTGGCAAGCTTTGCTCGCTTTGTTGGTGTAGCGCCTGAATTAAGCATGATCTTTGTTTGAAGGCCGGTATAAATCACCATTCCCAAAACCCACTCAGTATTCTGTATGCTACAGCCACGGAGTAGTATATTGTTAATGGTAATTGGCTCCACCATTTCTCTCCCAGGTCCATCCGGGGAATTCGCGTCATGTTGCTTCCATTTAATCGCTCCATTGTACTCGTACAGATTTGGATGCGGAGCTTCACTCTCGATCATGAATTCTGCCTTCTCGCAGTCCCTGGCATGCTTTACGTCGCGAGTGCAATGAAGCGCTTGTCGTACCTTCAAATTTGTTTCTCCATCGAGATTCTTCGTTTCAACGTAGCAAGCCCCGTCTGGGTCAGATGTGGACAAGACAACAACATCCGCAGGAATGGGCTCTTCGTTGTAAATTCGCACGAAATCGCCCACCTGCACGTTTTTCCAGTAGTCACGCTTGAACCTTGCGGTCTGAGGGGTTTGTTTCGACTTATTTAACACACTCCCGTAGTCGCGACGCGCATGCGGACGGTCTGATGTCTGGTAAGGATCGGGAGATAGGTAGTTAGTTGAAGATGTTTGTCCGTCCATCTGCGGGTTGCGTTGGTCAAGTTTAGGTGATGGGACAGGTGTCATTTGTATGGCACCACCGTTCTCCTGGGAATCGCGATTATTGAACTGGAACGACTGTCTGAATGAATACGTCGAGTTTCTGTGTGTGCGTCTGGTATCTATAGACGGTCGTTCTCCGGCGAGGATATCGTCATCGGAAGCCGTTGCCTGTCCCCCTTTTTTCAGAGAATTTATTAACCTCCAAAACTTCACCACAACTCTGGTGGTTGCTTTCTTGGTCCTCCGCCATAACGAAACATTATCTTCAACTGAATTAACATTGTCCCATTCAACCAATCGATGAATTGGGGAATTGTTTAGCTCATTATCAAGCACGGTTCGTCTCCAGTCTTCAATCGCATCTTTAATGGCAGTAACTGTTAAAATGGAGATTAGGGGGACTGAGCTCAGCCCAGGGTTGGTGGCGCCGAAAATTGGAAAAATCTGTATTTTTAATTCACGACAGATTAGCCAAATTTAACATACTACGGACAATACGGGATGGCAAGCAAACTTACAGATAGAATAATAGTGAACAAAAAGTAAATATTTGCAATATTATGAAACTGGAACCACAAATTTTTCGGAACAAAACTTAACGGGGTATATTTTGCCGTTCTTATCTTATTCCTCGCATAATTGGCCATGAGGCGACCGTCCTCGTCCTTCACATCATCAGAAAGTGGCACGTTGCAAAATATCCTTCGAAGATTCAAATTGTCAACGGAGCCTTCGTCGATGGTCGACCCCTCGCCATTTGGCAAGGAGCTAGCAGTCGATTTCCGTTTTTCGTCCTTGGAACTGACGCGACGGTGCAGTCTATCCATTATAGACCGTCTTTTTCGCGATCCGCCGGCACCCGCATGGCGTTGGGTGGCCCATCGCATCCTTCTAACGGGCTTCGAGATGGTGGCCTCATCCTCCGCGCCAAATTGTACCTCGGCCATTCCGGGCTTTTTAATACTACCTATAACATAAAACCAGAGAGGGAATCGGGTCAGGAGGATATTCCGCACATTTGCAATTGTTTAAGCAGCCGAGAAAGCTCAAGGAGTGTTCGGATGTGTCGGATTAAAACGCCTCAGGGGCGGTCGAGAACAGCGAAAAACGACCAAAGAAGAACGAGACGGTGAAATTAAGAATATATGTGATTGAGACCTGACGACTCGACGACTCGATATAAAAGAATGGATCCGTGCTATGTAAAATGGAGGCGCTGGGCGTATTGGTAAGCCCAGACAGTGGGTTCGAAGGAGGATAGATAGTAGAGAAGACGATTGGGGTAGTTATTAATGGAAAGAGTGAATTGGTCAGCAAATCGGGGATGAAACTGACGACGTAATTGCCATGAGGCAGCCGACTACACCACAGAAAAGAGTAGAAAGAAGGCGTGATGTAAGGGATCTGGAGCCGTGAATGGTGATCCAGTATAGGACACCGTGAACAGAAGACGGGGAGGGGAGTCCGTGTTGAAGTTCGTCTGGGTAGGGTAGTAAGTAAGTAGTGGTAGTGGTAGTGGTAAGTGGTAAGTGGTAAGTGGTAGGTAGTCGCTGAGGTGGAAGGAAGGAAAAGCACAGCCAGGATTAGAATGATGCCTTGCGTGCGTGCCTGGTACGGTACAGTACAACAGTACAAAACCGTATGTATGGTAAATACGAGTCATCAGTCATCAGTCATCGGACGCTGGCTTAGTTAACCCGGGCCGGAACTCTTAAGTAGCTTTCTTTTTTCACCCCCATCGTCATCCATGGGCCAAACCGGTGAACTCCTGCACGGCGGGCCCTCGGAACTGGAGGGGGGGGATCTCAGCCACTTCGCCTCCACTCTCTACAGTTCTGTGGTTCGATCGCCTTATATTTTTGGTTGCTCATCGGACATATCTAGGAAGAACCGAAACCGCGAGGTTAAGCCCATCATCATAATAATAATAATAGGGGAACGGATCGGCCGCGAAAAGTTCTACCCCGTCCTCAGGGATCAAACATGGCTGATTGTTATTTTACGCTGTAGTTACGGAGTACGGAGTATTATAATCAGAACGAGGGTTCTCTGCTGGCTTGCCCCTTTAACGTTTTAGCAGCCCGCTAGCAATCCGTGTTAGCGGCACCAACCCCAGGTCGGCTCCTTCATGACAGACAAAATACATCACCGCAAGCTCCTATAATATTATTTCATATATCTTTGTTCGTCAATAATATATAATTTTTATAATCATAAACACCTGCCTATTCGCGTCGGGCAGATACAGACGGTTCTCAGATTCTTGGAATAGTATCGCATCGTGCTACCGGTTAGGCCATGCTGTGTTGATACCGCAATTTTACACCAAGGAGTGTCCTCGATACCATCGCAATTTACTTTTGTGGCTGAGGTCCAGCCCAGGTTCCATGCCCAGCCCAGGTGAAAGGAGTTTCTGGTCTTGTGGTGACTTGCCTGGGGATCTCGTGGAGACGTCGGAAGGCGGATCATCTCCAAAGAGCGGCTGCAAGAGTTATGAACAGACTGGCAACAACCATGGATGTAACCTTGAGTGCTGAATAATAATTAATAAGAACTTTTATGGCGGGCTTGCTACGTCGTCGCCAGAGGTGGAGTCCGGGTCGGGGACATGGCCGGTGAATCCACAACTGGCGATCAGGATCCCAATTTATCCGACAGCTGCCCAGCACTCGGGAACTTAGCGCCCGCAACGGTGAAAATGAAGAATCCATACAGAGTACATGAGAAAGCGATTAATCCAGATAACTAAACTATTCCTTCACTGCAAAATCGCCTTGATCTCAGCGGATGGGGATTACATGCATGGATGCAGGGAAAGTAATACATTGGAAAAGAAAATGTCCTTTCTCAACCGTGGAACCTACTAGATTGCCAGCATGTTGTTGACAAATGCTGTGGCTTCATATGAGCGAGAGTCTGCTTCGCCCTGCAGCAGAACTCCGTACGAAGCTTTATTAACTACGGAGTACTAATCATGCCTTTGCGCACCCACACCTGATGTTGGGTTGTGCCACACTGTAATGATAAAAACAGTGTAATGATAAAAATGAAAGTATGTATCTGTTTTTCAGATTTGAGAAAAAGATATTCGTATGAAAAAAATATTATATTCATTATTGTGGCGGACATATTACTTGCGAAAACAGAATTTTCCCAGCCCCCTCTGAAAATTAGTAGCAAAACACCACCAAAAAATCAAAATATCTGCATTTCTCTAGAATCATTCAATATCATTCAATACACATCTTTTTCAATCAAATATCATCCAAATACGCGTCTTTCTTATCTTTATCATCAAATCCACATATATCAATCAACTCTTTTTTCAATATGCCTCACAACACCTGCTGTCCTGCTGCTTCGCAAGCCTGTACAAAGACTCCTACCCTGCACCTCAGTCTCCTCAAACTACCTGTTCCAGAAGTTCTGGATAATGAAGAGGATCCAGTCAATGATGAGATGAAGGAGCAGATGAATGAGAAGGATATAGAGACTCAGTCTGAGGATTCTTGATATTCACAAATCTCTACACCTGAGTCTGATATCTCATACAGATTGTATGAACGGGTGATTATCAATGAGATAAAGAACAAGAGAGATGACAAAATGATTAATAAGTAGAAAGAAGAAGAAGAATTAGAAGAATGAATCTATAATTTCTACAATCAATTCTTCTATACAGATCTCTCAAATGTCAGTGATTATATTCCCTTCTTCAGCTCTGACAGCTTCAACTTCATTCAATATGACATTCTCAAGTGAGATAATCAATGTGATGATGATGAAATATATGATGAAAGGAATAGAAGAACTGAATTCACAATCTCATTATCATCCACATCCAGATCTGCTGTTGAATCTTCCATCAAATCCACCGTTGAAATCTTCCATCGAATACACTGTTGAAATCTTCCATCGAATCCACCGTTGAAATCTTCCATCGAATCCGCCGTTGAATCTTCCATCGAATACACTGTTGAAATCTTCCATCGAATCCACCGTTGAATCTTCCATCGAATCCACCGTTGAATCTTCCATCGAATACACTGTTGAATCTTCCATCGAATCCGCCGTTGAAATCTTCCATCGAATACACTGTTGAAATCTTCCATCGAATCCACCGTTGAAATCTTCCATCGAATCCATCATTGAATCTTCCATCGAATACACTGTTGAAATCTTCCATCAAATCCGCCGTTGAAATCTTCCATCGAATACACTGTTGAAATCTTCCATCAAATCCACCGTTGAAATCTTCCATCGAATACACTGTTGAAATCTTCCATCGAATACACTGTTGAAATCTTCCATCGAATCCACCGTTGAAATCTTCCATCGAATCCATCGTTGAATCTTCCATCGAATACACTGTTGAAATCTTCCATCAAATCCGCCGTTGAAATCTTCCATCGAATCCGCCGTTGAATCTTCCATCGAATACACTGTTGAAATCTTCCATCGAATCCGCCGTTGAATCTTCCATCGAATACACTGTTGAAATCTTCCATCGAATCCACCGTTGAAATCTTCCATCGAATCCATCGTTGAATCTTCCATCGAATCCATCGTTGAATCTTCCATCGAATACACTGTTGAAATCTTCCATCAAATCCGCCGTTGAAATCTTCCATCGAATCCGCCGTTGAATCTTCCATCGAATACACTGTTGAAATCTTCCATCGAATCCACCGTTGAAATCTTCCATCGAATCCATCATTGAATCTTCCATCGAATACACTGTTGAAATCTTCCATCAAATCCGCCGTTGAAATCTTCCATCGAATACACTGTTGAAATCTTCCATCAAATCCACCGTTGAAATCTTCCATCGAATCCATCGTTGAATCTTCCATCGAATCCATCATTGAATCTTCCATCAAATCCACCGTTGAATCTTCCATCGAATACACTGTTGAAATCTTCCATCGAATCCGCCGTTGAATCTTCCATTGAATCCACTGTTCCATCTCCAATTCAAAGCAGTTCAATACCTCAATTTGATGAATACTTCAATTGATTGACAAGGGAACAGTTGCTTCATATGAATATTGACAAGAGTATATTTCAAATTATAAGAGATGGATTAAAAAGTCCATTATAACAGACAAAATTGCAGAAATTCAAATCATCTTTATTCACTATTTATAGTGATGAGAACAGATCTCATACTACTTTCACTTCTAAATTTATATTATAATGAATTGTAATCTGAATCTTTCTAATTATTATAATACTATTCTATATAAGTAGATCTGAAATATTCTTTTATATCTTTTTCTCTTATGAAGTTCTCAACTGCATGATATAAAAAAGCTTCAAAATCTTCATCAAATCTCTTCAGAATTGAAGAGATATCTGATATAATCTTTGACTTTATATCACATGTTGAACAGAGTTCTCTAGCAGTTTCAAAACAGTGAAGATTTCATTGAATTCAATATACACAGGTGATAATCAATGCTTCACACGATCTCAGCAGACATATAATCATTCTTAAGATGTACAATCTTATTGATAATGAAATCACAGAGTTGAGGTGGCATATTGATGATAAAGGTAAGAAAGACACGTATTTGGATGATATTTGATTGAAAAAGATGTGTATTGGATGATATTGAATGATTCTAGAGAAACGCGGATATTTTGATTTTTTGGTGGTGTTTTGCTACTAATTTTCAGGGGGGGCTGGGAAAATTCTGTTTTCGCAAGTAATATGTCCGCCACAATATATTATTTGAGTAGTTCTAATCTTTTAAATTTCAATTTCATGCTCATATCTAAGATGTTGATGAAGATATTAAAGAAAATGATGTTTGTATAACTATGTGATTCTCATATAGAAGATACGTACTTTTCATTTTTATTGTTATGCAAAGGCCATTGATTGATTGGACCTCACCTTGGAGACATGAGAGTCACGTGGTATAAATTACAACCTTGGAACCTTCAGCAGATCATTTTCTGATACTCACAACCTAGAATGTGCCCAAACAGAACCCCGCCAACATGTAGGTAGACGTTGCAATCCACTGTGGCGATCTCACAGAGGGGTCTACATTAGAGGAGTTCCACCTTACCATAAAGCTCCTAACAAATCTCAACGCACCCCTCAAGCTTGTCATCGCAGGAAACCATGACTACACTCTGGATATTCCTTTCTGAGTTGGACAACAGGCCAAGTATCTTGACCCAGCACGAATTAAGAGAGCCTACGGCGACTTTGGAGAGGCGAGGCAGCTCTTCGGCAATGATACTGCCAGATCCGCCGGCATCGTATTTCTGGAGGAGGGAACCCACCATTTTACCTTAAAAGAATGGCGCATCGTTGACTGTCTATGCTAGCCCTATAACACCCTCATGTGGAGGCTGGGCGTTTCAATACCATACCAGGCTGGGATATACATTTGAAATCGACAACGGCGTCGACTTGGTCATGACCCATGGCCCACCAAAAGGTATCCTGGATCGCACACTGTCAGGCGCCAGGGCGGGTAGCACACATGTCTTCGAAGCCGTTTCCCGCACTCGACCACGGTTACACTGTTTCGGGCACATTCATGAAGCCTGGGGTGCGAAGCTCGTTACATGGCCACCGGTAGATTAGATGACTGCACCCCCTTCATATTTAGCTGATGTCGGTGAAGAGCGTTTAGTTTTGGTGGTAGATCTATCGACATTAAGAGGTGGATTGAGATCGGAACCTGGTGGGCCTGAAAGTTTAGAGGGGAGTGGGGATAAGTCGGGGAAGTGTGCTAAGACGTGCTACGCAACCAGTCATTGTTCTGGAGATGCCTATCCTATTGCAGCGGGCTCGCAAACGCTCTTTGTAAATGCATCCATTAAAGGTGTGGATGAGGATTATCCGTCGCACCTGGCATGGCTGGTTGACATTGACCTTCCAAGGGCGAGCTAAGATATTTTCCAACGAGCTCTCCTGAAGCATCATCAGAATCTGATATAGCGCCTGCATTCACTTGTGCGCTCTCGCAACAAATGGAATGGCCCATACATTGAGCTAACTATTTGTGGTGAATTTCTGAAAATGGCGATGATCCTGCTTGAGGAAATCTCCTACCTCCAAACTTGCCACCTGTCTGATGTACTCGGAGACAACCCCAAGCGAAACTTCCGTTGAAAAGTCAAAATGTATTGATCACTTCCTGGCCCGTAACCGGGGAAAGAGGGCCACCAGCACTACAACGATAAATGAAAATGAAGAGAGAAAAAACAATAGGGATTGTCTACGATTCCAAGATTCTAATGATGATCTAGATCCATGGATGCTTGGGAGTGCGCTGTTTCAAGGTCACATAGTACACAGCTGTACAAGTCACTATTTCCATATCTCGAAGCACATTCACACTATTATTAACGTTACGAAACATGAAAGCATGGTGTAACTAGCTCCAAAAATAAAAGCAAAAGGAAAGTTCAGAACTTGTGGAATATTTTTCTATTTTCTCGAGCTCGTCGGGCCAAGCATATCAGAGATATTCAGATTAGCAATCTTCATGTCGCCGGTAACCAGTCAAAGCCAGCAGATTAAATACAGGTAGGTAGGTACATGGTCTCAACACCAGCATCCAGCACTCTTTGCGAGATCAATCGTCAGCAACGCGCCGCCAGTAATCGAATAATACACTTCTAAACTCTAATACAGGTGTTGCCTGTTTACCATGTAGCCATCTGATTTTATTATCAGGTCCCGAAATCTCTAAGAAAAGCCGAAAATAAAAGGTGTCGTACAGGTCTATACAGCTCTCCGATCAATATAAAAATAACTCTCCCCTCCATCATCGTCGTCATGACGCACCGTGCTTGTTTCAGCCATTTCCAACCGCAGATACACAGGCGGATGTGAAAGGCCTCGATCTAGCCAACCAAGAGCGTTATTTAACTCAACAACGCAATCCGAACATTATTGATCTGCATCGAATGTCTCGTACTCGGATCTCTGCTTCAATCCATTGTTGGGATGAATATTCCAATTAACACCACGTGATCTCGCGACCTGGACGTACTTCGTCTGGCGCGTCTGACCGATGACAGACCGCCACAACAGCATCATGATCTCCACCGGCCAGCTTGTCGCCAAACGATGTCAACCAGCCACAGCACCCCCAGAAGGCATCCGGGTAGTTCCGTTTCCAGACAGAGTCCTTGTCCCCAAATAGGGACTCCAAGTGGCGGATTAGAAGACGATAACGCATCTGCGGCTTCAACCTCTCCGCTATCATCCCCGCCCGCATCTGCGTTGTCAACTCCCGCCTTTCGCTCTCCCATTCCCTTCAGACGAGGGGGATCGCAGATAAAGGATGCGTCAGACTTCTCCTCAATCTCTCAACAAGCCGGCGATGATACATTTTCCGACAGGACCCTGCCACATAACCAAACATCCGAACCTCGGGATGGCCAACATCGGTTAACGCACTCATTCAACGCCAGCTTCGGTTCCTCATCCCAGCGCATTGTAAGAGATGGCGAGGTGATTGTCACGAATTCCGACGGGGATACAGAATCACTCTCAGATCTAGAAACGGCGGATGATCTATTGGCCCAATTTCTAAAGAGACCGATCTTAGCGTCCTCCCCCGACATTTCGTCCCATTCTCACAAGCCTGGGAGGGACACTTCTGGCGTCAGGGTGGCAAGCAGACGTCAGCAATACCCCTCAGGCCGTAGCTCTGCGAAGCTCAATGGCCGTGATGATTTGCCGAAGTATCAATTTTCCTTGGACACGCTTGTCGCAGACGCTGCCAATGATAAGGCAACCGAAGCCAAGGTTGCGAAAATAAAGCAGAGCCTACGCCCTAAAGTCAAACCTGAAAAGCCCCGGGGAGTCCTACGTCATGACCTACTAGCCGCGGCCGTCGAGGACGAGACGGATACAAAAGGGATCCAGCGACTCAAAGATGCAGTTGAGCGGACGGAAACATTTGCGACGGGAAGAAGCTGGTTGTTCTTCGATGAAACACTGCCAGAGGTACCACGACTGAAGTTTCCTTCGGGGTGGATACATCCTGGGTTGTGGGAAGTTAGTCTAAAAGGTTAGAACTTTTTTTCTTGTTACAAATTTGGCGAGCATTTTTATTAATTCTCATTCTAGATACTAGCAGGCGTGGCCCAGCATTCTACTCTGGAATTGTAGCGAATAGGTTTTCCAGCAAGCCCCTGCCCAATGAGATCTTGTTATGGTTGATGCAAACCAGTTCGTTTATCCCATTCTATCATTGTAATAGGTTTGTTTGTATATTAACAGGTTTTCACCAGTTCCCCTGGAGAAGGACGGTTACATGCGATCAGCAAATGTCACAGTATTGCAGGCATGCCTCATACAATCCTCAATACGTGAAAGAAATACCGCTGACCATTCTAGGAATTATCCTCGGCGCGCATATCATCCCTAATAACCCCAAGCGATATTGATCAGCTTTTCCAGAGGCTCGGAGCAAGACCAGCTGCGTTAGCTGTTTCTACTAGTCTACAACCCGATTACCATATCTCCGATGGTAAGTCGTTGATGCTTTTGTTACAATGCGCTCTCGTAGTTAATGCTTGTACTAGAATATTGGAATCGGGATAATCGAAACCTCTTATCGGTATTAGAGCTCATACGCGTACTATCAGAAAAGTAAGTAGCGCGATGGTCCCGCATAGCGGTGATGATAGCCATCTAATTACTTTAAATCAGGTTCAACGACGACACTCTTCAACATACCCTTAAAATAATCCTCCGACTTGCCATAGACGAGGCAGCCATGACCGATTGCCTCGTCTGCGTTGAAGTACAGAATTTCATAGTAGCCCTCTTGGAAAATCCGATTGCAATACCAGATCCAGCAGTAAGTGTTATGCACATAGCTAGCTTACTACCCCTCGTGCAAGAAAACCGAAAACTTACCAAAACATACCCTCTCAGCTCCATAATCTCTCCCTGCATCTCTTCAACACTATAAATGACATCGAACTCCAAAACCAACTCCTGAAGCACATCCTCCCCACAAGCCCTCGTCTCGCCCTCTTCCGCTGTCGCCTCGCCTGGGCGTGGTTCTATCGCGACCCTTCCTTCCTCAACAGGCCGAAAACCCAGCTCTTCGATCTCCCCGGTCTCACCAAACATCTCAAAAATGACCCACGCTTCGACACAAACATACGCTCCAGCGGGTCCAACGACAGGTTCAACTTTTGGGAGCTACACGCACTGGTTTCCATCCTAGATATCGCCATCGATTCCGGCACGGCCAGACCATCATTTGTGAATAAAGACGGCCAAGTAGACAGGCGGAGCGAGCATCAATTCAACGCCGCCGTAGACGACCTGGCGGATTGTATCAAGGCAATGTTTTCGGCAATTAGGGATTCGGGGGCGTCGCACCTCCGGAGATCGGAGACGAGGGAGCGGTTGCAGGCGTTGTACTATCGACTTGAGTATGGGGTGCGGACGAGGCTGAGGCCGGCGAAGCAGTGGTATGTGAGGACAGAAGGGCAGAAGAAGGAAGCAGAGAAACATCCGGTGAAAGTGAATGAGTTGTTCGCCGCACAGTGGGGTGCTGGGAAAGGCCGCGCGAACGGTTTACAGTAAAGATAAAATCAAAAACGTACGAAGGTATCGTTGGTTGATTTATTTAATGATTGTGATACTTCCAGTGAGGTAACTATATATTAATTTTACTTGGTAATGCAATAAGATCTAGTATTAGGTATGGAATGGAAATGGATGAAGCCGTGGGATGGACCCGTTCAGAGGACGGGTATCTATACTTCTACTATTACTAAAAAAATTGTCTTCCCCCTGCAAGAAATCATCATGAAAGACCTGATGAATGGTTGTAGAACAACAAGATCAAACATCCAAGTACAGATATGCACACGTAAAACAAACCATGACAGCGCGTCCCGGCTTCGCGGAGGGCGGAAAAAGCGCCTCCTCGACCTGATCTAAATAACCCACTACAAATATACGTATATATTGATAACAAAAAACTAGGACAGAAATTCAATGACGCCATCGCCATAGAAGACGATATTAGTAAAACAGAAGAGCGATAGCCGAGCCAAGAAAGACGTCGAAAGCTCGTGCGACAACGACACCGTCCGTACACTAGTTCGAAACGCAAGCTGTATCGATGAATGCATGCATAAAACCAGTGGCTAGAAGGAACGAACCCCGTCAAGGACACACAGGAATACGACAAGGAAAAAAGGAGAGAGAAAACAAAAGAAAACAAAAGGTATTTAAACATGACAAAAGCCAAACAAAAAAAGAGCTGTAGGCCGTCTAATCATAGAACTTGCGGTTCTTGTTCTTGCCGAATAGTGTTTCTCGCACAGCGGGAAGGGCATCGATTTCAAGTAACCGCAGCCTTTCTTCGAAGGTGTTGTTGATGTCGATTTTTCCCGCGGTGCCGATGATGAAGACGCCTCCGGCCCTGGAAAAATTGGAGAAAGGGAGTTAGCAAAAATGATGTAAGACAGTGGGAAAGTGCTCCGCGAAAGAATAAGAAAAAAATCCCCGATTATCAGCAACAACGAAAGGCAATGGGGAAAAACCTACGATTCTTCGGGCAGGGGATCGTTTTCCAGAATGTCAACCGCAACATCCTTTCCAGCTTTCTCCTTAAACTCATTCCTGGCATCCTCAATCGACTTCTTAACAATATCATAATCCTTCTTCCGCGCCCTCACCTCCACCTTCCTCTCATTCAAGGCATATAATCCTTCCAACACTAGACCCTTCAACGTAGCCCGATACCCATCCACATCCCCACCTTTCCCCTTCTTGGACCCCTTCGCGTCCGTAGCCGCATCTGCCAATTGCTCCCTGGCCTTGTCAAACAGCTCATCCAGCAATTCCTGGCGGGCTGTAAGGAGGCGTAGACGAGTTTTGTTGGCGAGGGTGGAGCGGGTGATTTGTTGGGACATAGCAGCCTGTTTGAACTTCTTTTCATAGAGCAGGTCGATGGCTGCGGTCTCTTGGCGGACGAGTTTTGATTTCTCGATGGCAAATTCCTCGTCGGCTTTGAGTTGGATTTCGCGGGCTTTTTCGAGCGCTTCTTGCCGGATGAAGGCGGTCATTTTGCGGAGTTCGCCCGCGACCTGGCCGTTGGGGGGGAGTCATGGTTAGCTAGGCGTGAAGCTTTCTCTGCTTTACCTTAGCCGGGAAGACCTACCTGATCGTCTGAGAGAGCATGGCTTTGTGACATTTTGGCGGAGGGACCGGGGGAGGGGGTGTGTGAAGCTAGTAGTATGGGGCGATTGGGGGGGGTACGTGATAGATGTATGAGGTAGCTACGTCGCAACAGGTAACGGTATGTTATTCAAGGATTTCTAGTAGAAGAAGTCGAAGCGTATTCTCAGCAGCAACAAGCAGAGGCAATAAATAAAGGAGAGTGTAGAGTTATCTAGCTGTAGCTGTAGCTGTAAACGTTGTGTTTAGTCTGCAATCTCCATCTATGAGGTTTTGGTGATTGTGATGTTGCTGCGGCTCCTGATCATCTGCCCCAGTCCAGGCTAGCGTTGTTCCTGGCCAAGCAAGCATCCATCAACGGCTCTTAGACATACATACGAGACATCCTCATCTCATCCACATCTGCATCTACGAGCTTGTTTGTGCTCCATACATACCTTTCATCCAATGCTAGTAATGTTCTTCCCCTACACATAGCATTTGTTAGTCGATGCCCCCTCCAACTGCCAACCTGTCTTGTTCTCGCCGATGCATGAGGATACCACGAGATGGGCCAGTTAGGGGGCTTGTCGCCAGGTGGGAGCATTGCGGTATATAAACGCTCGCTCCCTGGTTTACTGCCTATGCATTCCTCTAACTCTTGTTCAGGTTGGAGTCCTCGTCGGCTTGATATCGACGAGTCTCCAAGCCATTGGGCTGACCCTCCAGCGCAAGTCTCATATACTCGAGGATGAAAAGAGCCCGTATGATTTGCGCCGGCCACCATACAAACGGCGACGATGGCAGGTGAGAGACAGCGTCCAGCGGGTTTGGATGGTTGGTTGCGACGGTTTATACTGACCGGAGACTTAGTTGGGAATGTTCATGTTCGTCATCTCCAACATCGTCGGGAGCACGATCCAGATCACGACCCTACCTCTCCCCGTGCTATCCACTCTACAAGCAGTATGTCTAAACTCCTCGTTCCTTACCCACATATAAGATAGATAGAAGAACCTAACGTTGGCCTCACTTAGTCCGGACTCGTTTTTAATACGATTTTCGCAGCCTTGGTCCTTGGGGAGCCGTTCACCCGTTACTCCATCTTTGGCACGATTCTTGTCTCAATCGGGGCTGTTTTGATCGGTATATTCGGCGCGATCGGCGAGCCTGCGCATACTCTAGACCAGCTGCTGGTTTTACTTGGTCGCCGCCCATTTCTTCTATGGATGGCCGCGACAGCCGTGATGGTAGTACTAACCCTCCTAGGCGCTCGCATGCTGAAACTCATCTCTACCCCTGGTAAAGCCCAAGAGTGGGTGAGAAAATACCGCATACACATACCACATTCGCCATCCCTCCACAGCCACCACAGCCCACGTATAAAAATCCTTCGTGGGATGATGTATGGATCCGTCAGCGGCATACTGTCCGCGCACTCACTACTGGTCGCAAAATCAGCTGTCGAGCTGATAGTGCGTACCATAATAGATCGAGTGAACCAGTTCAATCGCTGGCAGTCCTGGATCATCCTCCTGGGCCTGGTTGTGCTTGCCCTAACGCAGCTCTATTACATGCATTCTGGCCTCAAGCTGTGCAGCACTAGCATCCTCTACCCCTATGTTTTTTGCATATACAATGTTATCGCGATTCTAGACGGACTTATATATTTCCACCAAGCCTCGCGCCTTCCGGGCCTCCATGCGGGTCTTATAGCGCTAGGAACTGTAATACTCTTATCTGGCGTTCTTTGTTTATCCTGGAGATTAGAACTCGTCACCTCCCACCCTGGTACCGTAGCAGTTGGACCTCCACCAACCACCTCCCTAACACCTGGGCTTGGACTCCTCGAGGAACAACCAACCCCACCAGAATACACCTACTACCTCGAAGACGAAGAAACAGCCGTGGGAGAGCGCCAACCTCTCCTCCAAACACCAAAATCACAACCAGATAAACATACAAAACAACAGCAGAAACACCCTTCACCATCCCACCGTCATACCCGTAGTCTATCCCGTCTCTCTCCCAGTATCCGCCGCAGCACCCAACCAAGCCTTGAAACAGCCGAAATCTGGGCTGAACTCGACGACTGCGAAGAGAACCTTGATATTGAACCTCTCGCACTGCCCACCTCCCCGCTACTCCCATACACCCCCGCTACCCTTACCACCCCGTGCAAACGCCACCGCAGCACGAGCGGCGTCTCCTACCCCTTTCACACCAGCAGAAGCAAACGCCACTCATCCAGCCGCACCAACAGCGACGAGAACAATAACACGTTAAACACCAACGACCCATCCTCCCTTTCTCCATCCCCCGCAATGAACGCCCGCCAGCAGCAAGTCCGCAGAGTCCTCCGGTCGGCATCGGGGACCTATGACTCGCCATCGCGCCGTCGACGATTCATGCGCCGTAGCCATGTCACCAGCAGCAGCGACGGTGAACGACGGCGCGTGTCGTCGCCGCTTGTTGTCGATTACATGCGCGGAGCGGGGCAGAGGGATGTTAGCAATGCGACGGCTGCTCCTGTTGGCGGTGTCTATGGCAGAGTCGATGGTGCGGGCGGCCAGGGCGACGCGGGCGAGGATCGGAGAGCTCAAGATCGGTCGCAATTCACGGGCCCATTGCGCTGGCTGGGGCGGTGGGTGGGGTTCGGGAGAGGGAGGCCGGGAGGCCGGGAGATGGCGGTGGAGGGTGAGCCGCCGCCCCATGGATAGATAGATAGATACATTGGATTGAGTATATGATATGATAGGTCATGATTTGGAAGACCTCGGGTGTAGATGGATGCGCGTTGATTGCTTGCTTCCTCGATTGTTTGCCTTGTTTGCTTCGTTTATCCCGAGATGCGTGTAACCTATGTTATGTTCGTGTTATGTCTATACGGCTTTCTGCATCCGTGCATAATGGATTTACGGGGGTGTTTGATAGTTGGCCATCAGGGCGAGTCATGTCAGCTTATCGTCGTATAGTACTATATACATATATGCCTGGTTTTTTTTGGGGGAGGGGTGCGGGGTGTTTTCCTTTTTACTCTGTCCCCTTTGTACTAACTTTCTACTTCCCTTCCCTCTGTTCATTTCCTTCCATTTCTTCCCTCAGCCATTTCGAGAGGGGATAATTGTATGTATAGTACATACAAGAAGGAGAGTAGAAGACATTCAAATCTACATTTTGCAATACAACCAAAAATAAAGGATACCATCCATATACTCCAAGAAAATATAGCGACGAAGCCGACGGAAAGGAACATGAGTATGTCCATTGTGTATGTACTCTGTATAGATAAGAAGCCATGGCTCAGCTTGAAGAAAAAAGGCCTCTTTGAAACTGCACCAGCTGCCCCTTTCCTCTCTTCTCTGCCTTCTCTATTTCCGTGCCCCGATAAACACATAGATTGTCGACTCACCGGTCGATGAGAAGGCAGACCGGTCTATTGACCGAAGCATCAATGACCAAGCCTCATTCTACATGGTTTAAATCTCATTAAATCTCATTAAGAATTCAAAAACTACATCGCAATAAAATTAAAAAGATAAGGTTAAAAAAAAAAAAAAAAAAAAAAAAAAAAAAAAAAAAAAAAAAAAAAAAAAAGATTCTCATAAAATAAATAAATAGAAAAAAAAACACATAGATAAAAGGCAAAACAAGTCCGCAACCAGACAAAGTAGTACAAGACAGACAGCGGACTGGGCGAGAGAGAGAGAGGGTGGCCGAATGGTTAATGCGGCCACCCGGTAGCACCTTGGCGTGGGAAACCAAGGCGCGTGGGTTCGAAATCCGCAGGGGGATACATTAAATCCGGAACTCAAGCACCTCAGGTTCCTAATAAATACAGAGGTGTACAAATCGCTTCAATGAATTGCTCTATGTTCCTGGGCTGGGAAGTTATTATCGCATGTATCTAATTGTCACTTCTTTGTATTTCCTATGTTCTTATTATCTTGGCGTGGTCTCAACACCTGTATTTCCTCCTGTATAACCAACACTTGACCTGTATTTAACATCACGCAAGGACTCATCATAAGCTCCGCTTGCATATGAGTATAATGGAAGAATAATAATAATAATAATAATGAGAGAGAGAGAGAGACGGATAGAAATTAAAATATATGACCCATCAATATCAATATCAATATCACAAGCCAAACGAAAAAAAACCAAAGCCCGTTAAAATAAAAAAAAAGCAAAAGCAAAACAAGAAATCCCAGCGAGCTAGCTCTAGCTCCCTCCGAAAAAACTTCTTTTTGTTAGTTAACAGACAAAAAAAAAAAAAAAAAAAAAAAGAAAAAAGAAAGAAAAAGAAAAGAAAAAGAAAAAAGAATAGAAGCCTTCCATAATTCCTCCCTGCCTTGGTACAACGTGTAGAAATATTTCAATTGAACACCGCAACGGACAAAAAAAAAGGGAAACACCCTTCCTCCATCTCGTTTTCCTCGTCAACCCCCCCGGTTCTCCTCTCCAACTCCCATTCCTCGCAGCCCACGCATACACACACCCCCCAGTCGCTTGTCAACTCCTACCCTCCCCCTCCCTACTAGATCTAGAAAAACCTCGGTCGCGTGCGTCTAGACGAGGGCACACACACGATGACCTGAACCGAAGCGGACAACACCAAACTAAAACAGGGCAGAACAGGGGAAGGCTGGGTGGGGCGGAGGAAAGGGAGTACAGGAGAGCGGGATGGTCAGTTGTGCTGCAAAACGATAATAAAAAGGAAAAAGGAGGAGGGAAGAGATCGAGCACAAACACACAAACACACACATAAACACACACATACGTGGTACAATAACCATAAAAAAGAATAACGCCTCCTCCCTGATACTCCCTGATAAAAGCAAAGAAAAAGATAAGAAAACCAAAGGGGAACGGGGGGAAAAAGAAAGAGAAAGAGAAAAAGATCCTCTCTTCTTTCCCTTACGCTACCGTCACTCTCTCACTCCTTTCCTCCAACCCAATCCGTGAAGAGATATTGTCCGCCTTCGCTTTTCTCTTTGTTCTCCTTTTTTCATATTTCGTTTGTCGTTCCCGCGCTTTATAACACCGCATAGTATATATACACGCATATATATCTAGAAGTTTCCTGCCTTCCATATGGGTATTAACGTTTTTTTCCTCCACAGTTGATTATCCGATATCCATGTATCCCATGTAACAATATCCCAATCCCCACATATTCCATAGGTTTTAATCCCCCCTCTATATTGTTCTGTGTGTGTTTATGTTATTCTGTTGACATGGGCACGTTAGTGGCCATGATGGACGTTTATCTGTGTGTGGGGAGATGTGTGTGCATATGGGTACGGGTTATGTATTATGTGTAAGGTGTAAGCAGGGATATGGGATGGCTGGCTGGCGGGGGGCATTTCAATGGCGAAAAAGCGGGGGGTTTCAAAAGAAGGGGTGAGATATGCAGCAACGGAGGCCACTGAAACTGAGAAAGGTTGAAAAATATAAAATAAAAATCAACAGAAGAAGCATATTTGATAAGATCAGCAAAGTCATGAAGCTAGTTCATGTTCTGTTCTGATTTGCCTTCTTTCGAAAATATTCTTGCTTGGTTTGTTTAACAAAAATCGTTCATCATAATGTGTTTGTGCTTGCGAGACAATCGCGAGGGATGAGAGTTAGAGAGGGTAGTGCAGAGTAATGATAAAGAGCAACGCCACGACGGTTGACATGTTTTCTCCTTTCTCATTCTCGTTGAGCCCTTGAGCATAGCCTACCGTAGTGGACGTGGACATGCTCAAGGCATCACGTTTTGCCAGTTGGGTATCAATCAAGGGGCAAGGAGCAACCCATGCGCGAAAAACAAAAGCATCAAAGCATCAACATAGAAATAGGGAAAAGGGGATGGAAAAATACATGATAGAAGTAAAGAAAAAGATGAGAAAAAATAAAGGCAACTTGCAGTACATTTTTACGCCAGCCATTAAGGGACAAAAGGAAGCCAGGAATGAGGGAGCGCGACAAGGATAAAAATAGAAAAGAAGAACGAAAAGATAGAAAGGAACCTATGCAGCGGGTTGATGTTGCTGTGGTAGGCGTGCACCAACTGGCATACCTGGATACTGACCTCCGGCCTGTGCTTGCTGTTGCTGTTGTTGGAGGTTCTGGTAATATGCAATCTGTTGCTGGTGCTCGCTGGACATATATCCCGGATGCATGCCACCAGGACGGGGAATATTGGGCTGCTGGCCCGCGACATTGGCATGGCTGACATCGTCTGAGGTTTCGGGGGGTACTTCGGGGACTTCGACGCCATTCTCGTTAGTGGTGGGCTCTGGAGCATTAAGGCAGGCCTGGACCAGAGACAATTAGCTTCCATGTTCTATTTTCTAGTGGAGCAAAATATGGGGTAACACACCTGGATAAGATTCTTCCCTTCCGGCTTGGTGACAAGAGGTTGGAGTTTCGGAGTGGTGAACGTGTAAACGAGACCCGTTTCGGATACAACTAGGAGTAGGACTTGGGTGCCAGTGAGGACGGATAATTCGTACGCCTAGATTGCAAAGAGCGCAAGGTCAATTACTATGTCATAGAGTAGAGAATCGCAAAGAATGAGACGATGCGACCGTAGAAATGTGACAAGATGGAGAGGTAACAAAGTTGTAGAGCCATAGTAAAGGCGTAGTGGCGGGTGGTTGTGGTGTGGAGTAGGAGTAGGAGTAGGAGTAGGAGTAGGGGGCGGTTGGAAGTAAGAGGCGGACCTTCTTCATAATGCCAGCCTTTCGCTTGGAGAAAGTGATGTGGCGACGCGACTTGTCCTGGATGAACTTGATTTCAATCTTCCGGCGTTCACGGCCAGGCTTATCCTCGTCATCATCATCTTCGTCGCCCGCGTTGCTGGTTCGAGGACGCTTAGTACCGCGATTCTCAACGGCAGCGGCGACAGCAGCGGCAGCAGCAGCAGCAGCGCCATTGCCCCCGGAGACTAGATCATCCTGGGGAGGAGAAGGATTTTCGTCGGAGACGGCGGTGATATCAGCCATGGCGGCGGAGGGACAGGAGTTGGGGCGATGGCGATGATAAGAGGTTCGAGCTTGGAAGATGTATCGGTTGTATAGGGTTAGAGGATGGCCGAAAGAGGAATGATGTTTGCGAAGATCGAAGGGCAGGCCGAATCGAGTAACGCGTTGGAGACAGATGCCAGATGGAGAAGGAACGGAACAGGTTTGGTTTGGGGTTTGGGGGGTAAGGTAAGGTAAGGGCGAAGGGCGAAGGGAAAAAAGGCCAGTGGAGGGGATGACTAATCTCCCGCTGACTCATGGCTGACTAAGGATAGAATTAGAGTCAATGTACCCCCCCTTATATTTTAACTCCCGCCCCCAGCCAGTCATTTAAAATTGTTTCCATCCTTTGTCCCTGCCTACCTATGTAATGTACATGTACATTAGAATATCGGAGATCTGGATTGGCAGTCCTGATGCGCTCGATGAGATCAACAACAACTCACCAAGTGCGAATAAAAAGCGGAGTGAATTCTTCATGATGAGGTAAATTGTTAAAAAATGAGATAGATAACTGCTAGATGAAGAAATGAAAACCATATTTGAGGTTATATATTCTTGAGAAAATGGTCACTAGTGTGCGACGTAAGAATTGGGTCGCAGTCAGTGCAACCGCTGAAATACCCTCCTCACTCATACACACATTATAAATTCGACTATTTAAAAGTCTCCATTACCATGATTAAAAGCAAGAGAAAGAAAGAGAAAGAAAGAGAAAAAAAGTGAGAAAAAGTGTCTATCATCTAGTATGCAACTCCAAGATAGTCTCCCGACATTGGCTGTATGCTTCGGCAGCGCAGTTGTGGTTTTCAGTTCCCCTCCTCCGGCGCCTTTACAAAGATGTCATGGTGTCCACAATGGAAGATACGTGACCAGAAACACAATGGCGGACATCATTGAAAAGCAGTTCTGTCCCAACGCGGTGAAGCCAGGGTCATCGAGAGCAAAGACAGCGGTTCAATCACATGGCTGTACAATGACGGAACCCCGGAAACTGTCTCGGTATCGATAGGCTGGAAGAATACACCAGATTTTAAGCCAAACTACAACGATTGTCTGCGGAATCTGCGTGACAGGGTCCTGGATGGCTGTGATGGCAACGACCTAGAAATCTTGATCCACTTGGCGCGCGCTAGCTAGCGCCCAAAAGAAGCGCATGGTGACTGCATCGTCAAGCACTATGATCACTATCATTATTTATGTTCTAATATGGGGGAATGGCTGGGCCAATTCTGACAACGGCAAGATGTTTGAAGATAAACTTCAGAACTGCGCTCTGCTTCCGAATACATTCCAGTTTGTCTATGAGCTAGGTGTTGACGGTCGTGAATATGCTACGACGTACACTACAATCTGGGAGGACGGCTGTGTCACTGCTGCTGCTAAGCAGGCGGGTGCACAGAGTGTATTTGATTGTCGCAGGGGAGATTGAACGCTAGCAATTTGCGGTTTTCCAATTAATGTATCTAATTGCACACTTTTTGGCTAGGAGATAAATAATTCTCATGAGAGTTTGAACAGAGCGCCTAGATAAGTAATGAAAGTAAAAGCAGAAGCTTAAGTGATCACAAAAAACCCAAACTATCAGTAAAAACCCAAACTATCAGTAACAATTGTACTCAGGTTCTGCCCGTAGGGATCGCAAGTGTAGATTTTGATTTAGCCTGTTTATCATCAATCTAAGTATTTGTTTAGCGTGCATCATCTGTTGATACGGAGTTTGGAGTTGAAGGGCGCCTTGACTGCTTCCAATATCCATATGATGCGACAGTGCCTCTGCAGAGAGGACATCCATTCGCTAAGGAACCTTTGAGGATGCAGGATAAGTGGACTCTGTGGCCACAACCCGGCAGAACTTTAAGGTCGATTAATGTCAGCATTGAAATGCAATTGCATGTCCTGTCGATATCATTCAATACTAGAGGACTCTGAAATGTGCCACACCAAATGTCATAGTCGATAGCACCACGTTTAATGCACTTCCAGTGAACGGTATGTCCACATGGTAATAATCTTGCAATTTTAAGAGGCCTTTCACACGAGCAACAACTCCCCCTTTCAATAACTCCCTGTGTGGCTCTTGGAAAAGTAGTTCTCGTTTTCTGTGAGGGAAGTTTATTTGATCTGTTTCAGGTTCATTGATTCGACTGATTGTGAGCCGTTGTAGTAGCCTCATGATTGAGGTGACTGAGATGAAAACTTCTAAGGAAAAGAATATTCAAACTCCAAAAGAAACCCATAAAATAAGTGTGCTGCCATACTTATGCTTTAATAGTACACTATGGTAATATGTCCTAACCTGGCGGCAGGCAGAATCTACATTGACAGAACCTGCGTTGTGCGGAAATCTACATCATTGATGTGCTTTATTCTCCCTGATTGTGCATAAGGGTGGAACACCCACGGCGCCGCTATCTACGGATTTTGGCAAGCTGAAAGCACGGTTAAGATCGCCTTCAGGAGCGGCGGTTAGAAGAATGAAAAAACAATATCAAATACTGACTAGACAGCATCAATTATTACCGTTGTCAAAAGTTTAATGAATATCACAAACAGAATCTACCTTACGGGAAGAATTTACATTACAGCTTAGAGGGGTCATAGTTCAGAACCCATGTTGAAAAGGGAACCCCTGTTGCAGAGTTGCAGAGGGAAATAAGAGGGAACCTATGTTGCAGATGGCAGAATTTTCATTACACCTAAATAATCAATTTCCCACGCTTCGATTTTCAATAGGACAACTGCGTGGGCTCCATGGGCGCCACCGCGCCCAAGTTGGATCCGAACTTCTACCCCCCATCGACCGTTGGTGGATGGTGGATTTATATCTAGATGGTATGTCTTCCATCGACCGTCCATTTCATCACCTGTGTCCCTGACCATTTCGCTAATCACATCCGTGTGTAGATGTTGGTGACGAACTCAAGATCACTCTGCTTGAGTATGAAGGAGAACAGAACGAACCATTTCGACAGCGGTGGCTCACACGTTTATCAAAATGTAATCGAGAACGCCTTGAGCAACTCGATAACCACAGGAACCGTCGACTCCGTCAAGGGTTTGATGCATTATTGGCCGTCTCAGGCCTTTGGGGTCGTGGAATGCGGATCAGTATGATCCATCGCTTGATCGCTGTTGGCTGTATTGAGGTACCTTCCGGCGGCTTATTATTGTTTGATATGCTACATTTTTTCTGACATGCTCGCAGGAGATCTTAAACAGTCTTAGCGATATAGGAGAGTACTGGTCTTCCCTCGTTGACTACAGTCCAGCTGCGATGACAAAGATCAGCTCAGACACTGTGGAGGAGCTGCAACTGATGGCGCCTCACACATCTCGCATCGAGGCGAAAGCTGCGCGGGGGTATGTCCTGAGCGGCCAGGCCTTTGTTGGCTTCAGTGAAAGTGAGAGGAAGACCATCTGGAGCCGAATGGAGAAGTTTGATGGATTGATCCCTTCTGTGTATACATTTTTTGAGAACTTCAAGTATCTAGAAAGTTGCGCCCACTGCGTGAAACGACTCTTTGGCCCTTCTAGAGAGTCAATCTGGAACACCATGAAGCATATGTTCATCACTGCCCTCAACACGGAGGAAGATTGCCTCATTCAGACATCAGAGTCTACATTCCGGCAGACACGTATGATGAGTGCTGAACGTCTCAATTTGGCGTATCGACAGGTGTGGCTCTATGCCATGCGACACTATCTCTTGATGCCAGCTGACCCAAAGAACGATGATGACCTGCTAGCCAAGCCGAACCGTGCCAAAGCTGACGAGCGTGTGGTCTACGAGATGGCCAAACTGGCGCACCGTCTCGGATTTCACTCCCCTGAGATTACAGCATTGATGAACCAGTCTCCTGATCAACAAATTGCACGAGCCGCTCTGCTCCGGGTCCGAATACAAGGATATCAAGTAGGCTAGTTATACTCAAGCCCATGAGGTGGAAATCATATAACTACGTGTACCTTCTTTGAATAAAATGACGGCAAAACATCCTATCGTTTAAAACAACTGATTGGATTGTCTTCCCTTCTTTAGTCGATTGTATGCAGGCTATAGCACTCCCGCCATGGAATGTCCGAAGTTATCCGTCCACTCAGCTTAAGCGATTCAACCGTCCAGCCAACGAGTGCATGGAAGGCATGTTGGGGGTCATCAATAGAATGCAGCTGGCCGTTCTTTGAGTAGCTAAAATGCTAAGTTGCCTGTCCCAACCCTCCTAGAAAGATCAAAACGCAAGTCATTTCAGCTATCTTTTACTTCTTTCGAAATCCCGATCTCAAGGAATATTGCAGTACTTGATCACAATGTTTCGTCCTACTCAAGTCCTTCAAGCTCTTAAGCAGATCATTTGGCTGCATAACCACTATAGCAATTCCATCGCTATCCGTGCCGCCGGTGAAGAAACCGTGAGAAAGCATTTTGACAGAAATAATCTTGAAAATCGCGATATTGAAATTGCTAAAATCAAGTAAGGATAGACAAGCGAGAAGCGCCTATAGTTAGATACACTAATAATAATAGCTCTCAAGGTCCAGCTGGCATTCAACTCCTCAAGACTCTGAAGAACATTTGACGGTTGAATTCGAAACGGGAAGCAATCAGCATGTCACGACTCAACATGTCTACAGGTCTACAGAGTAGATTTGTAAGTCATTTCTGCTTTCCACGTTATTTCGCCTGTTACTAATGAGTTCCTTCGTATATAGATGAGCCCTTTTCTGAGTTTCAGCTCAGCACAATGCGCACAAGAATCTACCTCCTGTCATTGCTATGTTGCTAGTTAGCTATTGAGAGTTGGAAATGTTATCGCGCATGTAACTAGTGGCTGTCCAAATCTTATGAAATTTTAATCATGAATATTACACGGCGCAGATAACACATCAAGCAGTTGGAATTCAAAATCCTTGTGATATTAAACGCATCAATAAACCAAGTGGAACAGCGGGTTGTAGATGTAAACTCTCATTACAGAGTATAGTTAACCTTAATACAGTCTCTTCCGCGATGCCAAGCCTCCCAGTCATCGGATTTCCCAAATAACCAACTTAACTACTCCGTACTCCGTAGTTAGTTCACTAATAATAGATTCTGACTAACTACGGAGTAACTAGTGTTAGTTACTTTGTTTTTGTTAACGTTCAACTGTGAGCTAACATAGTTACCCTCTATTATTGATAATTAAAATTAACCTTGAAACACACTCACTCGTTCTCCGTTGCCATCGCCGTAATGAATTTCTTGAAAAGCTTACTCCCTGCCACTCGACGAATATCAAACTCGCGGAGCCACATTAGCAAGCTATCAGAAGAGCCGTACCAAAAGTACAGCTCAGGCGGATATCATCCTACGAGGCTGGGTGATGTGTTTGATGAAAAGTATCAGGTCGTTAGAAAGTTAGGTTACGGCCAGTATTCAACAGTGTGGCTAGCGCAAGATATAAAGTAGGATCCCGCTTTTCCCTCTCAAATGATAATTTTCTGACTTATAAACTGTGAACTAAAGGACTAATGGAGTTGTTGCCTTGAAAATCCTGCAAGCTGATTTTAGCGTTGACGGGATGAGAAATTATGAACTCGAAATGCTACGGTTCATGAAAAATGACGGGTCTACCCACCCTGGGAAAAGGCATATTCTCAGCCTTTGTGATGATTTTCAACACCACGGGCCGCATGGAGATCATATATGCCTAGTGCACGAGGCAACAGGCCCAGACCTAGCAAAGTATCAACGTCGCCTCCCAGAGGCTCAGATACCTGTGCCAACGGTCAGGCAGATTGCAAAGCAGCTCTTACTTGCACTTGATTATCTCCACCGTTCTTGCAGCATAATCCATACCGGTCTGTAATTCTTCCCTTTGAAAAGTATGTAAGGCTAAGATTTGAACAGATATCAAACCAGGGAACATTCTTATTGAGATGGATGAAAACGAGCCGATTGCCCTACGTGCCCTACCATCAGATGTATCTAAATCTTCGGAATTTTATATGGCTTCTAAGCCTCTTCCTATGAATAGTGATGTTTCAACCATTAATGTTTTTTTAGCTGATTTTGGTACTGGTAAGCGAGCTCTGCAACATCTTTATATGTGCTATTTTAGGTAGCTGACACTGGCAAAGCTAGTTGGGTTGATAGGCACTTAACAGAGTTTATCCAGCCTCGCTGCCTACGAGCACCCGAGGTTATACTGGAGGCTAAATGGGATGCAAGTACCGACATATGGAATGCAGGATGTGTTGTAAGAATTTAAGATTTCAATCCACTGAGAAAATTCTAGCTTACAACAGGCCTTAGATCTATGAGCTTTTAACAGGAAAATACCTGTTTGATGGCTGTCCAAGTGCAGCGGGTTCTTACGCCCCTGAACATCATTTGTCCCAAATGGTCGCTCTTTTCGGCCATTTTCCTATAGACCTACTCAATAGAGGCCAAGCGTCAGAGAAATACTTTGACTCGGAAGGTAAAAAACTATACAATCAGTGTTTCATTAGAATTATCTAATAGAAGTTGTGATAGGTAATCTTAAAGGCATCCCTGCCATGTCTGGATTCTCATTGGGTGGGTTCATCGAAAACGGGAGCTTCCATTCTATCCAGGAGAAGGAAGACTTTATCCAGTTCCTTCAATCCATGCTTGTTCTTGCCCCGGAAGAGCGAAAGCCCGCTCATCTGTTGCTTGAGGAGTCGTGGTTAAACAAAGAATATCGCTGAAGCTTGCTTTTCTGAAGCTTTTTTGAACAAAGCACGCTCTATGACGCATACGCCATTTTCTGCTCAGCTCACCACCCACCGAATAAATCAAGTTTATAAAACCTTTCCATATACTACAGAGCAGAAATTTATAGCAAATTATACGAACAGGGATAGATCCAATTGCCTCTTCAAAGTCTATCCCCCATTTGTTGAGCTGCTAGGTTTGACTGCGTTGAGGTGACCGAAGCGCCATCAATGTCAAACACTGCCTGGCATCCTACCGCGGTATAAGGAAAACGGAAGCCATGTCCATCATTTGCATTGGGTTCAGTATCTTTGCTAGGCTCGAGTAGGCAATAGTATAATGTCATTGGATCATTTTCAAGCACCCGAAGAATCACTTTCATGCGACCATTTGTCAGCCGGCTATACTCATGGCCTCCTTGAATCATATGATATTCGAATGCTTGGGTAACAGCTACACAAGATAGAAATGCAAGAGTCATAAACCCGCTTTTCATCCACATTCGTCGGTATAGTCACTCATTGGACAACTTCTTCTAGCATTCTGAAGGAAGCGATGGAAGTAGCTAGAATCCAAGTTACTTTGTCCTCTCCATTTTTGGACAAGTTATAGATAATTTCTTTAACAATCAAACATCCACATATGAAGACCTGAGTCTGTGGATGACCTCAAGTCAGCCATCTTAGGTGCATCTTCTTGCATCTTCTTGCATAGACATGACACAATGCCATCACTATAGTGCAAGATATCCAAAATTCTCGCGATTCATTGTCCGTTCGTCTTCACTTTCCTTCAAATGAAGAAGAAAGGCCATTTCTACATCTATAACAAGCTTCTCAGCAGCTACCACATGAACATCTAGCACTCTAAGAAAGCCTTGACGCATGTCGCACAAGACTCCCTGATTGTATTGAAAGCTGTCCGCATGGGCTATGATGCCAGTGGAGTAAGGTCGGGCAGTTGCAATGGCTTCCCGTACGCATAACATTCGCCTTATTGCTTCACGATAGCCGAATTTCCTCTGTGTCACCAGCCTGACCTCCGCGCCGTATGTGTGGAATGCCTGAAGAGAAGACGTTGATGTATTAGCGTTGAATGCTAACGGACTGGCTTAAAGGACAGAAAACCATTACCAGAGCAGACTTGCAAGCCATCTTCTCAATTTCTAGAAGATAATAGTCTTGTGTCTACCATGCTAAGCATCGTGTAGGATTCGCAGGTAAGATACCAGACAATAAAGTACTAGATATCATTTGAGAGAGTATTTGACATTGCTGCCCAAAATTGGAAGCTGCTATTGAGGATGGTGAAGGAAACGACTTTGAAAGCCATCACCAAAGTTCGGGTCACTTCTCCTTTTCTGCAGTGGTCAGCTAAGTTAACGAACAGATTGTTGCTGTGGTTTTTTGGTCGTGTCTCGTTGATTGAGTTTTCTCCTTGAGCATTTTTGACAACATCACTCTCTATGTCTGAAGGTTTAGGTCGGGTTCATCTCTTCCTCAGCAATTGCTGCTGTAACTGTTCCGTACAGTGGTGACCTGCTCAGCTGATTGTTCTCCTCATTCCGCAGCGGATCCCATAGTGGACAATCGACTTTTATCCCAACACACTTGCAGAGAAGAATCCCATTTGCTGCACTCGAGAGCGATTTTCGATTTAACGCATTTTTGAGTATCTCTCCGGTATTCTGTCTCAAGCTTAAGATTAGAGAGTTGAATTGCGTTTTCAGCTCCACCACCTCCATAACTATCCTAAATTGCTTTAGATCATCGCAGATATCCCGTATGTGCTTGTGTGACAGACCAATAAAGTGGACTGTCCGAGGCTTCCAGTTGGAGAATACTGGGAAACTCGTACTTCCCCAGAGCAGCATATATGTGTAATATGGCATGAGAAACATCGATTCTTAACATCTATGAATTGATTAGCAGAAGAGAGAAGCTTGGATCGTGAACCATAACTACCACGTGTGATGATGCGGTAAATGTACTGCTGTTATGCAGTTTCTCCAATCGCATTGTATCTTCTGACTCTGATATTCGCCTCAAGACCTTTAGCCAGCAGCCAGAATGCTTCTTTTTCATAGCAATATCGAGGCCTATCAGCGCATACAATATTCCTCCCATGATCTCATCTATACTAGTCACTACAAGATGCAGACACAAGTGAAGCTTCATGTCCTACAATGGAACCGTCCATGGACCCGTCGAGGGATCCGACCAAGTCTGCCAAGAAGCCATAACTATCAAACATGCCTGTAGCTTTTACGATGGACTTTACACAGGGTAGTTTTGGCGTAATTTCTGGATGCGTTGTACCGAGAATCGGCAAACTTTGTCTAGGCTGGAGGATCGCAAATAGAACCTAGCCATTTATCAAATCCTCTTTGGTCACCGTGCCTTTGACCTGATTCTTATCTACCCTCTAACAACTAATCTATCGATATTGGCCTTGACACAATTTTCTGATTCTCCTCTGTAGGCTCCAGCAAGTTGATAAATCAGCGACAGCCATTAGACATTCATTGTGATATTACCTTCGATAATAGATATCGTAAATATACTTGAAGTCTTCGGATTTTCGCCGCGTGGTGTTTTACCTTGATGAATGCGGGTAGGGCTGGTTCGATGAGTGACCACCGCAACGGTGCCCGCCAGATCACAGTCGTAGACCTTTCTGAACATATCTCACGGGGACTCCTTCCTCAAGACAAGTGACTGACCAGTGCTCTTTTCAGCCTATGAGGATACATTTGGCAGGCAAGGAATCATATGAGTGTACAGAATATTTAAATCAGTAGCGCCTGAAGAATTGGCTTCTATTTCAGCTCTTATTTCACATCATCTTTCAGCGCTACTATCTCCATGTGGGAAAAAAGAGCTTTGGCCTGTATAGTCAATTACAGCGCTGTATTTCGGGAAGAGCTGCGTTCTGACATTGTGCTAGCAGATCAGGCAAGGAACGCATATGGCAGTATTGTTAGACCTTTTATCTTAGACAATTTTATGATCAAACAAGCGAGGCTCGATGTGGCTTGAAAGAGACGAAACAACAATCGATGCATCAGCAGGTTCACAATCATACTCGCTACCATCTCCCAGACGAATGCTAGAAGAAGAATATCCAGAGTCATGAATGGTATATTGACTCTCTGATATCTCTGACATCAACGGGGATGTCTCTTCATGACGATTGTTATAGACTAATTCGCATTTATGATGCTTCTCCTTTGGCTCTGCTGTCTCTGTTTCGTCAATATCGATGGTCTTCCGCTTGAAGCTCGCGGCGGTGGTAATATCAAATGTAAGATCGCTGTTAGTATTGTCTTTGACTTGCGACAAGTCTGGCTGATTGATATTGACCTCTAGCTTGAAGTTGTTGCATTTTTTGGGAATAGGGATGCAGTGGAGATCATTATAATGATGCTGAAGATTCAATATTGAGTCAAATAGCATATCACAATGCGGCGAACCGCAAGCTGCAGGTTTGTCATCTATGAGAAGCTTATAATGTCTGTCCATCTCTCTTTTGAGCGACTGCGGATCCAGAAAGGGTTTTAGACGATCGCTCGCAGACTTGGCAGTGTCCCCTAGACACTCGGGGCAGTACCCAGGAGATGCCAGCATCCCGCAAACCTCCAGGTAGTTGTACTGGATGGGAATTGTTTCCAGGCAATCAAGATGATCTTGACAATGTTGTTCAAACTCTGTCTTATCAGTGAACCACTGATGACAGATAAAACAAAGAGATGAAAAGCCATGCAGCTTCTGCAGGCTCTTTTTGAGACATTGATAGATATGCCTCCATTTAAGTTTTAGGGATTGTCTATTAAATGGAAACAGAAAAATGAATTATCAGTCAGAGTACCATTTTGGCTTGTATCAAGACAAATTCACATTTCTCAAGAGAACACTTACTCATTCACAATGATGGTGCATTCAGCCACAGGACAGTAACCATTATTTGTCTTGAGAGCTGGGTGATCTGACACAGGGCTCTTCTGCCTACAGATGGTAATTATGTTGTTAAGTGCCTGTTGTCCTTCTGAACTTCGCAGTGGGACATGAAGAAGCAATAGAGAACTGAGTCTTTTTCATTCGGGCATCAGATGTGCGACGCGGTTGAACCATGTCCAGTGATACAACAGGACATGATTGTCATCTTCAGCTGTCCCTGGCTTTCTCTCCTTTGCGAGACGCATTTGCCAGGCATCTAGTTCTTGAGCCAAAAGGTTATATTTTTGCTGATAGAGATCTTTTCATTGGTTCTGAAATTCAAGATGGCACTCATTCAAACCTACAGTTTGAATCTCATCGGTTAGCTGTTTGATCTGATCATTCAATTTGGCGCACTTCGGGCCGTCCTCGAAATCCTGCCGCAGTTTTGCTGGTAGGACTTGCCATAGCCGTGGATGGCGCCGCAGAGACAAGCCGCGGAAGTGATTGCTGATGTCTCCATGACGCGCTACCAAGAATACTTCCGACTCCATCCACACTACTAGTTGAGCTCATATAAGATCCAGAGAATACCCGCGGATCCGTATGACCACCAAATTTCATTCTCTCATTGATTGAGTACCCATTTTCTGTGCCGCCCTTGTCAGAACAATTGGCTGACAACTTGAATTTGAGCTGAGTTGGTTCACCCACCGCCCGCTCGAACTAGAGCCTCTCTGTGAACATTGTGAACTGAGATTCTGTTGTCATATCCTGCACGGAGGCCCAACCCTGCCAGCTGTTTGTCCAGCTAAGTTGCATTGAGAGTCTTGCTGGTGGGACCTGCATCTACCATTCTCTCATAAAACGGAGTTCCCTCTGAATCAGCGTTAAAGCAGATGGAGGTGGGGAAAGAAGCTGATGGTGGCTTTGAAGCCTAGCTCATGAGCTCCTTGTGACCTAATTCACACAGAGCAATCTTTGAAGGGCCTAGTACAAGTTCATAGCTTTCGTCCGGCGAAGGGTTAAGCTTGAATATTTCATCAGCGGTCTCAAAGTCGCGAAAGAGACCCTGTGCGAGACAGATTGCAAGAGACTCAAGAACTGGATTCAGATAAAGTGAAAGCGACTCAATATCCTCCTGCATAGGATGTTTAGGGCTATATTATTCATCACATCAGTAAGAATGAGCTTCTTTAGTGTGGGTGCTGATGAACTAACTGCTCAATTTTCTTATTAGACATTTCTTTTGCATCTCTCTTGAGCCTGATGATGAATTCAGGCTGGCTCTTGCGGTTGTGAATGACCAAGATGTTCAGATCCTGAATTTCCAGTAAGTTTTACAGCTCATATATTAGATAGATTGTGGCTCAGTAGAGTGTGTGTCACTCACGTCAGAGACGCGAAGCCCTCGACCTGTGTGTGATCATGATGTTGATTCAACGTACTCGCCCACTCTTCCAGATGAATACATGTACATTTTGAGAAGACATGACAGGTACACCCGATAGAGTGGAAATGAAAACTCATACCAATCATTTTGTCACAGCTGCTGAAGGAGATTCTTGAAATGTATTTCGGTCAGGTAGTTTCTCTTAGCAGGCTCAAGGTTAAGTGGAACATAATTTTTCAGCTCCTGATTGATGAACTAGGTGAAGAATCAATTAGCTACCAGTAAGTCTGCCGCCATGATGATGATGATAGGAGCCACTCTACATTTGTACCCGACGTAGATACTTGTTTCAGCAGGCTCTCTCCTGTCCTGATGGCTTATTCGGCTAAGAACCTCAGCCATGACTGCATGATAGATGAGGGTTTGGGTCTTGGGTCCTTCTTCGGATTCTTTCCCCGAGTGATCTTGCCAATATAGACGATGAAATGGTTTTTAGTCTGCTCATCAAATATGTCTCTGGTCTCATGTGTGTCGCAGTATCTGTATTCAGAAAATTTCAGTTCTCAAGACAATTAGCAACAAAGCTGCTGCAGGGAACTCACCCTGTCCAGACGTCCCAGACATTATCATAGCCTTGACGCGTGACAGGCTCCAGTTGCTTCTTGACCTTTTCAGGACTAAGTTTAGACTTATCAGGGTCAAAACCAGCTTCTCTAGCCCTCTGTTTCCTCTGTTCATGTGTCAACTTCTTACCCATTGTAGAACTAGTAGAGAGAACTAAATACTAGAAAGAAATTGACGCTCTGTGCTAGTGGTAAAAGATCTTAGAATTAACGTATAATGACACAAAGGATATAGATGAACAAGCGGCCAAAAAAAATATCTAGGATGGAAAATTTTGCAGAAAGAGGAAATAAAATTAAAAAAATGCGAAAGAAGGGGGATATGAGAGTCCTCCCCTTGATTTGAGCGAGTGGGCTCATTGCCACTGGCTTTTGTAAAAGAAATCGCTCCATCGGGTAAACCTGACAGAATTGAAGAGCTCTACAGCGTGGTGACTGCAGCAGTGGGTGACTAGCGGGTGATCAGGATGATTCAAGAAGGGTGATGAGGGTGAGGTCGTCGAGCTAGCAAGCGAGAGACTGGCACTAATACGGAAGAGGAAAATCCAGATCTCCGATGTTCTATGTAGTTATTAAGTTACATACTACATACACACATGTACATTGTAACCTAGGTGCCCTTCCAAGGCTCAAACAGATATGAGCACACATTATCACAATGGCCCCCACCCTCGCGCTATGCCATGATCTACAGATTATTAGTTACCCCATCTGGGTATACGAAATATTTTGATGATGATAACGCACTGCTAATATACGCATGAACCAGCTGGCTAAATTATGTGCTGTCAATATTCTCACAGAGGGGTAGCTAGAACCCCCTCACAGCTGCATTTAATTCACAGACCATTGAAGGAGATCAGATGGTTAAAGGGACTTGGGATGATTATCATTACAGTTCTGTACCATTTCAATTACAGAAATATACTCGGTAGGTCAACGCTCAGAATCAGATTCAGATGGTTATCTGTCTCTGCTATTTCACTCAAAAAGAAAATTGCATTTATTAGTTACTTATTTAACAGAGACTTGCCAGAATTTTTTCAAACTTTTATAATACTTCACCTTGCTTCTCTTCAAAAGTCTCTTCCGCTTCAGTGCGGCTTCACAGCCTTCAATCTTAAAGCACTCAGAAACCTAACCTGTATTTTATTTAGTTATTTCATATCAGAAGTGAACCAAAATTGATACAACAGAATCACAGCGAGAATGGTTTGGATTTGAACATGACAAATCTTAACAGGCCACCTCAAATAAGAAACTAGTTGGGATGATTGCTGAGAAGGAGTCAAAGGCTGCATGCAGTATGAACCAACTGGACATATCTGTGTGGACCGCTATAACTGCTCAGTGAAGGATCGACTGGGTCTTCAGTCTTCACAACAGATAGAACCGCAATGTAAAATTCCGCTGTACTTCCAGCAATAATCGATCTCGTTGGCTGAATCATGTTGAAGGATTCTTTCTAAGCCTTGTTCTCGTTCAGTAATCGTAAGGGGATGAAATATTGGGGTAACTCCTATAGGTATCATAGCACGGTGGGATTTTAAATGCACATGTACATGTACTATGCATACATATAACATTACCTACAGATGCGGAGTATGCCTCTGGTGTCTATATATGCAACGGGAATATCGATATCCATATTTTGCTATAAAATACTGGGGTTCAGGAGTAGTATAAGAGAGATATAGTTGGTCCGGAGATTTGATAATGAAAATCACCAGCCGGGCTGGGTATTGCGCATCGACGAGATTGCCCTGGGTTGGTGACAAGTAAGGATCATTCACTCAAGGAGAACGTATATATATATATATTCATTCATTTGAGAAACATCATGAAGTAAAAAGAAAAGAGGAATGGCATATGAAACTAGCCTCATAGGGCTAGCTCCCATAATAGGAAGATTCCAACCTTTGCCCGAAAGCTGATGATCCCATATCAAAGCCCAGAGCGGAGACCATTTAACTATAACGGACAATTATGAATCTCACAGATTAAAACACCGCCTGCTTGCAAGTCAATGGTGATTAAAAGAGAGGCAAAGGAAACTACTCCGCCCAGCACTTCACTCACCCGCGATCTTCGGCTTCACCTCGGCGCCTGTGTGTAGAGTACATTTTCAGGCATCACGGCGCGACCGCATAGGATGTCGGCCGTGGATATGATATAACCACGTTGCAGAGATAAAAAACACAAAAAATAATGGGTGGTCGTAGGTCGCATACCAAATCGCGGAATGGTTGCACCCAGTGTAAATCGCGGCGCATCAAAGTCAATAACCCTAAATATCCGTCTTTTATCTTAGCTCTAACCAAGGGGAAATCATAAAGAAAGACACAACCGCTAACACCAGGTCTGTCTTCCCGTGGAGGGAGGTGGGCAATCTAGTGCGATGAACAACCTCCACAATGTTCCAATTGCGCCCGCAGAGGCATCGCCTGTGACCTGGCCCATCGAACACTCTTATCAAGATCCACATCGTCCGCGACGATAGCCTCACTGTCTCCGCAACTATCAACGACTACAACGCATTCCATTCTCTCGCGTTCTCCAACTGCATCTTTCATCGGGCCATCTGCAAACGGCTCCACCATCCCAAGTAACACAGGCCTGGATGTAATCGACCTCGAACTCCTCCACCACTACACTACCTTCACCTACAAAACGCTCCCATCAGGCGCGACCCCCGACCAGCACGAGATATGGCAGATACAGGTCGTCCAGCTAGGATTCCAACATGAATTCCTCTTGCGTGGCATCCTCGCAGCTGCTGCCCTGCACCTCTCCTACCTACTCCCTCAGCGGCGGGAATCACTAGCTCTTCGAGCATCCACCCACCAAAGCATAGCCGTGCAGTCCTTCCATGAGGCGTTGAACCGCGTCGACCCATCAAACTGCGTGGCCATCTTCGCATTCTCCTGCATCCTCGTCGCGCTCACTTTTGCCGCGCCCACGAACCCAGCTGTGCCGCGCGACCAGGGGGGATACCAAGGCGCCCAAAAGGAGATTCTCGACTGGTTTCACATGGTCCGCGGCTGCAACTCGGTCCTGCAGACGCAGTGGGAGACTTTGTCCCAGAGCTTCCTGGCACCCTTGCTAAATAAGGCTATGACCCAGCAAACTGCCCCGTCTCATAACGTGCACGACTCAGACCGCGTGACGGACCTGCTCCGCCTTTGTTCCAGCGAACGCCTCGCAGCGGATAGAGAGACGGCCAATGCGTACGCGCTCGCGATACACCAGCTGCTCAATGCCTATACGCAGGTATCCATCCTGACCGAGCGCAAGCAGGATTTTGTCCCCGCCATCTTCGTGTGGCCGATAGCGATTCCGCAGACATATCTGAAGCTATTAGGCGAGCGCAAGCCGGAGGCTATGGTGATTCTGGCGCACTATTCGGCACTACTACAGCGGTTGGATGACCAATGGTTTATGAAAGGTTGGGCACGGTACTTGGTGAAGCAGATTGAAACGGCGCTGGGGGGAGAGTGGCAGCCGTGGTTGTGCTGGCCGAAGGAAGTGACAGGAATATAGGCTGCTTCGGCCCAGTGAAATTTTTCTGGGCGGGGGGATTTGAAACTGGTCACAGAACCTGTCGGGCGAGGAGAGGAACAGGCCGTGCCCAGCTCAGTTTGGAGAAACGAGACTGTTCCATCGTCGGGCTGTCACTACGCTGCGTCGTCTCGAATTGCCACGGGTGAAGAATATCTCACGCAGATAGTGGGGGATAGGTCATATTATCCTCTTGTTCCTGGTTCTCGGTTCATTCGGAAGTATCATGTTGTTTTATGCATGCCCCTTCTATCTTATACCTGTATGACCACATGGCGGGGCCCACCCACCAGAGACATCATATTTCCTTTTATATGCGATTGGCCGCGATGGGACATCGAATATGATTAGCTATTACTCTGAGGGTAATTCTTACAATATTTTGTCCACAATCTCAAACATGCCGTGAGGAATCTCTGAGGAATAATTTTCCATCATATTGACTATTATCGGCTTATTAATTATTTTTGAACGATATTCTGTCCTGTTTGATCTCTCGACTACATAGAATGTACTCTGTAACTACGCTGTATGATGATTTCGGTAACTAAAATCTGGACTTGGCAACCTCCCTTTTTCAGCCTCCAACCTCGACTTCAGCATCTCAACCTCAACCTCAACTCTCTTAAACTCTCACGCAGTCCAATCCAACACACCAAATCTCCTCTCTTTACTGAATAAAGAAGCCATCTCCTACCTAAATATGATCGCTCTCAGCTAACCCTACCAAATCAGTGGGCATCTGGAATATTGTCTTGGCTATCTACTCATGCTATACTCTGTATTTAACCACCAGCTAGCCGCCGACTTCAAGAGGCCCCCACTCAATCGGCGCATTGCCAACCCTGAAACCTCAATGGTTGCGCTTCTGTATCACCCAACGCCCGCGGTTCCACCACTATCAACCACTCATGCGACGTGCTTCATGGGCTCACCCCGTCATGAGTAATTGCTCACTAGAAATGCCCATTGCGCCTGTCAGTGTGGCCCACTGTTATCCTACTCATTTAGCGCCTGGCGCAGTCGACTCCGTTTTGTTAGAGTGTCTATGTAGCGGAATGCTACGTCTCTCAGGCCTTTTCTCTTATTCTTTCTATTTCTCAGATGGAAATTTGATGGTGGAGGCAGGAGATTCAAATGGAGTGCATACACGTTCATTTCCATTCATATCCATATTTTCACTATTTTCTATTTATTTCGCTGTACATCATCGTTCGTTAAATACCTTTTAATTACCTTTCGTCACCGCCCGCTGTTGTTGTTATTACTTCAACAACTCTCAAGGGACATTGGCGCTGGTCGTCAATAACCTATTTCGTTCACTTCTCAACTTTTGCGGATCTAGATCTTGCGTCTTCACGGCTTGAATAGCTAACGCCACTGTTTTCTTCCGTGTGAATTCGGGGTGCATTAGAAAGGAGGGAGGAGCGAGATCACGGAAGGGAAGGGAAGCGGAGGAGTTCGGGCACTCTCAATTTTCGCGCGGAAAAGAGGGTTAGCTGCCCTCTGTCGCTTGGAAATATCTTGTTAAGAGAATAGGGAAAAGGGAAAAAAATATTTTGGAGAATTTGAGTTGAGATAAAGGCCGAAAAATCGAAGGACATGGTCGATAGGATCCTCGCCACTTTCCTTGCGGCAGACGGACTCTTTGTCCTTGGCGGCGCCCTCATTCTCGCTGTTGCGCTCATCAGCAAATCCCAACTGGGTGCCGAAGCAACATTGGATAATGTCGCGCACATCTTGCTGCTGTCGCACTGCCCTATAACCCGTTCGTCTTGGCCCCTCCTCGGCTGAGCCAAATTTATACATCGATTTTTATACACATGTACTTCAGAGAGTTGCTGACATTCCTTTTACGTTGTGTTTCTGTTCTAGCGGCGATCGTCAATGCTGGCTTCATATTTTTCACCTTCATCCTCTCATTACCTGCGATAATACTGGGGACGGACAGACTGTGGCTCAAAATCCATGGCTGGTTCGTCGTTACAAGCGGTATCTTCACCCTTTGTCTAGGGCTTAGCATTTGGTTTGAAACGCTGAAGACGCGGTCGAAATTGGGGATAATGTGGAAGGAACAGCCTGCAGCGGTACAGAGTTTACTGCAGCAAAGGGTGCGTTTTATATATATATCTTCTTGTCTCACGTTGAAAAGGCGAAGAGGCTAAAGAGACTGGAGGCTACAAGTATGATATACTGACAAGATGTGGTATTTTCAGTTCGACTGCTGCGGCTATCTAAACAGTACTTCTCCGCCATTCCAAATCGATCAAACATGTCCGAACCCCCTTGTCGCTGCGCAGAAAGAAGGTTGCGTAGGGCCTTTCTCCGATTACGCAAATCACTTCCTGGACGTTATTTTTACGGCAGACTTTGGTGTTGTCGGTGAGTCATTTCCCCACCCCCTTTTCCTCCCCTGCTCGTTCAGTCTCTATAAATCGCAATAAATTATCAAAAGGAGAGAGAGAAAAAGTGTGTCTTTAAGTCTAACCACTTATATCTCCACAGCCATTGATGCTATTCTCCTCCTCTGCATCGCGATTGTCCTCAAAGACCGCAAAGACCGCGAACGGTACCGCCAGATAGATTTAAAGAATGGGTTCGAAAGTATATAAGCAAACAGATTGAAATGTGTATTTACCGCCCAGTAGCTGGCAGACATCAAGCATTACTTGTCCGGTTTATGTTTTTAGAACTGGTAAAACATACTAATTTGAGAATTTGAGGCATACCCGCCAAAAACGAACCTGGACTGAGGATGGATGTGTTGGGAGGACTGGGTAGGTCCTTTTGTCAACATCTAACGGCGTACAAAGATGATTATGTCTTGCCAGCGTTCAATCCTACCGGGAGGCCCAAAATGTCAACCATGCCTGCTTTTGAAAACTCCTTCCGCTATGCCCCTGAGACACCAGCATAGCAACCAAGCTCCTATCGCGTCAGTGGTCAAATTCCACCGGCACACTTCGTCGTTGCCTGAACCCAAACTATCTTCAAGGTTGTGGCCGGACTTTTGCTGAACCTTACTGTATGACTCGCTCATTGTATTTTTCCCTTTCTTTCACGTACATTTTTTTTATGTCGTTCAATTTTTTCCTCAGTTCTCCCTTGCCTTGTCCATCCATCCATCTCTTATGTCAAATTGTCCCTCATCAACTCATTCCCCTTCCACTTCTTCATCTATCTCCAGTTTCAATGTTGGTTGCTTTGGCATTTGATATACATTAGATCGTACAGTACATTTTCTTCTGTGTCATACATTTATTTTATTCAATTACTATCTTTTTCCCTTGTAGTATCTTCGTTCTCTACGTTATACCCGTGTTCTTCAACACAGCTGACACTAGTCCTCTTCAGCCCCGGTGATATTTCCGACATATATATCGACAGATAATGTACAGCTCATGCACATACCTACTTTACTCACTTTACTCACTTACTTGCTTATTTGTATTGTAAACGGCTGGATGGGTGTGGATATACAACTTTGGTTCTTTGATTCTTTTTTTTTATGTATTCATGTTGGTAGGGAAGAGAGAAATAGTGCAGGAAAAGTGTGCAGAATAACAAACTATAGTCAAAATTCTTCTCCGCCTAAGAGAGAAGGTATAATTGTGGAGTGAAAAAGAACTAAAATGTAGGGTTAGAAGAGCGGATAGTATCAAAGAAGGGAGTGAGGAGAATGGAATGCATTCTATAATATACATCATACCTTCTACTCTAGATTTATTTTTTTTCAACAAAAAAGGGCCAAGCGAACCAACCCACCGGATAAGAAAGCCAGCTCAGGATTGATGGCATTTCTATTGAGTTGTAAATACATATCCATGTAAAGTATATCGACTTGAAAATGGAAAAACGAAAAGGGCCAAACCCTACCAAAACAGGATAAGAAAGAAAAGAAAATAAACTCCGTTTTGATGCCAATGAGTTCCCGTCTTTCGTCGTATGTATGTCTTTCCGAATGTAAATGATATGTAAAGTGCATTTGTTGTGATAAGAAAAAGAAAGCAAGAAACAAGAAGAGAAAAGGGCGCGGAACGGGAACGGAATAATGATAAGAAAATGCGTGGTTTCGTTAGGTATGGACGGATAACAGTCGAAGGAAAGATTAGTGAGTGTGGAATGGACGTGATGGGATGGCGGGCGTTAAGAAATAGAGGATGGATGAAAATGGGGATTTATCCCCCCATTTCCCCCCGGAAAGGAACGGAACATTTCGTATCAATCATAGTATAATTTTACCTGTCTTCAAAAATGTCATCTCGCTTTTAGCTTGCCTTGTTTTCCTTCTGTTGGGTTCAGTTTCTTCTTACTCGATGTTGTTGTGACAGTAGTGGTAGTTGTTGTGGTGCTTGCAGCATCAATATCACCGCCACCGCCCGCCGATGTGGGGGTTGAATCGGGAATATCCATGGCGGCTGCCATGTCGGGCGTGGTTCCGATCTTCAGTTTGCTTGGTGGTGTGGGCTTTTTGCCGGAATATTTCTTTGGGGTGTTTAACTTTTTCTTTTTGGTGATGGATCCGGATGCCGCATCGTCGTCGCCACTGGGAAGGGCACGTTTGAGAGTTGAAGGTTTCATTGGAGGTGGCGCTGGGGTATTAGTTCCGTTATCCATTGGGGTGAGGTTGCGTTTCGTCTGCCTACCTGATAGGCCTAGGCATCTATCGAGGTGTTGGGCAACTCTGGTGACGACGAAGTAGCGGGGGCAGTTGGGGCATTTCACGGTGGGGAAGGAGATTTTTTCGGCGACAACGTGTTTGAAGGAGTTTGAGGGTGTTGAGGGTGTTGATGGTGGACTAGATGCAGGCGTGTTTGAGCTGGTTTGCTGTTGTGGCTGTTGCTTTCTCTTTCTGTTTATCTTATCTGTGGCGAATGGATTGCCATGAACATCATGGCCAGGCATGATGATCGGGGGATGCTTTTTACAGTATTCTTTATATGGATCCGGTGGTGGTCGAGAGCCAATACCGGAGAGCGGGTAAAGAAGACGGGGGAGACGGCAGTTCGGACACAGGATTTCTTTGGTCACTTGAAATGGATTCCCTTTCAAATAAACTTTCCCACTGTCATAGGTTGCACCGTCTGTCTCTACCCGAACGGGATCGTGGTCTTTTTGCTTCACACTTGACGGAGCAGTGGCACCAGGTTCGACCGATCCGCTCTCAGGTGCTACCAGATCATTTGCTTGGAGGCGGCTTGCTTCTTCCTCGCCAAGTTTCTTTGCCAGGACGACAGCTGACCTCATGCGCGCAATTTTCTCTTCACGGTGGACTTTTGCAACAATGTCATGTATTATATTGTAGAAAGTGTCGTCCAGAACACTCCGGATCTGCATGCCAGTCAGACCACGCAACCGTAAGCTGCACGGAACAGAGAATGCTATCCATAGCCACGAAATCAAACAAGGGTGGTTGGGCGCTTACCAATTTAGACATGGTCGCAGAGGGTATATCGTTGTTCGCATCCGCAGTCCCAGCCATGCTGGAAAAAAAATTTCCCCTGTTCTAGTACCCTAAATCAGTTTATATGAATCAATGAAGGGCCACCAAATCCATTCAGCACCATTTCGGGAAATAGTGGTAAAAAAGTTCTCAGGTTGACGCCTTGCCACCTGCGCAAAAGCCCTCATCGCTAGTTTTCGTGGGGTTTCCCGGGATTTTCAAGTGCATATAGAGGCCATGATGCGGTGACGGAGTGACTTCAACATGGGCAGAGAAGGGCCTGACCTAGTGCTTACAATGGACACAGCTGGTTCACCTCAGAACAACCTCCGCAAGGTGCAGCCCTTGACCGCGGCGATTCCTTTGTCCCAAATGTATATAGCTTATTCTCCATGCGTTTAATCCAACACGAAAGCTAGCCGATAGGATGAAGACTGTATGCTTCTGCAATGAAACTCGCTGGGTGGTTCTTTTTTCTGTCTCTGGCGCCTGCCAGTTCCAATTGCAACTTCTGGACTGGCGAGCGGCGTCTGTTTGTCTAGTGGTGACGAGGGCTATCCAAAAACAAAAAAGAAGGAGTAAAAGAGAGGAACCCTATGTCTTTCACTAGGCGCTCATTTATAGGGAAATATGTAGGAAGCGGCGTCGATGTGAACCTGGCCTGCAACCTGCTGGTATAGAGTTAGCCGTTAACTCAACGTCAACTCGTGATTTCCCGCACGAAGTCCTACGGGGAGGCAAAACTAACCTCCGCTAAGCAGAACTGCCCAAAAAAGTGTACGCTACTCCGTCCGCTGAGTGGTACCAAGTTGTGAAGAAAGCGGTCTGTGAGTAGGCGTCGTTGTAGCTGCACGATGAACTGTCCAAATGAAGCTTACAGCTTTCTGCCGTCTGTCTTTGTTGGAGAAATCCGGTAATGTTACGGTATTTCACGGAACTTGGCGTACCTCGAAACAGGGGAAGGTCTTATCTTATCTAATCTCATCTCCGCAATCTTATTTAAGCCGCATCGCATCTCCAACGACGCCAATATCAACACCATCAAGCATTCTTCTCAACTAGACAAGGTGGCCCGTTTACTTTTTTGTTATATATGGCGACCGGGTTTTCCTTTTAATAGAGTAATGTAGCGACAATAGAACTCTTCTACCACCTACGCATCAGAACTTATGACATTCCCGTTTTTTGCGAGGACCACGGCGGCCAAAGCCACTCTTCCTCCTCCTTTCTCCTCACCATCTACAGCAAACAACAGAACAAACAATAGCAGACCAAATGCCGATAAGTCGAGCTTGAGAAATAACGTTCCCTCCTTTCAAACTACTCCCTCGGCTCCTCCACCATCTCTAGCCTCGACGCGCGTTGACAAGTCGCGTAACACCAACCCCGCTTTGGAGCCAAAGCCCTACCCCAGCTCTCTCGACACGGTTAACACTCCACACCCAAATGTCACTGTCGAGCCAGTCAGGACAGCGCATGTGCCGTCGTTGATGCGAATTACAGGCCTCCTACTTCCAGTTCGCTATCCAAATTCGTTTTACACGGCCACAATCACAGATCCCATTGTCGCCTCCGTGTCACGGGTTGCCATTTACCACGACCACCCCGTCGCCGATGTAACGGCAACTACCTTCTCCACACCTGCCAAGGTACCCTTACTGTCGAGTTCAGATAAAGTTATCGGTGGGATACGATGTAGATTAGAACCGCTACCCACATCCCCTGATTCGCCTGCTTCACGCCCACTGCGACAGGCGACGAATTTATACATACAAACTCTACACCTACTATCACCCTATCGTGGTAGGGGCATAGCTGCGTCCCTACTAGACTCCTTGCTATATGATCCAGGAGCCCCTCCAGGAACGCCAATGCGGCCGGTATCCACCATTGTTAGGCATTACAATATCCGGACAGTTACGGCGCATGTCCACGAGACTAACGAGGAAGCGCTGCTCTGGTACGTTGCACGGGGATTTACGGTCCAAGAACGTGTGGTTGAAGGGTATTACAGGCGGTTGAAACCTGGTGGCGCGAAGATAGTCAATCTCAAGCTGGAATGGGACGAAGATGATGAGTGCACTAAGTCTAAGCCACTTGACGACGTCGAGAGCAGTGACAATGAAGGCGACGATGACTGGGAGAAGGTTGAGCTGGAGGAAGACACTGCTGCTGCCACAGAGAAACTGGAGGACTATGACACCATCGACATGCAAGAGTGTGTTAGGAAACGAGCGAAAAACTCCTGAACGGTTGGCGAATGACGTAGAATTTAATTATGCCTGGAGTTCGGCGAAAGATGTTTACTTTACGCACGCACAGCCCAATACCGTTTTCTGATCCTCTGGGGAGATCTCTTGCATGGGGGTTTACCGCACATTATTCCTCCTGCACAAGCTCAACTCAACTACCCCTTAAGGAGCCACGAAAGACCGCGTCTGCGTAATGGTATCGACCATGTACCTTTCATCATCCGCGCACAACCGCGTCCAATGCAGGTGAACCAGCTATGCATCTCCAAACGCGTAACCGCCTCGCACACTCCATTCATTCTTAATGAGGGTATTATGCCGAATCGTACCTCGCCCTCCCCAACTATATATACCTACAATCTCATGGCATCTCATTAAATATATATATATATATATTCCCCCCTCATCTCCCGACCCGCGGAAATTTGCTGAGAAAACGAGAACTGCCATCTACATCTCGTCTACGAGGTGAAGGATTCCGCGTTTCCCTCAACATTATAACTTCTGTCGCTATTTCTCTTACGGACAAAAAATCCTGTTGAAGATCCAGCGTAGAAATCAATATCCAACTCCGAGAACAAGTGAGTGTGTGTGTGTGAAGGGGGGGCCGGCGAATTGCCTATACCACTCTAAGGATTATAGGATAGAAAAACCGCAGCACTATCTAAACGATTCAGAAGTTGGATGTACAGTACCTAATTTCTAATACATATATTTTCTATGAGAATCTGTCTCTTTCCATAAGAAGTTTTATGTGCAGAATACATGCTTAAAAGACGTGCGGGCGGCTCTATGTGTAAACTAATAGACTTAGTTTTGTAGAATCTTAATATGTTGGAGAAAGGTATCATTGTAGTACCTAATACGCAGGTTATACATGTTATTAGCTAAGTAGAAAGCGGCCGAAATTTGGATATATATATATATTGTAAGAATGCAGCTTTCACTATGCAGCCTTCAAAATGTGGAGAAATGGAGGAAGAAGGAAAACGGGAGAGGAGAAAATAAATATATATATAGTGGTAGGATAAAAAGAGAGGTTTTCCCCGCCTCTTCAGATCCTTGACAGGATGCGCAGTGGGAAAAACAAATGTAGCCGTCCTTCCCATCGTTCTGCATCCAAAAGATAAGAATTTTTTCAATCCAAGTAAATCACAATCCTAACCCGGGTATCCGTCTTTCATCCAAATATGAACATAGGAAAAGAACAAGAAGTAAGGTATGTCGACGCTGGTAAAATAACAAGAACAAAATATAGCGATATGCCAATCACTCTCACTGGAACAAAAAGCCGGCCCACAGCGCTCCAGCATCACCCGTCCTCCTCAGATCGCATAATTCTCCGTATGCAAATACAACTCATCCCTGCCAGGATCTTTCATAACAACCCTCTGCAACTGCGCAACCGTTCTTGCCACATCAGTCCGCATGCTAGGCGGCCCGCAGACAAACACGCACGTACGCCGGCCAAATTCCTTGGAAAACTGTCGTAGGATGAAAGGGATGTCCGGCCGGCCGTATTCGGTGCGCCAGCCGTCGCGTTTCTGTGTCGGGAGGAAGGCGAAACGCATTAGGTTCTTTTGAAAGAGGGTGGGGGTGCTGGGGAAGCCGAAGTCGAACGACCGTGGGTCTTCTGTGTCTCGTTGTTGGTGTTGGTGTTGGTGTTGCTGGTTGAAGTAATCTGGGTGGGAGAAGGGGAACGAGGGGAATGGATGTGCGGGACTAGGGATGGGGACAGGGGCGATGATTTCAGGGCCCTGGGAGCGCGAGTGGTGGTAGTTTTGGTGGTGTTCATGGAGATGGGCAGGCGGGAGGGCAGCGACGCCGTCCTCGTTTTCGCGGCGGAGCTCTTTCTCGCGCTCTGAGTCGCCGCCGGCTTCTTCACGGATGTAGGCGGAGTTTCGCTTGCTGGCAACTCCCTGGAAGACGTCGTTTATCCGGTCGTGCAGGGCGGTGCTATGGGGTCTCGAGCGTGTCATGGTCGTGCCATCGTAGCGCTTCGCGGCAGTGAGGTAGAATTGGCAAAGGACAGAGCCTGGAGGGGCGTATTCACGACATATTCGCAATTCTTCCTTGAACCATTCCAGCGTTTCCGGACGCTTGAGGGCCCAGATGACCCGCACCGTTCGCGTGAGAGCTTTGCCATCTCGCATTCTTTTGATTAGATCAAGAAGTTGGCTAGCGATGGCTGTGATGCCGCTGCCTCCTGCAAAGAATACTACGTCATCGAATGAGGCTATTTCCCGCCGCATGCCTCCGTAAGGTCCATCTATAAAGGCGCGATATGTCTTATAAGGACCCTTTTCAAGAGCAGTGTCGAGTACTTTGCCGGTGAAGCCACTGAATGGTCGAAAGACAAGTGTCATATCTCGGTACTCCTCGCCATATTCGGATGGGAAGTCGTCACTACATAGAGAGGCAACAGTGAAGGGATGATTTTCGAAGAATGAGATGCCCGGCATCCTTAGATAGACGTACTGGCCTGGTCTCCATTTCATCTGCGTGGGAACCGTGACTTTGACCGCAGTTTCGGGGAGAATTGTGACTGCGGACTCTTCTCCGATCAGCCAGGAGAGGCGGAAGGGATTCGTCCAATTCAAGAAGAACAGTCTGGCAAAGTATGACACTACCCAGATCGCCACGGTAGAAAACAGGTAATGCCAAGAAGTCAAGAAATTTTTGCAGTGCCAGAAAAGCATACCGAGAAAGATGACGCTGACAGGGGCGTGTAGAGTTACAAAGAGCTCATACAGCCTGTTGCGTAGCAGGGGTAAGGAATGGACGCAGAGGAAACAAAGCGGTGCGAATGCAGCCAGTCCAGAGGCATAGATATACAAATTCCCGGTGCGAAGTTTCTCATATATTTCAAGTCCGTCGTTCTCCCAGACAGGGGTAATGTAGAATGGAATCATGTGGACAAGGCTCAAAAAGAGGCAAAGGTAGCCACCCCACCGATGGAGCACATTAAGCCGCTCATGGCCAATGCCAGTCATTAGGGAGATGAGATTTGCCTTCGAGCTCAGCGCGATTATCCACGGCATCAGTGCAACGGCTATCATTCCGGCACGTATTGCTAAGGGAGGGGATCCGGCTCGGATGCTGCTGTAAAAGAGAGGTTGGGGTATGAAACAATAGAGCGTAACAAAGATTAAAGCCATCAACACAATAACAGTGGCACCCATCGACGGGGGCACGATCTTGAGTTTCCATATTCTGATAACGGGAATTGGTCTGTAGACTAGCCACCTTATAAACGCTGTCAGGTAGTTAATAAGCCATAGATTCGATATTGAGGATTCTTGTCTACGCGGGGTTGTGGATGGAAGTGGGCCTTCTGGGGGGAAGAAGTTGCGTGAAGAATTGGCAGTACCAGGGCTTGTCATTTCGAAATCCGATTGTGGCGATGACGTCTTGTTATTGAGGACTTCTTCCTTGTAGAGGCCTGTTCTTATCTTATCGCACCAAACATTGTAAAGATAGAGCAAAGTCGTGGCAATGAGCAGGATGATGGAGAAATATACCCAGCCAAGGGCATATTTACCTGATTCTGCCCATGGATCCCTCTGGCTCTCTTCTATTTCTATTGGAGATTGGTGGACGTCGGGAGGAATTGAGATGCGTTTCGCCAGTGAGACCAATGATTCCAGGCCCCTAGGAAAAACTCCCGAAGAATCCTTCAACCTGTTTAGCGGTGACATAATTTCGTTGATTTCGAAGGCGCTCTCCAAATTGCGGTATGCAAACCACCTATTCCTGATCCAGCTAATATATCATGGAAATATGTTGGCCTTCCTGACTTGAAGTTTCCTTCGCCTCGCCCGTTCCGTTCAGGACAGACAATTGTCTTCCTCTAATCAACCAGCTCCCAACCTGGCTAGCTGCCACTTCTACCAGTCAATGGTATCTCTTTTATAACACAGTTGTTCACCCGCGGAACCGATGCGCAAGACGACGGAGAAAGCGTAGGATATTCACGGAATCAACGAGGCCAAAGTCTAGAGTTGCCACAGCAGCCGAGAAGTCAACGGTTATTGACTAATGTGCATATTGTCAAGGCCAAAGATGGAGTCAGAGCAGAAGAGCGGCGCGACGACTGAAGTAGCAAGTAACGGCATACGAAAAGGTGAAGATTTCAGCTCGTGTAAGTTCGTCTCCAATTGGTTTGTGCTATTCGGACCCAACACGTGTACTCTTGTCAGACCTTATGACAGATTATGTAGAAGCAGTGCAACTGGCTCCCACGATCCTGCGATGAGACAAGTTTGGGAAGACGATTTAAGGCAGGAAAACGAAGGAGCGGACCAAAGCAGGCCGGCCAGGGTTGGTGTCGAAGCGGGTGCAGAAGCAAAAAGATATTAGAGTAACGAATGAATGTAAATATACTACAAGTCAAGCAACAACGGCTAGCCTGATGGTCTCTTGATGGGAGGTATCTTCGGCAAACTGTAAGGCAGGTGGCTAGATATATGTCCCGGCTCGAGGGACCGGAGACCGTGGAACAGGAGCTACCTCCTCGGAAAGGGGTGCTTTTGGCCGTACTAACCGGACCCAGCCTTGCTAGTGGAAGGGAATTAATTGGCTGGCAGACAGGTCGATGGTCTTGGACGTAATAATGTACGGAGTAATGTACAGTGTAATGTGATGTGATGGGCGTAGATGTTCAGCGGGTAGGAGGAAGTCAAAACGTGGAGTTACTTGACAGCATTCGACAGCTTGTCGAGACGCATGAATTGTGGAGTGTGACTGGAAAATGGCGGGTCCTTTCACGGTCTCTTTTTGTCTGTTAGTTAAGCTGGCGGCTGTTTGAGCTTTCACGCTGGAGGGCACATTTTTTATTGTATGTTCATGCCAGAGTTGGGAAGATCCAAATGGCGCTCAGCAGGCGCTTCTGACTTTTGAAGAGGGGATGTGAGCGCGTGGAGAAAGCTGCGGGGCTGCATCGGAGACATCGCTCTCGGCGATGGGGCCCTGGACCTCTCTGCAGTAGTTAACTAGTTAGTGACGCTGCGTAGCCCGTCCTTGGGGAGCGGGGATGCATGGTGATCGAATCAGAAGCGAGGAATGGGCTGCTCACATTGTGACAACCAGGATGGCCGTCACGTCACGCATCCCAGATGGAATTTCCATTATTGCTTTTTGCCTTGGCTCTGAGACTCGATCTTTATCCGTTGCACCAGGCCAGGGCCAATCAGAAAGGCTTTGCCAGATTGATAGAGTGGCCTCGTTAAACATCTCCAAGCAAGGTCACCCTTCAAAAGTGCTGTTCTAGCTGTTCGTCAGTAGGAATGGAGAGGTCGGCATGTGGTGACGGTGCATACATATACTTTCGGCAGCCATCTGCGGCCTGCTGCAGATATTGTGAAGATATTGTGAAGATATTGTGAAGGAGACAGGGTAATGAATGTTAACTTACCATGCAATTATTATTGGAACTTACAAGCAATCAATCAGGCCAAGCTGTGGGCCATCATCCATCCTCAATGCGATTAAACATGTAATAATGTACGCAGTAACAGTACAGTAGTTACAGTACAGTATCTGACTCGCGTAAGTTAAACTTAGTCCTGCCAATCACAGGAGACAACAGGCGGGGCAGGCGAATGAGAGAGCTGTGTTTACCGCTGCCAACCATACCATACTGTGTAACTAGTACTGACATAGTATGATATTTATTTTTTGAAATACATACATATCCATTCAGCTTCATTATTAAGAGAAAAATGTTATAAAATTCATGAGTATATTTTCTCTATGAGTTGAAGCTCTATGCTCTCTCTATCTTTGCATTCTTTATTCTGCAGTATTATGTCTCACCTTGTCATACAATTCAACAATTTAACAGATCTTCTGATAACTTAGTGATATTAATCTACTTCTTTCTTGCTATTTTGTACCATGATTCATCACAGATTGCAGTGCAACGTCTGCGGCTTTCAGGGCCATACATAATTCAATGTAGAAAGAATGTCATTCATTTTTGCGCATAAAATATTATCAAGAATTCAGAGTATCGCAGCGGTCAGCGGTATCTATTTACTATATACAACTTGATATCGATGTATCGATGAGGGTTTGGCGGTTTGGCGGTGAGCTACATCCGACCCTACCTAAGTTACTAACTAACCATTTAATTATTTAATATTTTTAGAAATAATTGGCTCGCCATCGGCGCTACCTTCACTTCTCAAACAGTCAAAGACTTGATGAAGGTGCACGGAGAACAAAATAGTGAGCGTGCATGGAGTATTCCATCATTGATTGTGAGTGAGTAACTGAACACATAACTACTGTAAGATCATACCTTGTCCCTTCTGACCTGCATTATTGCTGCGATGCACTTAAGGGACCAACCAACCTTTGTTTCCTTAATATTCAATCCACAAGCAGGGATTTAGACTATGATGTTTCAAAATGCCATACCTTATGTACTGTACGTGGAGCTTTTACAGTGGCTCTTTAAGTCAGGCTACATGACTTATTAGGGTAGTCATCCTCCTATTTAGCAGCAACTTTTTCTTTCGTTTGAATTGCTCAATTTCAGACCAGAGAGACGAGTCAGCACGATGTAAAAGGTGTACAACACGAATCAATTCAAAGTTAAGTACATTCCACAACACATCTTCATCGCAAAGGAAACTCCAAGGCAATACAACTAGAATGATGCAACTACAAATTCTCCTGTTCCTTACTCTATCTTGGACCCATGCTCTACATCTAAACTCCGAATCCTGCGAAATCATACTCGGATCACCCAAAGATATGTCAGACTAACTAGTTAATTAAGTGTTAATAACTTCTCACTTAGTTAGCAATCTTCAATCAAGCAATCTTTACTCCGTACACCTTCCAACAAGATATTGGTTGAGGGAATGTTCCAAGTGCCAATGCTAACAGTCTCGCAGCGGATGATGAGTTAATCCGTGCCTAGTCATATAGTTATTATTTTCCTTTTTTTGGTTCCACACGAGTCCCGAAGATTGCTAGAGCAAAGTTAACGATCGTGAAGGGTTGTTTTTGATCTACCGGGATGCTTACGAAGAAGTCGGAAGGACGATGAATACTAACTACATCACAGCAAGGGTATTGTGTGATTGCACAACATGCAATGCCGGCTAACCGTTCTTCTACATATGTACTCCATCCCTGATCGAAGATGTCTCAGAATTTGACTGATGCAAGATCGCATGTCAGAGGTGTGTGGTGCTAGCTATATCAGAGGCTACTACGCGATGCAGTGCAGGGCGGGCTTCGATGACGAAATCTAGTCTGCGCACTCTCACAGAGCCTAACAGCCATCCATGCCTAGCACATATACCGTGCATGTCCCCATTCCCGCACTTGCGGGCCTATCACATAACCACTGCCGGGATACTCTTTTAGCCTAGGTACATTGCCAGGGACAGGCCAGAGAGTGCACAGATACATCTTTTTTCCCCTACTGCTTGTAAATTTCAAGACCGTGCTTTTTAACATCTATTGGGCGCTTTTGATTTCCCTAAGCGCCGTCAGCCCCGGCCCCTTATCCTGACTCATCAATACACTCATCAAGGGGATGCTTTGCTGCGCTGTTAGATTAAAAGACGAGTAGGTCAGCCCTTCATCCGATCGGGACTGCCAGACGATATCACGGAGATCACGGAGATCACAGAGATCGCGGAAACCATAGACACATCCTCTCCATTGGACCGCTCTGTCCCTGTGAATAATTTGGTGAAAATGAGTTCATACGGCTTAGAACTGGAACTGACGCCATCCATTCATCAATTTGGCTGGAAATTCGATCTGTCGTCGGATTCAGGTGAGGTATTTTGTTACGGAGAAACCGGTTTCTTCAACAATGATGATATATTTCAGTCGAGTTCTAACCACTCGGAGAGATATCATACTTCCCTCCTCATGTCTATGACAGGATTGATTGCATAAAAATGGACAACGATCCGAGGCTAGTGGATATATTCAAATATCTAGGTTCTCACTTACATGCTACACTGGCCATTTGGGGCAGTGGTTATGTTATCGATCCTGCTCTGTCCTCATAAGCGTGACCCTGAGCCCAGGAATCGCAGCTGGGGTTCAAATCTATCCACCAACACTGAAAAGAGCGTGGGAAAGTATCCACTTGTATTTCTATCAGAGAACTCAACCATGTCTATAGCCAAGGGCAAAACAATTGTTTCAAGCGGACAACATTTTGTTGATGTCCCCAACTACCAACCCATCACCAATTTTCTTTATTTCACTCCCTATCAGAGCTCAAATCTCCATTTCAAAGCACACAGATAACTCTGAGCCGATATAATGCCCAAAATTTTCAATAGGTCTATACCCTCCCCTCATGTAAAACAGGATCGCATCAGGCTGCAACTTGCCCGTCTCATACACCAGCTTCCGCCACCTCCGGACTCTGCGCCCGCTCATGTAGCGCCTCCAGAATAACCGAAGCAATTCCGAGACGCTTGCCCCTAAATTCAGGGACGACGAACATACACTTTACTTCGGCCTCTGCGGGGAGCAATGGTGGCGGTGGCTGTGACTGTGACTGGGTTTGGATTTGCGGACCGTCGCCGATGACCGTCGTATTATTGTTATCATCTACATTACTCAGTGCCCGCAACGCTCCACATCCCACCGGCTTCGCGTCTATATATGCAACGATAAAGGTAGTAATGTCATCCTTGGTCGGTTTGGGCCCATACTCAGAATCCGGCGTGTTATACCGCACGGCGAGTTCGCTGCGTTGCGCGTGGCGGAGCATTATGCTGTCGGGATGGTCCTAGGGGCGGTCCAGCACTTGAATGGTGGTCACCATGTTTGAGCTTCTATTTTCCGCTGAATTTGAAGTGTGTGAGAAGGGGATACGCTGAACTGATATACTCTGATCTCGTTGCGGCGCCCGGGAGAGCTACATAAGCATAGACCCGAGAGATTACTGGTAGGTGCCTGCTTACATATTTTTTGGTCTTTTTCACGGGTTAGAGAAGTAATTTATTCGCTTGATAGCTAGGTGAGTGGTTCAGGGGAATTGAAGATGTAATTGGAGTGCATCTCCCTTCTCCCTTAAATCTCTATCCAGGAATATATGTCAGGAATCGCGGCGGAAAGTTTTCCACGTTACAATATATATATATATATATAGCGGAGATGCAGGTTGACAGAGATATTCGTAATTGATAACTGTGCGAGTAAGGATTCCCATTTCGTGACTCATATGTGGGATACTAGGGAGACAAGTTACGCAGAGCAGAAGAAAACGACGGTTGCGAATAAAGTTGTATATGCACCTAGCAGCGAAGAGAATTCTCTGAGATAAAGTTTGCGGGAGCAGTGCAAGGTCACGTGTAGTTATATTCGCCCACCGCCCTTGTCCAACAGATTCTGCCGCATCATAATATCCAAAACGAAAAGCTCAAAAACATCGGAGCGCCGATGAGAACCTTCCACGATTTGATGGGCTGCTAAAAGCTCTCAATTCTGCCAAAACCCAACCTTATATGAATAACCACAACTTTAAAAACAAAGAAATACCCACTATTGTGTAGAAAATGACACCCTCACCAGCAACAACCTCCACCTCCACCACAACCTCAACCTCAACAACCACCCCCCCCCATTCTCCAAAACCCGTCCAAGGACCTCCTCCCTCCCTCTCCCTGCCGCCCTCCCAATTCGCCAGACTTCAACCTCATTCCTACCTCCTCGCGCACCTCTCACCTTCATCTCCAGATTCAAGACCCCCCCTTCGCGTAAACGGGCGCACACCATCCCAATTCCGCCCCGCATCCATCAACATCGGCTCGCTCACACATACCAATGCCAGCGCAGTGGTTCGCATGGGTGACACAGTCGCCGTGTGCGGTGTGCGCGGCGAAATACTCTCGACGGATGATATAGCCGCATGGAACGTGTCGTCGTCGTCAGATCCATCCACCTCAAAACGGAGGAAAACAGACAGTGCGCAGGCGGGGCAATTACAACACAAACAAAAACAAAACGAACCACTGGAAGACGAAGAAGATGATGACAACAACGAAGACGACTCCGAGATCCACGCCTTCAACCTCCTCGTCCCCAACCTCTCCCTCAACACCGGCTGTACCCCCAGCATAGCCGCCTCCGCCTCTCCCTCCACCCTCGCCCAATCGCTCTCCCACAAACTTCTCTCCCTCCTCCATACCACCCGCCTGGTCCGTGCCTCCGATCTACGCATCCTCCACCACCCACCTAACCTCACAGACATAACGACCCTGCATGCATCCACACCAGCACCAGAGCGCGAACCAGAAACAAAAGCCTTCTGGACCCTCTACATCGACATCCTCATCATCTCGCACGCAGGCAACGTTTTTGACGCCGCATGGGGCGCCATGATTGCCGCGCTGCGCGACACACGCCTCCCGAAGGCGTGGTGGGATATGGATAGCGAAATGGTGCTTTGTTCCGATGAGGTCTCCGAGGCGCGGCCGTTGAGGCTCCGGGGCCTGCCGGTTGCGAGTTCGTTTGGGGTGTTTGAGGCGGATGAGATGGAGAAGTGGAGGATTCCGATGCCGGTTGGTGAGGAGGCGGAGGAGAAGGGGCGAATGGGTTCTGGGAAACTCAAGGCGGTGGAATATGGGGGAAGTGGTGGCGATGGAAGACCGCGGCGATGGATATTGGCGGATTTGGACGGGTTTGAGGAGTCGTTGTGTGCGGAGAGGGTGTGCGTTGTTGTAGATAAGGAGGCAGGGGGGTCGGTGAAGATTCTGAAGTTGGAGAAGAATGGCGGGTTGGCGGTTGGGAGGAGGGAGATGAGAGAGTTAGTTGAGCTGGCGGCGGGTAGGTGGGAGGAGTGGAAGGGCTTGTTTGGGGAGCGGTGACTTCTATATTGTCAGTCTTTTTTGCCTAATAGAGAGGATTCCGCGGGAGGTAATTGGAATGGAATCTTTTTCGAAACTTTGATATGTATGTAGCATGGCATGCGCATTTATAGATCCACGAGCATTTTTCATTCTAGAGTTCTTGCTGTACACGACAAGTGTGAGCGTAAACAACCCATTATTAGCTAACCAGGGAGCCGAACGTTATGGTTCCCCGTAACTCCGGTTCTCTTTTCTCTCCTTCCATCCACTCAACATATCACATCATGTATTTAGCGAGAACTGGATAGAGATATGTTTCCCTCGAGGGCCGAGGAAGCCAGGACCAAGCAGAAACTAGTTGTATTAGTTACCCATCTCCCCATTTATCTCTAGCACGTCGAATCCTACCTATCACCAAGGATAAAATGTGAGGGCAAAGGCCAGAGAGAAGTAACTGTACAGCGACGGGGGAATATCTAGTCATCACAACTGAATGTATGCGTAAAACGGGTATTAACATAGATCATCAAACCCAGTCAAAATAACACCGTTATAACCCTTCCGCAATCCATCCCTATGGGGTTTCCTATCCTACCCAAACGCCTGTAAGACCCATTGAATGAAAACAATCGAATCGAATCCACTGCAAAAAAATAAAATAGAATAAATAAAATAAAATAAAAAAGGAGAAGGCAACAATTATTAAACATTCATCTATCTCTCTTACATACCATACCATATACCATATATAAAATAGCCCAGACACACACACACACACACACACACACAAAAACAAAAAACAAAAATGGATAAAGTCATAGCCATATATCCCCTACGTTCTTCGCTTCTTCAGCGCTGGCTCTTTGACGTCCGCATCAGGATTAGCACCTACAAGGACGGGTGTAGAGGAGGAGGATGAAGAGGGTTCGCTTTCCTGATCGGAGCCGTCGAGGTCTTCATCTTGTTGCTGTTGTTGTTCTTGTTTAGTTTCATTTGCTGTCTTTGAATCGTTCTCCGCATGTTCTTCTTCGCTGTTGGTGGTCGCAGAGGAGGAGGAGGTATCTTTTCCCGGTTGCAGTTTTGACTTGGGGATGGAAATGGAAAGTGAAAATAGGCTTATAGACTTGGAAGTTTCATTTGTTGCGGGTTTCTTGGTCTTATCGTCGTTCTTTTCGCTGCTGTCCTTGGTGGGTTCAGGCCATTTCGTAGCTGAGGAAGAGGGTGAGGATGCGGAGGCCGGTGCTTTGGAAGTATCACGCTCGAAAAACATCCTACGGATGATTCCAGATGGGGAAATGGTTTCTTTCTCCTCCTTCTTCTCACTCTTATCGCCCGAATCCTTCCCCTTCTCCGCCTCGTTTTCCTCTTCCTCCTCAACCACATCGGAGAAATTCCACATCTCAGTGATATCACCTTTCACGAGGGCAGGTATCCACAAAGATCCAAGCACACATGGGACAAGATAGAGAAGAGCAGGTTGGGCATGATGGGAGATCTGCATTGCCAACAGGGTAGCCAGCATGCCAATCACATACCCAACAATACTCGCATGGAAGTATGTTTTGGGGAAGTTCTTTGCTTCGTGTGACGTAAGCTTCCCATCCAGGCGCTGGGGGAAAACGATAGGCGCATATCTGGATGTGGATGTGAACCACGTTGTCCAGAAACGCTCACCCCAACGACCAGTGGCGCTGACATATGGGATTTTTTCAGATCTCTCCAACCGAGCGGCCTTCGCCTTATAGTAGAGGAAAAGGTCAAACCGCAGCGCTAAACCCATTACCATACCAGGAACCACAATATCGCCTAGCCCCAGCATAGCCATGCTCTCCAAAGCAGGATCCGCTCCTGGCGTCGCAGGGCGCGGGAAGACCAACTTGATGGGTATATCCAGACTTTTGGCAACGGTAACCATTAACGGGGTGAAGAAGACAAAATAAATATCGTAAAAGAACAAGGCGCCAAGGACCAGGGAGGCCGTCCCGAACGTCGTGGGCGACATGAACTGCATGGCGCCGTAGGAGACGCTGAAGCCGAGGAAATTGGTTAACCACCACGGCTTCGACACAAAAGTAAAGAAATACACGGCCGCGAGCGCGATAATAATGCTTATGACGTCTAAGATTGTGAAGCGGCTTTTGGCTTCGACGATGGCGTGGATGTAGGCTCGTAGCGTTGCTCTTGTATAGAGAAAGTTGCGTATGTCCCAGAGGGTATTTAGAAACGAGGCTGGCAAGGGAATGTTACCTAGATAACCTGGAAGAGGGGACTTGCGACGCTCCTCCTCGTTTATATCTGCCAGGGGCAAGTCGTCATCTCCAACGGGTACAAAAACCCTCTTGCGCTGGTTTGCTTTCCACATACGCCCACCTAGAGCGTAGCGGGATGGGAAAATCAAAGATTGCAAAAGCGAAAACCCATCCCGCATAAACGCGACGGCAAAGACAAGGGCCGCCTGCGAGAAATAAAAACCTAGGAACTTGTTGAGGATGGCTGGGTCCTCCACCCATTTGATCAGGAGATATAGGCCACACAGCGTCAGGCCGGCCATGATGGGGAACATGATGGCGTCAGATGGCTCGAGGCCTTCCATTCTCTTCACGCTTGATTCCTCCTCTTCATCCTCCTCGTCCTCTTCGTCACTGTCTTCCTGATTTTCCCCATCACTATTGTTTGAACGTTTGCGCTTGGGTTTGGTTGGCTTGGCTGCCGACGACGGTCTTGTCAAGGACGCATGGCCTCCGATGTAGATGGGGAAGAGAGCGGACACTACAAGATGGCTGTATGTCGGTATGAGGGGTTTGCACACACTGAATTCGAACTGGACGCGGTCTAGGAGTTTTGCGAAAAGCCCTGCAGCGTCCATCTTTGCGGAGAGCCCTTGGCGGAGGACACCTGGCTTGAGTCACTAGGTGAATAGGTGTTGGATAGCTGTTCCCTCATTCAAGAGTATTGTCGATAGCATGCGTTTCAGGATTTGCAATTACTAGAAAGAAGGATAAGGCGGTGTTCTGTGACGGGGATTTTACAGCATATGTAAACTTTTGATTTTGGGAGCATCAGTTTGATGTTGATAACGTTGGAAGTTTATCTGGAGCCGTTGCTGCGGGAGAAGAGATGGCGCCGTAGCCAATCAAAACACCTCCTTTCTGGTGCTGCTTTTACCATCGCGCAGATTCAAGGAGCTCTGTTCATGTGTACATATCTTGATGCGATACAGCTTAGTTAAGTTATGAAATGATGAGTTACCTTGGACAACTGATGATGCTGGATGGATGGTTGTTTGGTGGAAGCTATTTACTTGAGAACTCTGTTTCTCCTCCTTCAACCTTGTCTTGCAACAAGAGCTCACTCACTCTCTCCTTAAAGAGAGTCTAAGTATCTATTTCCCACACTTCTACGCAGCGTATTATGGAAGACTCACCAGCATAGGAGGCTACTCTAGATAGTTCTTGTCACTGGGCTGATTTGGCATTTTAACTCCAGGTTTCTATTATACAGGTTATCAGCCTCACAAAGCCTAGGTGTAGTTCGTGTGTGCGGCCTGTGTTTGTATATCTTGTCAGGAAGAAGGAACTTAAATCGGGACTGCCTGGCACATATATCTCGCCGACATTATTGTTATCCATTGTAAAAGACGGAGTGTCTTTCCAAGGTTGAAAGATGATATTCCCTTCTTTGCGATATCTACGCTGTACGCTGCTGTAAATAGATATTTAGGTTAAACGGGCGCCAAGCCAAAATGATGGCTGACATTCATCCGGAGCTTTGCAAGCCCAAACTTCCAAGCCAAAGATCTCCCTATGTCATATGTTCAGAATATAACGGCACCAATGGCTACTGATGTGGTACTTGACACTTCGATGGTACAGTTGAATCGCATCCCCGGCGGTTTCATGCTATTCCAATAAAACTTGCTAACTCTCCCCAGGGCTCCATCACCCTCGAACTCTACAACGAGCATGCGCCCAAGGCACGAGAGCCCAATCCATCCCCCTCCTATCCTACCCATTGCCAGACCCTTCCTTCTCTTTACTAACATACAGCTCTCTTCTGCGAGCAATAGGCATGCAAGAACTTTGCAACCCTCGCGCAACGCGGCTACTACAACAACGTAATCTTTCACCGCATCATCCCTAATTTCATGATCCAAGGCGGCGACCCCACCGGCACAGGTCGAGGGGGCAGTTCGATCTACGGCGAGAAGTTTGAGGATGAAATCAGCCCCGCGCTGAAACATACAGGCGCGGGAGTTTTGAGCATGGCGAATAGCGGACCCAATACCAATGGCAGTCAGTTTTTCATTACGCTGGCGCCCACTCCGTGGCTGGATGGGAAACATACAATATTTGGCCGGGTGAAGAGTGGGATGAGAGTTGTGCAGCGCATGGGACTGGTGAAGACAGGAGCAGAGGATAGGCCGGTTGATCAGGTTAAGATTGTGAGGGCAAGGGTTGTGGAGGAATCGGGGGAGGAGTGATGGCATATCTCTCGGCCTTGGGCAAGGTTGAATATGTGATAAAGGACTGGAAGGCATGATGATATATGATCAATAGATTGAGCTGCTCTTCTACTACGATGGTCAGAAGAGAAGGCTCAGGTATTGCTATATACTACGCATACCGGACACAAATTCTGCTACGGGTTTGGCCTCAAAGCTGGGTTTGAGGGGGGGACAGCCATGGTCATTCCCGGTGAAGGATCCCATTCCATGCATGGGAAGGATGTCTTCCAGAGACACTTCCAAAGAAGACTTTACTCCAGATGTACGCCATAAATACATGCCATAAACAGGCAGAATAAATAAAATTAAATAAATATGAAAAGAATGTATCACCGCAAAACGAACCGCTTCCATCAGACGATATATCCAGAGCAGCAGATACAGGGTGAAATAAGCAATCTACACTCCATAACGGACACAGCCAATGAAGGCGGATCCAGAAGACAAGCTCGCCAAAGCAACTACTAAAAAAGTAGGACGCGGCATGGTCTGCGCAGAAGCACTAGGAGTGAGTTGTTGAAGAAGAGAAAAAGAACAGGAAAAATTGTTTTGATATTTTCTGCTTTTGATGACGTTGGTCCGTATGCCAAGCCTGAGCCAGTCCCTATTGGGCTAACACATCATGTGACTACGCTTCTTTCTCGCCATATATTTTTCTACCTCGAGTTCTCTTCCCTTTGGATTTTCCCACAAATGAAAACAGAAGTTGATTTTGATTTCGACCACTTGAAACAAAACATTCAAACCTGTCATTGCCAGTGGTTCATATTGTCGACGCTAATGGTCTTTTGCCCATCCTATGAACTGAGCATCTGATCCTGTAATGTGTGCGCTGCTGTAATGGAACAGCTCAGTGACGTTGACTGGGATGTGCTGATCTCCGGGACTGGCTTGCCCCAGTCCATACTTGCACTGTAAGTCATTGGCTATCTCCTCTGATTCTCATTCTGGTACCTCGGTTCGCTAACCTAATGCCAATATTCTCTAACAGAGCACTATCTCGCTCAGGTAAAAATGTTCTCCATATTGACAAGAATGGCTACTACGGAGGGCCGGATGCAGCCTTCAGCCTCCAAGAGGCCGAAGACTGGGTAACAAAGATCAACGAGGGTGAGACACTTAGCACTAACCATGGGCTCTTATGGCCAACTTGGTCGCGAGTCCCTTGACTCACAATTTATGCTGATCGGGTGCCGATGCTAACCAGCTCCGGACTCTACTCCCTTTGAGTCTGCTTCAATTTCCACTTTACCCGCTTCATCAGAGGATGAAGGAAGCAGCAAACTTTTGCCTTCAAGAGCATATACACTCTCTTTATCTCCACAGCTCATATACTCCCGGTCAAGACTTATCCCGAATCTGGTTTCATCTAGGATATATCGACAGCTGGAGTTCCTGCCCGTCGGGAGTTGGTGGGTATGCAGATATGGAGATTCAGTTAGCTCTTCCTTGATAACTCGAGTACCTGGAAGTCGGGAAGATATCTTCGCTGACGACAACATGTCGAATAAATCGAAGAGATCTCTGATGAAATTCCTCAGGTATCTTGCCCAAACGTCTGTGGATGATGGAAATGAGGCTGGTGAAGAGGACAGTGATCTAAATCTTCCCTTTGCTAAGTACCTCATGTCAAATTTTCATATTCCGTCAGACCTCCATGACCCCCTTACATCATTATCCCTCTCTTCTCGACCGTGGGATGAGACGAGCACTAGATATGCGGTGCCCAGGATAAGAAGGCATTTGGGATCAATTGGGGTCTTTGGCGTCGGCTTCGGCGCTCTGCTTCCGAAATGGGGCGGTGGTCCGGAAATATCACAGGTAGGATGTCGGGCATGTGCAGTCGGTGGCGGCGTCTATGTCCTCAATAAGGGCATCAGGCATGTAGAAGTGCCAACGCCAGGGCCTCAAAATGGCGGTGATGATCGGGGACTACGGGTTCAGCTCTCTGATGGAGAGACTGTGCGGAGCAAGTTTGTTGTGGGATCGCCATGGGATTTACCAGCAGAAACTCAACGCTCAAAACCCACTTGTACAAAGATTTCTCGCTCGATCATGGTCGTGTCATCTTCGCTTCAGAGCCTCTTTCCGCCTACATCGGAAGGCGGCCCCATACCAGCCGGAGCGGTTGTTTTCGTTCCTGGACCATTTGGAACGAGGCAGCCCCCGATATACCTAATTGTCCATTCCAGCGATACCGGGGAATGCCCAACTGGCCAGTGTACGTATCTCTACCGTTATTTTCTTTTCCATATCCCCATGGCACCAAACCCAAGACAACACAAAGAAAACCCTCGCTCTCAAATGATGATTCCTCTTTAAACGAATACTTATCTACATTGTCTGCAATTTCATTGATGATAAACTTTCCTCTGACAGCCTGAAGAGAGCCACTTCAACTATTCACATGCTTTTCCGTTACATTTTATAGATGTGCATTTGACTAACAGACCCATGAAAACCAAAAGGCGTAATATACGGCAGCAAGCTCCTAACAGACAACGACGATGGGGAGTCGCTCATTCAATCCGCAGCCACCAACTTTCTCACATCTGTCGACCCGGAAGCAAAAATCCTCTGGAGCCTCCGATATACCCAGTCGGGCGTTCTCGACGAAGAAACGTCATTATCTCCATCTGCAGAATTATCCCCAGTCTCAGACAGTTTCTCGGGACGTGTATTCTCGTTTGCGCCGCCAAACCTAGACCTATCATTTGACGATGGGATGCTTGAGCAGGTGCGAGCTGTCTGGGAAGCTGTTACTGAGGGGGATGCGGAGAGGGGGGAGTTTTTGCAGTTCGAGGACCGAGAGGGAACTGGAGGGGAGGACGGCGATGGGGAGGAAGCTGGTCTTAACTAGATGAGATAGTGTACAGACAACGAGATTTTTGGATTGAACCTTCAACAGGAAAAACTGAATGAAGCGTCCTCTTGCGATCTTACGTATGTATTCAACGCCATCTTCGTTGGATTTTTGCCGTATAGATGAAACGCAAATCATTTTGATATTCCGCTGCCGTTGCCATTGACCAGATCAGAGATAAGTTACCCACGCCAAGTTAAGCATCGAAGTCCCCGCCCAGGTGGGTGCGCTCTATATAAGATAGTTACCAATCTGATACATAGTTATCAGTCCCACTCCAACCAAAAAAAAGTTCCAAAAAGAAAGAAAAATGATCTTCCTTATCCGCCGCGTCACTCCTCCATCTCTGTTCCGTGCATAGGCATAGCCAGCCTGCCTTGGAAAGTTAAACGTGATAAACAGCCGAAACAGAGCGTTTGAAATTCTCTTTCCATACCTACCTAACCTACCCACCTTCCTTCCTCCAGACTTCCTCTCCTCCTTTATCCAGCGGTTCCAGTCAGTCTCGTCTCGGGTCGAGGCGCGCCGGCATTCTCTTCCCCGCATGCTCTTTCTATTTTATTTCTTTCTTTATTTCTCTCTCTCTTTTCCGTCCAATTGCCGAAACGCAAACTCAGATGCGAGGAAAATAAAATCAGTGACTTGAAGCGACGCAGAGAGTCAATGAGTCATCACATGCTGTGAACATTGCATGATGTGATGTACAAGTATGTATGTATGTGTGTATGAAAGGAAATATATATATTTAATGAAAACCACAGCAGACCTGCTTTCATATTAACTAAAGAAAAATACAAATGAAATTTTCAAGTTTGAATAAAAGTTAGTTTTTACCCTGTGAAATAAATCCTCAGGACAAATGCTATTAGAGAGAGTAGCTGATTATCTGATTATATAAATAAAAATAAAAATAAAGTGATGAAAATGAGAAGCATTCAAACAGCTGATGAGCTATTCCATACAGTGTAGTTGTCTGTGATATTGTCTATGAAGAGAGGGTAAGTAATATTAATATCAATATATACATGCCTTTTTTGCACAATAGTTGCAATCTACTAGCATTCTGCTGTTAAATTCTGAGTTGTGAAAGAGTAATAGCTTTGATGTGCATTGATTTATTAATATTTATTAGGTAACTAGATGAGAAAAGGGTGAGAGCTGAGAGATAAGAGAGAGAGAGAGAAAGAGAGAGATTTAGAACAAGATGAAATAGTTATTTTATATTATATTTCAACACTCTCCCAAGTCACATTACACTGAGACACTATGAGAGAAGCATCTACTTCTAAAGAGAATCACAAAAGATACTACTTCCTCTCTCATACTAAACTGGTTGATACAAAGTGTCTTGTGTCATCTCGTCTCAGAAGACAGTGTGAAATACCCTTCATCTTTTTCTCCTCAAGCTCTTTTCTTTCTTTCTTTTTTCCCTTCCTCTCTTGAACTAGTTAACTAGCGTACTGTGTAGATGCACAAAATACTCCGGTGAAGACATCTCTCCTCCCCCTCTCACTCCCTTCGATCTCCATTCACCAGTGACTGACTGTGGAACGATGATGTCCATGTTACTACTGCGTATATGTCACTGTGTCTGGGACACGCGTCCCCCCCTGGTAACCCCGGCGGCAGTGGCAGTGGCTGCGGGATATGCGGGGTCCTGGCTCTACCTGGACTGTACCTGGGCTCCAGGGGCCCGCCATGGCAAAGCTTAAGATCGCAAGGCGTGTGGGGCTGGGCCGGGGTGGTGGTAGAAGCGTGTATATAAGGAGAGGAAGGGGTGGTTTTTTGTTTAGTATTATATTATTATTATGATTAAATATGTTGTTTGTTCAAGGACCATTGCATTGAATACATACATACATACATACATACATACATACGCCTACACCCAACATATGTACACTACATGTATGTATCATGAACGATGGATATATGCCCCCGTGTTTTGCGGAGTTTCAGAAATAGCGATCAGCCAGCGATCAACCCGTGCAGGTCGGGCGACTGGCTGGTGTCTCTCTCTCTCTCTCTCTCTCTCTCTCTCTCTCTCTGTGTGTGTGGTTTGAATTGAGGTTGAAGAGACTGCCGTAGAGGTGGTTGACGGTTCCTGAGGTGTTCTCCTATACGAGGAGTCTATGTATCTATGTACTCGTCTTGGATGGTAGTGGATGCCTGGGAGGCCGTGTATCAGGGACACAGGGATTCAGGGGCGGCATAACCAACCGCCTTGATTTGGCAGAGAGCGTGTTACTCCGGGCAGCAGAGGGTGTGGAATGCGCGTGTTTCAAGATAGATGATCGTCATGGCTATCATTATGATTATCCAGAGCAGGACTTGGCCGTCGTCATTGCTTGTTCTCGTCTCGTCTGTGAGTTGTTGGCGGGGGGGAAAGAAGAAGTAAAGTAAAGTATTCAGCGTAAGAAGTTGGTCTGCCGTTTCAGGATTTGGCCACCGTCTTTTTTTCCTTTTTTCCTTTTTCCTTTTTCCTTTTTCCCTTTTTGATTATGATTATGATTATGATTTCCTTATCTCTCTCTTTTTTACATACATACCTGTAACTAGTTAATCCAAATGTCGCCGTTTGGGTGTTGCGCTTTTACTTACGCTGTAACTGCTCGCCATTCGACAAGTTAGATGCACTGAGAAACAGGTTATGGTTATGGTTATTGATTATAATTATAATTAACAACCGAGCTGGCGTCATCTCCTGGCGATCTCCTGGCGGGAGCGGGAGGGAGTAGTATCTGTGCCTGTATCTGTGCCTGTATCTGTACCTGTACCTGCATCTGAACCTGAACCTGAACCTGCAATCTGTACTGTACATACATCTGTAACATCTGAACATCCGTTCCGTACCTGGCAGAGATATCAGGATGGGGAGGGGAGGGAATGATTAGAGGAATACTGTCGTAACTGAGTATGACATTTCCTGCTTGTGTCTTCTAAGATACGATAATAATAATGTGATCTGGACTGTATTCTGTATTCTGTATTCTGCTCTTCTGTATTCTGTGTTCTGCTCTTCTCATCGTCACTCATTCCCACCCTTTTTCTCACCATCGCCAACTTCATCTTCTTCAACGTTGCTCATTGCCGCTGGTAGACGCGTGTCCCCTTTTCGTTTCTTTCTTTCTTTCTTTCTGTCTTTTTTCTTTTTTCTATATGTTTTCCCCTTTTCTTTTTTTCCCTTCCCCTTCTTTTGACTGTCCTTCTTGATCAGTTTCACTGTGTGACTTTCCAGTCACTTCCTTCTCCTTTTCCCAGCTTTCTTTTCTCTTTCTCTCCTTTCTCTCCTCAGTAGCAACATTCCCCCAACGCATCGTAACTCTCTGGGAATTAGGGACCCTGCTATACAGAGTATACAGAGTATACAGAGTATACAGAGTATACCCTTTCTACTCCTTCTGCTCCAATGTGCGAAGACGCCGATTACAGATCGGGCTGCGCATCGTGAAGACCCTCACCACGCACCTCTCATAGAGGACAAATAAAAGGGAAACATAAGAGGACAGGCAGCGCCGTCTTTTTCACAATCACACTCCAATGCCTCCCGTCAGGCTAAAGGCGTTGACTCCCATCATCGCCATCGTGGTCATCACCCTCTTCTTCTGGGCTGTCGACCACTACGACCGCGCTGCCCTGACCCGCTTCACACACCCTCTCGACAGACTCTCTCCGCCGTCGTCGCAGCCGCCAAAGGACCACAATGCCCGGCCCCCTCCCCAGGCAGACATCCAAAAACCAAAGACTCCGGACCAGCTGTGTGCCTCCGGGAATCACCCTCTGCACCGTTCTCCTCCACTCCCTCCCTTGTCCTTCCCTGAGTGGCTGATGGGTAAGAACTACACCCGCACATACCTACGCCCGCACCATCTGCCGCCCGACACAAAGTTCAAGTCCATGGAGACCATCGGCCAGCAAGTTTTGCAGCCCTTCCGCCCCCTGGGTCGTGGAATGAGAGCCCCCGTCATGGATCCCCACGACCCCTGGCCCTGTCCCAACATCATCGACGTGGATGTCGCGGCCGACTACGACGTCGAGGAAACGAGCAATATCCTCTTTGGCCTGGCAACCACCGTCGACCGCCTGCACCGTCTCTTGCCTGCCCTGCTCTACTCCTATGGCAGCACAAAGGCTAGCCTGCTTGTTCTCGTCCCCGGCGATACGCAGAAGATTGAGGAAAACGAGGCCTATTTCAGAAATGCGGGTTTGGATATCACCTTGAAGAAGTTCCCGTTGGCTTTCACCGCCCGATACTTTGGCCTCGTAGAAGGCTTTCACCGATTTCATAAAATCCCACCGCCCAAATACCACCTGGGTCAGCTTTCGTCGACGACGACACTTACTTCCTCTCCCTAGCGACAGTCGCCAAACAGCTCTCCACCTTTGACACTTCGCAACGAGTATACATCGGCACCCTCTCGAAGCCAGCTGG